CTTTGACAGCAATAGGAAGGAATGGGTTACTGTATGAACTCGTACATTGTACAGTATACCCCACAAATTCAAATTGGGTCCATGGAGTTTTGCACGGATTGAACTAGAAATAAACATTTATGGGACACAAATATAAATATGCAAACCAAGAAAAGCACTTTTGTTCACGCCACAGGCACCTCCCCTCTACGGCAGTTGGTTCGCATGGCGTGACGTAAATATGCAGAACTGGCATATCCCGCCCAGGATAAGCAAAATAAAAAAACTACTCCGGAGTAGTTTTTTTGAAATGGCAACTCAGATAAGCTGCTTATTCCAACGTACACCGTGCACCTACAATACTCAATGAAATATGTTACGATCAGGATTCAGGAGGCTTAACAGCAGGTTCCTCAGGTTTTCCCTGATGGTTCTCTCGCATTCTAGAGCTGTTATGTTTGAAATAGTTTTCTTTAGCACTTAACAACGGTAGTCCGTATTGTTTTTGAACTAATTAATCATGTTCTGCTCTTCGTCTTCGAGCCCATCAGCATCTGAGGCTGTGCCTGTTCCTACGGTGATCACAGTTCGTCTCAAGAAAATAAAAGAACTGATCGAAGCATGAAGAGCAAGTTAATTTTTTTATTTTAACAAACAAAAAAACTAAAAAAGCTGTAGTTTCCACAAATTTTAATTTAACATTTTAATTTATTAGTACCATGCTTGAACGGAGCTACATTAAATGCGCTGGGAAGATTTGAGTTACAGACTGCAGTAATATGCTTACAGTAATTAGTGAGTAATATGCAAGTCGGAAAACGGAACATAAAGCTAGAAAGTGCGAGTAAAATACGCAACAAAGATGGGCAACGGTTTATTGGCTGGTTCCGTTTTGTCTGTGACGTGAACAAAAGTGCTTTTCTGGGTTTGCATATTTATATTTGTGTCCCATAATTATTAATTCTCCTACTACTGAGTAGTAATTTTATTCAATTCTACAGTTCGGCAAGATGGGGCGAGCGAAGCGAGCCCCCATCTTGTATTAGAATACAGGTAATCCTGATACAATTCTACCCTAGAGATTTTTGATATTATGGATTGTACTTGAATTTGCCCGAAAAATGAATGGGAGCTTGTGAAATACCGTTCCTCGGTTTATATCAGTACTAATTAGCAAATTTTCGCTGTATGTACGAACGAGTGTTTAACTACTACGAGTAGTATAGCTAGCTTTATAATCCGAATTCCACAGACGATCTGGTCTACTGCAATCCTGCAGTTTAAAAAGACTAATAATGGCTGTGATATCAGCGGAATTATCGTAAAACATATCGTTTGTAATTTTATATTTATCAGTGATTGTTGGCGCTCAGAAGGGTATGATAATTTCATCCCTAATTTAAAAAAAACATTACGAATTGTCATATGGTATTGACCGTTACAAAATATGGTATTGTCATATGGTATTGACCCTTCGACCATTCTTAATAACAATTACGGAATAAATTGATGTACATACTGTAGTTTCGCTTTTGTGCAGTTTATATACAGACCGAAAGTTTTGTGTGGAGCACTTTTTAATAGGTACTTCAAGCATAGCATGCATTTACATATCCATTTTCAGTTTATTCTTCCGATCGCTTGCGCATTGTATTATGCCTGAATATTTTCAGATTTCAGGGATATGGCATGGTGTTATACAACGTGAGCTGGACACAGAGTTAGGGAATTAATGCGAGTGGTAATTCGCACATAAAAGCACGATACGACGCTTCCGACTTATCGTTTCCGCCAGCAGTTAATTGGTTTTTCTGTTCATCAGATTAAATTGCTTTATCCGCCGCAGAATTGACCATTATCGTCCGGGTTGGGAATCTGATGATGGAGCAATAGATATACGGGCTGCTAATTAAAAGTTAATGATTCCAAACGACGCCCGACATTTCGGCTCGTGATTCCTATTATTTATAATATATAACTGCAATTTGCACGCATGTTAATATCACGAATTTGTTTCACTCCCGTTGCTGTTTTATGATGCACACATAGTCAGCCTAATAGCAAGCATTTGCTTACCAGTTACTATTAATAGAATTTTTGCTGACTTCAGTTTTCATATCGTCCATTCAATTTTTTTTAATGAGCGTAATTTACGATTGTCACAAATTTCATTTCCTATAAAACTGAAAGATTTGTACTGAATACATAGCCTCAGCCGACTACGGAAATAGGCGGCCTAATCACACAGAACATTTCGTCTAAGTTGGCCGATGCTGGTGCTGTTCCCATGACAGAGGCCGCATTCCCGCGTTGGATTTCAATGCTGATCCGTTGGCGCAGATACTCCGTCGCCCGCATCTCGCCTGTTTATATTGTTCTTCAAACATAAAGCTTGAGTGGTTTTAAATTAATAAAGAGTTAATAAAGATGCCAAGATGAATGCACCGTTGTGCTAATTTTCAGCGGATGCAGGCATTCGAAGTGGTTTTACAGGAGTATTGCGGATATTGTGCGGTACGGTACGAGAGTAGGAGTTGCCGCAATGTACAGCTGTACTCGAATCAATAGTTATGCATTTTATGGTAAATGTCAACTGGTTTACCTTAATATTAAACCGTCGTCTTCGCAGTTGCATCTTTTGCAGGGATACTGTATTTGCTTATCGAGTGCCACAAATACAAGAAGCATTCAACGTTTAAGTTTAGAGTGTACAATGCCATGAGTGAACAGTATATGCACGGTACGTCCCTCTCATCTCAACGGGGTTATTTGAATGTGGTTTTGTGAGCGACCGGTCGGTCACCGAAGTCACCGAAGTCGGGAAGGTTTCATCACCTTCCCGACTTCGGTGACTTCGGTGACCGGACCGGACGAGGCGTCCGGTCCGAGTGGTCCATTTGCAACTCTTTCCTGGTCATTTCTATTTCGTGGCAGCATTCAAGACCTCGTGCAGTGTTGTCAAGACTTCGTACAGAGTTTTTTCGCCGCTACTTCATTCTTAAGCCGGTAGCAAACGGCGCAGTTATGTCTATTCTCCCGGACGTCTTCCGGGTTGCATGTCTCCGCCATTGCCCGAAGGTCACACGAAAGCTGGACTAAGGTCGCCTCTGGTCTTTGCCGCGTGCTGAAGAATTTCCCCCACTGGGGAAATCCACATTGACGGCACGCGTACGGTGTAAGCCGAATCCAGGCGCGACTTTATTAAAGGTCCGTAATCGGCCGATCCACCGGCTCCTGTCCCGCGGCTTGCAAATCTTTGCCAGTAGTTCGAATGGCTTCGAACTCCGAGCGTCTGCCGGTAGCAGAAACGCTACGTGATAATCCGTCGGCACTTTAGTCAGGATCAAAGATGGTTCTAGAGCCTCAGCTTCTAGCAGCAAAGGAAAAAAATCAAAAGCATTCTTTAGGTTCGTCGGCTTTTTTAGGTTTCAGTTAGCCGTCGGCCTTGTGACGGCAATCGACGTCGTGCTGTCACACTTACTTATAACGGTCGACGACAGTAGCGATATGTACTGTACATATGAAATTTTTAGGTACGTACCCTGTACGTGTAGGTGTACGTTGTGCCCTTTCCTGTTGGAACCAGAACGGCACTAGAAACGCACTGATCCGTAAAACTAGTCAAATGACCAGAGAAGCTAGTTAAATGTAATACTGTGTCTGTAAATATTATGGCGCTATCACGAAACGTTTTCCTGACTTAGCAGCTTTTTGGGGGCTGGTGATGTTACCAGCTAATTCCAGACACATTCCGATTGAGAATAACGTGCCGAACCAAATTTGAGTTGCGACCGTTAGGTAAATTCCAGTGTACTGATTGTAGCACATCAAGCTGAAACGAGAAGGTCTCGGTCCTTCGCAGCCATAGCATCTACTCACTCCTACACTCTTTTATGATTCTATCATAGTGGGTGAGTCTACGTCACACCAGAATGGTATTGCAGTGCTTCTTGAAACAGAAACAGGAGTACTACCTAATGGCCGAATCACAGGTACAAAGCAACAAACATATTATAAGAACAGCGTCGCTCACAAAACCACATTCAAATAACCCCGTTGAGATGAGAGGGACGTACCGTGCATATACTGTTCACTCATGGCATTGTACACTCTAAACTTAAACGTTGAATGCTTCTTGTATTTGTGGCACTCGATAAGCAAATACAGTATCCCTGCAAAAGATGCAACTGCGAAGACGACGGTTTAATATTAAGGTAAACCAGTTGACATTTACCATAAAATGCATAACTATTGATTCGAGTACAGCTGTACATTGCGGCAACTCCTACTCTCGTACCGTACCGCACAATATCCGCAATACTCCTGTAAAACCACTTCGAATCCGCTGCATCCGCTGAAAATGCCTGCATCCGCTGAAAATTAGCACAACGGTGCATTCATCTTGGCATCTTTATTAACTCTTTATTAATTTAAAACCACTCAAGCTTTATGTTTGAAGAACAATATAAATCGCACTGTATTAGAAATTTTGAAACTCTGAACTTGAGAACGTACGAAACAGACCAAAGAGGCTTAGGAAAACTTAAGAAATTTTAGAAAGCTAAGACGGTTTCTCAAAACGCTAAGCTCGACATCATGTCTGTACGACTTAACTACGGTCGCCGAAATGGCGGGTTATCAGCGGTAATACTAGTACCTTTTGTACACTACAAATTCTCATCGTTGTACAAAGTTGCTCGAAATAACATTTCCCTGAAGTTTGAACAGTTTCTGAAAGCCGAATAACACTTCTCTGGCAGGAGCTTTTTGACCAGGTGTCGTAAATGATTGTCGTGCAAGCGACCGAAGCAAACTTGCTTCGTCTCGCGGCTTTTGTACATTGTACTTATCATTAAAAAATGTGAAAATTGATACAACCGATCCATACATATATATAAATAGTCAACACAGCTGTATCACACACCAACTTATGGTACTACTAGAAGTTATTACTCTACAGTGCACGCTGATTGTAAACAAGACGCTATCAAATATTTATATTATCGACTAACGTTACTAACGTATGTAAACTGGTACGGCGGTACCCTAGCTCTGATCATGTTCTTCCGAGCGTAATGAACTATAATATCATAAAAATATTGTTTCAGCTACCAAGCGAAATTTTACAAAACGAGTTAACTTTAATGTGCGAAATGATATTTAAAAGCATTAGATTGTTTATGAGTCCATTATCACGACTTCCTTCGTTGTAGCGCTTTTCGATTTATCTGGGCTGCGTTCGCTACTGCTGTGGTCAATCGCCGTTCCATGGTGGCTATCATCGCGGAGAACTCCTCGTCGGCCCAATCCACATAACATACTCTTCAGTCCATTCCAAGCATCAGCATTCATCGTAAAGTAAAGCACCTGCGACAATAATACCAACAGTAATTCAATAGTTCAAGCAAATATTGTGTAATTCAAACATGGCGTGATCAGCAGAACCAGTACAAAAAACTACGTCACATAGCCTTACAAAATCCAGAGTACGGCGTAGTGCAGCCTCAAAATTTTTTCTTTATTTGATGATGCGCTTACCGGTGTGGACACATAAGCACAGAAATAGGCCAGCCGTACCCACTCCCGAATGACCTGATCTTGCATTTTTTCCGGCATGGCCGTATACATCACGGGAATAGTGGCAAAGCAGATTGTATGCACAATGGTCGTCGTGAAAAGCAATCGCGCCAATCGGACACGTTTCTTAAAGGCTTTCAGGCGGACATCGTCTTTCTGCGTTTTATCCGTCGCCACTTGTCGATTGCGTCCAATCAGATACACCTTGACAAATAGCGTAATGTACAACACACCGGTGAGGAACAACGGCAGGTACGTGCTGATCACCGCCATAATACCGAACACCGGACCACCAGCATGCCCGAAATCGCATTCTCCGTAGGGCACCAATGCTACAAAACTCCCTTCATTACCCAGGTAGAAATACATGTAGCAGGCGATTCCGATGATCCACGACCCGGCACCCATGGCGCACAGCACTTTCTTGGCGATCCACTTTTTGTAATTATGCGGACTGTGAATGGCGACAAAGCGGTTCAGAGCCAGACTGAAGAATCCCCATTGGACAGCGGTGACGGTGATCATGAAGGCGTACATGTAATGTCGGCAGAATTCGTCGGTGTAGCGCACTTTACGGTAGATGGCCTGGTGCAGTCCCCCGATGTAGATGGGGAAATGAATGCCAATGATCTGAATTTCCATCGTCAGTTGGTGGATGATTAAAAAACTGGAGCCACTTAATAAATTGGTCTTACGTGCCAGAATCATGATCAAGAGCAGGTAGAACAGAATTGTCACCGTGCAGACCGTTGTCGAAACTCCGAAGAACGCTTCAAACTGACCGGTTGTCTGGTACTGTGTAATGTTCCAGTCAATGTCGTAATGTAGATCTTGAGATCGGTTTGGCAGCATGTTGACAACGGTGAGACTTACCGATATATTTAATGCAATCAAAAGTGAGTATCCGCAAATACGACAGCTCCACGAAATTCCTCCAGGTCGCTTTTATACGATTGTAAACGGAGCAGAGACGAGATGCGTCATATGATGCATTACGTCGATCATTAGTTTTACAACTTTGAGTAGGTCTCTCATTATCATCGCTAACAAGCAAGTACCAAAGGCTAACGGTGTCGCAAATGGCCAAGTTCCGCAAAACTGAAGCAGCGAATTAGCTCAATTCAGCAGGCTTCCTGGTATGACCAATCAGCGTCCGTAAAATTAGTAAGGGTCACACCTGACGATACTACCGCTACGCATTACGAAAATCGTTACGGCGTATTTTCTATCTCCAGGATAAAATTTTATATTTAGAAACGAGGGTTGGCACGAGTTGGAAACAGCGACTGCAAAGCTATTCTCAAATTAACATGAGGCAGCCGGGTGGTGTAAGATCACGAACATATCAACCCCAACGACAGTCAGTTTACTTAGCAGATTACGGAATTTTTTCTTCCACAAGGGAGGTTTCCGTACTTTCCTTTGTACACCACTATAGTACTGGGAATAAATTAATAAGAAAGATTACACAGCACAACTGCGCAGGTGAAATGCAGCGATCACGTCATCGTCGTATTTCTTAGACAATCCCGTAACTTCTTCATATCCCGTAATGCAGACCCGTAGTACAAAACCCTCGTGTGACAAGTCTGTAACAAGGCGCGATATTGGAAATTAACAAGAGTGGGACTTCTACGTACGCGTCCGGAAGGGTGAAACTGCAAGCCAGGGTTCTGTGACTGCTGTCACGTCTGATGCCATAATAATATAATTATAACAATAGTGTACGTGCGTACAATCAATTAGAAATACGATTCATAGAGGAAAAAAAGTAAAATCAACAGATACAAGATCCTGTAGCCAGGGGGTTCAAAAACTCATAGGTTATGAGGTCACACGGCTTTGAAGTAAATTCGTAAACTTCAACCAAGTTTGGGAATTTTGAGCCCAACAGTTACGAGAATTCGGTTAAGTGGGTGCAAAACCAAAGATATAAGTTGTTTGATTACAGAAGTTGTTTCCGCTGGGCATTCGTGAGAACTGCACTTGCGCTGCTAGCGTTTAGCGATCGCCCACTCTCGTACCGCATAGGCGTAATTACAGGATGTTATTACCCAAATTTCATCATGTTGAAGGATAACAACTGGTTCGTTCACAATGGCCTACGGGCTCTGCCTTTCCAGAATTTTGCGCTCGTATATCCAGATCGTACCTCAGTTCCTAGTTCCAACTCGTACGGAGTGATAATTAGCTACGTTTTAGTCTGGATAATTTGGACATCATGAAACCAGACAACCCGGAGATTTACATTTCGATACCCGTTTTGGTGAGCGGTTTCGGCTATCACTGCACTACGGGCTCATCACTTTTTCCTTGCGCTTTAGTTATAGTCCACAGCTCGTAAACGGCTTCTATATAATAGGTTTCGTATTAAGTACTTTCCAGAAACTAGTTAGCTGATTTGTGGATACGTGATATCATAGCTCCGTGAGATAGCTCCGCGCGTTATCATGATAGTATCCACTATTCAGCCTATCCCTCCACAACAAAATACTTAGCGACTCAAACTTGTCTGAAAGTACAGTAATATCGATCGCACTCCGTCCAGGAGAGGCAGTCGTTTTAGTAAATCAGTCCGTCAGCTGCGTTACCTCCCCGCTTCACGACCTTTGTATAAAACTCGTATACAGATTTATAATATTAAGAGTTACTCTATAGAATAGAAATATGTATATGGGACCTGTAAGTTGGTATGTCCGGCGTTTTTATTGATTTTCTTGCTGTATACAGAGAAACACTGGCAAGCGTTCGTGCATACGTTTGAAAACCGACCGCGATTGAATAGCGGCGATTCAAAAACCGGAAGTCAATTAGCGTTTTACCAACAATAAAGTAGATGGCTTTAAAATTTCATAAGCCAATGGTATTCGTAACCAATATGCGGAAGCTACTGGATCCCGTAAAAGAGGTCGCGCTGACATTGGCTTTAAAAGTATGTCTTTTTTTTAAAAAAATTGCGCGACCTTTTTTCATTCGGATATGTGTGGCGAATTCGATATTACCAAAACAGTTAGTTTGGTATATGGCCAGTGCTGGTATCTGCTGGCTCGATACCCCAATCTTGGGAAATGTTGTCGATAAACAAACTCACGAAAGTCACAAGTAATTAGTACATAATACTGTATAATCAATTTTGGCATGAATCGATGTCAAGTAAGTTATCAACCCATGACTGAATCAATTTGTCTACTTGTTTCGACGATCTTAGAAGGCGAATCCATGGCGGGGAGTACGTATACATGATAATACGGTGTATTCTGGTTTAAAATTTTCCTTATGGTGCACAATAACTTCGGCAGGAAGTTAAATGCAATTTCAGTGAACGATCACTTATCCACCCATGGCCATCGGCATTCACCTTCCTGCCGGTTGCAGTCACGGGCACCGGCATGTGAAGAATCCCCCGCTTCACACGTTATCATGCACAAACGATGCCAGTTATATTGGTTCTCTCCAATTGCCACATATCAACGATGAAGTGTCGTGGTTTTATCTTTCTCGATAGTTAATTTATACTACCGTCTAATTATGAGAATAGGACAGTATGTACTGTATAGTGTACACGATGGTGACTTAACTCGAAAAATGCATCTGCACGACCTGTGTGGCTTGCAATTACAGTTTTCGTGAATAATCCAGACCTACAGTATAACGTTCCTTATGTTAGCAACGGTAATTAAAACAAATTCTGCGACACGTGATTTTCCGGTAGAGTGGTACTGCAACAACTCATTCTGCGGACAAATCAACAAATACTGCATCGCTCACTGTTAAAACGCATCTATATTGTTTATTTGGCAATAGCACCCTTGCAAATATATCTTTTTAAATATTATACACGTTTCTTTAAATTTCTATTTATTTTATAATTATTCCAATGTGTTGTAATTATGTACAGAATCAGAAATTGTTTTCTATACACTTTTCGTACAATTTTCGTCTACGTCGCATAGTGTATTGTACATATATGCATTTTATGTATAATGCATACGCCGTTGTATTGTTACATTTTCACCGATTGCACTATGCGAATACGCGCAGTTTGTCAGAGATTCTGTTAGGGGTACAATAACTGCCATAATAACAATATGGGCAATATTAATTATTTTAATTTCTCAATATGTGCAAGGCGAGCTTCGCTCAACAAACATGATCAAATGAAACAAACATGGGCAATATTATGCCTTTTGCGTACAATATAGCACGTATAACTCACAGCAAACTACCGGTAGTAGTCAAAACTTTAGCTTGCAGCCAAACACTTCTCATGTTTTTTAACAGGTTTTTCGACTTTGAAGAGTATAGCTGTCGGCGGTCGTGTTTTTTATCCGGCGTTCAACAAAGCATAACGAAGAAATCAGTACCCGAAGAAAACAACCGAAAATCACACAGGTATATTCAGGCTCGCTGTATGGTTTCTTTTATCGTCGGCCTTGCGCAGAGGTACACGACTACACAATTGGAATTGTTGGAACCGATCGTAACTGATTTCATGACTTCTACTAACTCGTACTGAATAAATTATACAGTAGATAATTATGGAGCGCGTTTTATGGGATTTTTAACTTGATATTTTTTCCTATTAGTGTCTAATATTTTATTTGCTGTTAAGCCGATTGCGGCATGCAACGATCCGAAAACACCTGATCTCATTGTTATCTACAGCAGAAGGAATCGATATTTGATTATGATTGCTGTAGAGGAATAAAATTCATACGCATGTGCGCAGCTTTATCCGCGATGCTGTGCTGTTGACGAGATGGGTCTACTGCAGTTTTTCAATGTACCGCGATAATAATAGGCCCAACTCATACGCAACATCCGTGCAATTATATATGGATTGGTAAATCCAGAAGAGCACCTGTATGCACATCTTCGCGCTTATGGGTGTTTTTGCCTACACCGGTTCCTTGTGATTATTTCCATTTGATCGCCGCAACGTCTACTGGTAAACATGGCCTACAAGGAGCAGGAAACATCAATAGCAGTCAACGCGCAGCGCAAGAAACAACGGCGATGTGGAGCTCCTGCTGTGATATACGAGGAGCCTGATCTGGCATGCGGAATGATTGGCTACAAACCACCATGGCTGCAACTGTGCAATAACATAAAGGTTAGTAAATAACCTATTCTTTATGTTGTTGCATAGTTGTAGAAGATATAATTAATTTGTGTACAGCTTCGTTATTAATACAAGTTCAAAACTACATAATATACGCAATGTTCCGGTTGATTTTCAGGTTTTTCTAATCGTATACGTATGTCTCGGAATTTTCAAAGGTACGTACAGCAGTTATTACCGCGCAGCGCGCACTAACTATATGTAATTAAATTACAAAGTCTTAATAGTAAAGAAGTAAAGTTGACTATATGTAATTGCTGACTAAATGAAGTAATTATTATTACACAGTTATTGATATCTGTTTAATACTTTTGCTATCACCCAAACAATTTAAAAGGGCAACAACGAAAAAGAATAATTATACGATGTACTTGCATAATACGCACGGCCACGTACCCTCTGATCACGTCCCGGTACATATTGTTTTCAGTAGTTTTAGTAGTGTTCAGTAGTTGTTTTCAGTAGTTTTCAGTAGTTTTCAGTAGTTTTCAGTAGTTTTCAGTAGTTTTCAGTAGTTTTAATGGTATACGAAGATGAAGAAAAAATTTGATTACTTTGCATTTTGCTTTTAAACTCCATCAAATTTGGTGATTATACTGTTTTCGGGTAAATGTAACACGCACCACGCTTCGTTTCCGGTAAGGATAATGAAGAGATGATGAGCTTTATGGAATATATCGGTACAGCTGACGTTGTCTCCATTGCTTAACATTTACATCATCGACTGGAAACATAAGAACTCACGTGTGCTATAGGTCGTACAAAAGAAGCTGCAATTTAAAAAGAATTTTTATATTATAACAAGCTTGGGCGTTTATGAACTGGTTGAGAACCATCGATACGAATCTATCGAAAACATTTTACCGCGATTAACACTGGTACGAGCAGATTAAAAGCAAATAAAATAAATTTTTTTTTCTGAATGGATACGGTAACTTGAGAAACTAACTCAAAAGTTTTGATTCGTATTACGTACAAGTAAATTAGATAAACTAGCAGACGAATTAGATGGTATTTACTTTAAGCTGCAATGAAATTCTAAACGTCTATCTATTCGCCAAGCTTTAAAGTATTAGAGACCGAATTTTAAAAATTAATGGTAGTGCTGAATTCTCGGAAAATGTCAAAAAAGGATAGTACAGATAGTAATGCATTTTAGTTTTTTCAAGCAGGTGGTGATCATCTAAAGGTCGAATAAGTTGTTTTGCATGCGTGAATTGTTTACAGGTACCGTAATTTCGTATTTTGGAGCTGTCCTTCCGTCAATGGAGAGGCGCTTTGGATTCAAATCGACATCGATTGGGATTGCAAAAGCAATGCGCGACGTCAGGTATCAAAAGCCGCACCTTTTTAACCCAGACAAATGATAAATAATTTGTGATTTGGCTCGCGCAAGCAATTCATATACCACTGCGTGTTCATCTACATAAGTTAATTCTTCACTAACAATCTCTTACGTTCAGGAGTTAATCCTTGTTCTGTAGGTTGCTCAACATAAGTGTACAATTAATGGCTACAGAAGTTATTTTGGGTTTCCCGAGTAAAACAGTTTGTAAAAAATACGTTAGCTACACGTTGGCCAAAATTCGAACATGTTCGAATTTTGGCCTTTAACTAACGTGTAGCTAACGTATTTTTTACAAATTGTTTTACTCGGGTTTGTTGTCCAAAACTCTCCCTGGAGGTTTAAGATATACAAATTTTGAATCAAATTTCATCGAGCCAAATAGTATGATTGAAATATTATTATATTTAGCGAAATATGCGTGGCGCTGCTTATCGGTCATTTCGGCGGAGCCGGCCACCGACCGCGATGGATCGCTGGTGGATCGTTTCTTGTCGGGCTGGGATTCCTTTTGCTAGCCTCAACGGAGATCATGTTTCCCGTCACCGAGAACTCCCTCATGGCGACCACTGTTCTGGAAACCGCCGCCAGTGATAAATTCTGCATGGCCGACAATGTGACAACCGTGGCGAAGCACAACGACACATGCGGAAAAAACGCTCGTTTGAACCACCAGTGGATGCATGATGGTGCACTCAGTGTGCTCAGTGTTGCCGAATTTCTGATTGGTCTGGGTACGGCGGCCACGATTATTCTGGGCACGCCATTCGTCGATGATAACGTGAAGGCGTCCAATGCACCAATTTACTACGGTTAGTATATTATTGTTACTGATGATAGCTGCAAATAATGGGCGTTCTTAGTCATGCTTTACCAACTGACGACAAATTTTTAGCCATCTCCTTTTCCGGACAAATTTTCGGGCCTTTATTAGGCCTTGGATTGGCTGCTGTTTTCAATACCATTTTCTTCAATTTTTCAAGTAAGTGTAACAGCGTGCGGCAACTTCAATAATATCTTGCAGATCAATAATAATAAAAAATTAACATCTCTCCCAATGCTCAAATTGTTGTGCATTGCACTGATTACAGAGCCGGATGACTATCGGTAACAGCATGCGGCAACTTCAATAATATCTTGCAGATCAATAATAATAAAAAATTAACATCTCTCCCAATGCTCAAATTGTTGTGCATTGCACTGATTACAGAGCCGGATTTGCTGTCATCAGATCCGCGTTGGATTTCGGCCTGGTTTTTAGGCTTTATTGTCAGCGGGGTAGGAACGTGCATCTTTGCTGTTATTCTGAGTGTAAGTTTTCATAAAAAAAAAACCAAAACTTGCTTACAGTTCTTTCGAAATTTGAGTAACTTTGACAGTGTAACGTAGCCGTTGGCAAATGCAACCGGAAACAATTACACTTCTTCATGCGTTTGGTTTATATTGCAGTGTTTTCCGTCTGCTATTCCGAGGAAGGGCGGAAAAAACAAACCTAACGATAACGAAGAAGCCAGCCAGAACATAAAACCTATTGATCGCCCAAAGCAAGTGCCTGTCACATTTGCCGGTAAAAAACAACTTTGTTCCGCTGTTCGGCAAATGTTTGCAGCGTGTACAGCAGCTGATTACTTTGGCTTTTTGCAGATTTGCCAAAAAACTTGATGCGTTTAGGAAAGAATACGACTTATTTGTTGAAGCTTACCAGTCAGTTGATAAATGGGTTCGTTCTATCAGGTAACAGAATGACAGCTTGCAGCCATAATTTTAATTATCGCATTTATTGACTTCCGATGCGCTGCTAAGAGTTTACGAACAAATTCAGTTATGCGGCATTTATAAAAATATTTTTGTTTATATTTCAGGATTCTTACAGTTTGGCCAAAAGTTTATGAAAGAGCAATATCAACTGTCGCAATCAGCCGTAAACTTACAAGGAGGTAAAGCTATTCTTTCACGATTGGAGATGCCATATTAATTTCATGATGCTCGTACAGCAGCTTAGGGAAGGATTGGACTACATAATATTATCCAGTACATGTGCGGTCGTGACGACAGTAAAACTGCAAAGCATAACAGTTTAGATAGAGGTTACGATGGTTATATGACATTACTGACATCACTATGTGCCTTCGGTATTCCGGTAAATTCTCAACATTTTCCGGAGCGGACTGACACCAGTTGGCAGTCGGTTAAACTAGAATAATTACAAAGACTAGTCTTTGTACACTATTTAGTTTACGGCTTGTTTTCGTCAGGTCTAGGGAAAAGTCTGTAACCAAAATGTTACACGATTCTGATTCGCACATTTTAGGGGGGTGGTTTAGCACGGCACAAGCATCAAGTTACACAAAGGAAGATACTGTAAGGGACTATCTATAAACTACGTTCCCGAAAATTCGTTCTGTACGTAGTTTGTGTATGGTCCCTCACTATACCGTTAATTACAAATTTATAGTACACGAATAATACGTAATTTGCACAGCGAGTCCGCGACGGAATGTTTTCGCTGACTGCGAAGCAGACAAGAAAACGCCACTTCGTGTTTTTAATTTGAATGACATTGCAGGGTTACCGCCGATTTTTGGGGGCTTTATTGGCACAGTATTAGGAGGTTACGTTGTTAAGCGATTCCAATTGGCACCGCGCCATATCTGCTATTTGATGGCCGTATCATCCATTGTTGGGGCCGCTTGCTATTTCGGCGCTGTCGGACTCGGCTGCGACCGTCAACAAATTGTCGGCATAGATGATGTCCCGAACCCATACAATATGTTAGTGTAATAAAGTGCATGTGCTCCTTGTTCCTTTTTACAAACTGTTTCCCTGATTTCAGAAGCAACAGTGACCTTTGCTCTGTGTACCAAGGGTGCAACTGTAAGGACTACGAATTTGATCCTGTTTGTGATTATTCCACTCGAACAACGATTGTCAACTCTTGTGTGGCTGGATGCAAGGCTTCCCAGAAAATAAACGCAGTATGTGTGCCGAAACTTGTTTAAGCTTTAAGCTCGTCAAAAAGCCCGTAAGGAAATACGGTAGTTACCGATGCAAGATGGTCTCTTTTAATAGACGACATATTACTTCGAATGTTCTTGCACTGGCAATGACACCCACTCCAACGAAAGCTTGCTATATCAGTTATCTCATCGCAAGGAAGGCCGCTTCAAATCGCGGCACTTATCATCTGTACGGGATGGGATATGCCCGGTTAAATGTCCCAACTTCGTCATTTATGTCGCCTTGATGAGCGTGGCAAAGTTGGCGATGGGAATACCTATGGCGGGAATGGTAATGCTACAGTTCAGGTACGTGTACTATTTCTCGTATAGGTATTACTGTATTTGACCAGTTTTTTAAAACAACATGACCATAAGCAGAAGTGCAATCCGTGCGGTGGGATTCTAATAATCTTAATTGCAGAATTGTGGATTACGATTTAAAAAGTTTGGCAAATTCTGTGTCTTCGCTCCTGTTGACTCTCTTCGGCTTCTTACCGGCTCCGATAATTTTTGGAAAGCTGATTGATTCCTCCTGTCATTTGTGGCAGACAGACTCTTGTGGGACCCAAGGAGCGTGCTGGTTGTACCGTGTCGGCGACTTCCGATGGAAATTACATACTGGCATAGGAGTGTGTCGCTTGATTAACTTGGTGGTCGATCTAATGGTGAGTAAACAATACAAGGAACCCAAGAAACTAGTGATCTTTGTCGCCATGCCATCTGGCCTTCATGTTCAAAACAAGAAAGGTCACACATAAAAACTGAGAACTTAGTAGGTTGTAGTTATTAAAACTTATATTATACCGAGAATATTAAAACTTCAAAGATATCAAGACATAGGTTTTACGTATGCGGCGATAAATAAACTGGGAGGAATCGCATATGCTCGCTATAATGCCGTATGCCAATGCTCTTGGTTTTTGTGCCTCTTTGTAATCACACGCTCAAACCGCAATCTGGAAATTCTACAAATTCAATTATTTTTGCAGATAGCTTACCGGGTCCGCAATCTATCCTTCGATCGTGATAAAAATGAGACCGAGCTTGACAAGCCCGTGTCTACATTGTCTATGGTTCAAATGGGCGGCAATGGGATTGAATCGGAACAAAAAGGATCAGTGCCACAAAAAGAATTCACAACTGCGCCTCTTTGTGATAATCGATCTCAACTGTGATTTTCTTACCAAAGTTTCTAGATGGTTTTTATAATGCTAAAGTAATTTATTTCCAAGTGCAGTATCTGTTGCACAACGATGATGCAAGAAGTGGAATCGTATGTTTTGATTTTTTCTTCAGTATTTTGCGCCTTTTTGAACTATATAATTATACACCACTGTAGCTCAAATTACGAATAGTTTTTGTGATGTGTTGAAACCCGATATCCTTATTACGCAAGTATTACCACCAGTATCCTCAGCGAGATGCTATAATTATAGGCCAGTAAATTTGACTGGTATTTTGAAGTAAGAAAAATGTTTAGGACAGATCAGTTTGCTTTCAGATTGGCAGCTGAAAAAAAGCTCTGAAATTCTAACTGTTGTGAAGTTTTTTCGTGACACAGTAGGCTGTAGGCTTCGCCCAACCCTTTGGTTTCAAAGCTCATATTTAAAAGAAACGTTTGATAATACTCGTACGTCACGGCGTCACCAGTGCATGTAAGCATTTTATATTGTCGTGTCAGCGAATCCAGGGAAAACATTTATGTAAACTCCCAATGCACTTTTCGAACTGCACAACAAGCAGCATGTCCGGTGCGCCGGGGTGGATGGTTATACAATTACTCTTGTTGTAAGCCGGTGCCTCGACCCCTCCCCGCAGTGATCAGCTTTATTACAGTATACTAAAAATCGGAAGGAAACAGTATACTAAAGAATTTACGAAATTTCAGCTGTGGCTGATCCGAACGCTCTGTGTGCTTTATTTACGGTTTAGTTACTGCATCGAAAAATGAGTGTGATGAAATGCGAAGGCTTGAGAAGCCGTCCATGTACTGATCTTCGGGATATTTATATAAATAGTTCATATGGCATGCCATCTTTGCTGCACAAAACATTGACAGTCGCCGTCGCTGATGTATCTCCGTTCAGCTATCCCTTGCGTCCAGGATCCTTGTGCTTCTGCGGTTTGTCTATTTCTCTACTATCTGTCATCGCAGAAAAACTGTCGCTGAGGTACAGATATAGTGCATCTGTATACCGTCTGTAGACTCTGCACGGTAGTCACATCTACTTGTCGCATATTTCTCGAATAACCAACGCACAGGCCATCTTAGACATCAAATTCCAGTCGGATAACTTCTTGGTTGCTTTATGTAGGTTAGTACTAATTCCAGACCGGCAAATTCAGTATAATATGTCCAAGAACGGAGCCCAATACGATGTCCTTACCGGTCGTGTTGCGCTCAGCGTTGTTGCAATCTCCATTTCCCCAGAACGATTAAAGGATTATGACCTTATTTCGTGGTTTATGCCCAGGACGTATGAGGTCTCAGTGCACCGGTCTTACGTAAGCGAAAGCGGAACGTTCTCCATCCTCCAGGGTTTGACCCAGAGTTTTGACAACACCAGCTGGATCGGCATTATTTTGATATCATTCTGCGTTTTTTGCGCATTTTGGGAGCACAATGCATTCAGTATAAAATTTCAACATAATCGCAGGCGTAAATATGAGAAAAGTGTACAAGCTTTAGTCTACAAAGCGTTTAAGATGGCCTTTTGGGATTACCTCTACAGCCTCGCCAATCAAGGTGCATTCAATTTTACGGTCATACGCTACAAAATTTATATTGTGGCTTATTAAATAATGTTTCTTGTCTAGCGGATTTTAAACAGTCGAAACGGTTCGTCTGCAGCAACCTGATTATTCTGTTATGGCTAACCTGGACGACTGTGTTTTTTGCCATTATAACGCAGTCTTTGGTCTCGACTCTAAGCGTTGGCACCGCGACCTTTCCCTTTGATTCTGTCACTAGCTTCCTCGAGTCGGATTTCAGACTAGTTTCCAGACCAACTGACTTATTCCAGGGAAGTGTTCTACAGCGGATCACCACAAAATTAACCGTTCTAAAAGATAACGAAATCAATAATTCCAAGACATACACGTACGATTTGGCGGCCAATACGACAGCGAATATAAAGTACGCAGTACCGTGCGCGATCGGAGAAGATCCGGGATGCAGTGATCGGGGACTAGTCGGGGCATTTAATCTCGGAATTTATCGATGGGTTTCTGTTATGCAAATAAGAAAGAATTCGCCGTTGGCAAACGCCCTGCAAGTTCGGTAATAAGTTAAGTGTTTTCTTCATACAAAATTGGTCATAACTGGCATTCTTTTACGCTTTTAGATTATTGCGGCTTGCCGAAGGTGGAATTACACAGCACCTTCTTGAAATCCATCGCATCATAACGTATAATGAGAAGGTTACTGCGCATACGCTGATAAAGAACAGCAAAACTCATCGCGACGATTATCTTAGCGCTATTAAGATTGGACGCCTAACAAGCACAATGTTTTACGGTTTAGTCGTGATGTTTTCTGCAACGTTGGCTTTTTTGATGGAAAAATCGGCACCTTCGATTTTTGTTTATAATTCGGGAAAGGCCCAACAAACCTCAGTGCAGTGTTAATATCAAATTATTTCAAGTTTTACATTGGGAGTAGAATGCTGCCATGAAAAGTTCACATTCCGATAATTACGCAACCGGTCAAAGGCCATATATACTTAAATAGTTACGATAAAGTACAGATACATACTACATACTTGATACTGTCCTTGCTAAGCTACAAGTACTTCTCTGTGCGCTTTTTAATTTCTAGTGTAAAACTGCAGAATCAGGAAGAGTGATTTAAAAAATCGTATGTCTATCATGCAAAAACGTGGGTGGTCTTCATTGTGTATTTGCGATTGATGGTGTATATAAATACAAATCTACTCGTACAACGACAACCGACTTGACGTTTTTCGTGGAATAACGGTTAATTAGGTCATGGTCGACCGAGTATGCACCTGCTAGTAGTAGGTTGCTACGCTAAGCTCACATTGTCAGTGGGCAATAGCATGATGCATCGGAATGGTTTAAACAGGATAAGAAACACGAAAATCATTTTTAGATTCAAGATTTTCAATTTTACTGTAAATTTTCAAGACGAAACGGTAACATACCAAAATGACAGTTATCGCAGAAGTTAGTCCCAGCTGCTACTACCGCCAGAATCTCCACCACCACCTGTATCACAGCCACCTGAATCACTCGTGTAACAAGTACTCGCCTCTACGTGGTGATTAGTACAACTGGAATCAGCATCGCGGACATAGGTCTGCGTTTCTGCTGTAGTTTCGGTCGCGGAGTCATGGTTGGTCCGTGATGTCCCGTTGTCGGAATCAGTGGTGACTGTCACTAAATATGAACGTCCGCTTGTATTCGCAGCTCCAGCTTTAGAAGGTTCTAAAAACATGAAAAGCTCAGCAGTATGAAATATCATTGCCTATTTTTATATTTAGTCAAAGTGAGCTCACAGAAGAACTTCGATGATAACACAGTAAATTGCACACTCAATCTATTGTACGTACTCTTTGGCTTTCCGTAACAGCCGCCCATCTCCAAAACAGTCTAATTTGTCGGAAACACAGAATACCAAAGGTTTCAAGTTAGTCTAATGAATTAGTCGTGTATATGTAAAGAAACACCAACGAATTTGGCGGAGTTCGATGAATGCCAGTTTACTTTCTCCCAAGAATCAAGTGCAGATAAACCTTTGTTGAGTCATCGGTCAGCATTTATTTTAATTATCATCCTCTATTGAAAACAGGCAGCTATAGACGGGATAAGATAGTTACGATATGTTTCAGAGGGTGATATTTCATGTACATACAATTACTGATATTCCGTCTAGACTTGTATACTGCCGTACTTTACCTATGATGCTCTGGTTCGGGTTTTGCTCTTTATACAAGATGTACCAGATTGAAGAATTAACGGAAGCCAACATCATTAGTCTTCTTTTTATTTTTTCTGCTGATGGGTTTGAGTTGTATTACAGAAATCGTAAGCAACGGATAATAAGCTACACAGTTAAGGGATTTGGCCTGGTACATACCGGTAGCATCAAATTCGTAGACATCCATCCGTAGACATCCGGCGTTCACAAATGTGAAATTCAAACTTTGTAATATTAACGGTATACTTTCCAAGTCCGCTTCCGTAAAACAGTTTTGTAGTGGTTCTGACATAGTCGGATTTACAGAAACTTGGGATAGATCTGAATACTCAGATTCGTTATTCGCTGATTTGAGAAGCTTCAACGTTTTCAGGCGACCTAGAAGTACTGATCCCCATGGTGGCGTGTGCTTTGTCGTTCGAAAAAATTTAGACGCTGTAAGACGAACTGACCTGGAAAATAATGATCTTGAGTTGCTGTTTATTGAAATAACAAAAATTAATATTTTAGCTGCGGCATTTTATTCGGCGCCTTCTCGAGTATCTATAGATCTTCCAATTTTGATCGAACATCTGAGAAATATCCCGCATGCCAATTTTTCAAAACTGCTACTTGTTGGTGATTTTAATCTCCCCGATGTTGATTGGAGTAAAAATTGTGCGAGTAGCAAACATAGTCGTGAATTTTTAAGGTGTTTGAAAGAGTTTAATTTAAAGCAAATAATTTTTTGCCCTACGCGTAAAAACAATATTCCTGACCTTTGCATTATTCCTACAATGTGGTCAGCAAGTGTCCCTGAAAATATTTGCCCTCCGTCAACAACTAACGATCACAATGGGGTTTTCATTGAATTTCCTAGGCAGAAACGAAAAGATACTAAAGTACTAAAAAAGCGTTGGGTAATTACGGATGAAGCTAGTTTACAGTTTCGTAACCATTTGTATGAAATTGATTGGAATGCATTGCTACTAAACCTTAGTCCGGATGAGCAAGCGGTTTTTATTGAAAACACGGTTCTCGAAGCAGCTAAGGCATTCTTTCAGCAAAAAGAGGTCAGGTACGGGATGGCTGAATTCGAGTATCCTGCAAGCTTGCGTAATGCAATTCGAAGCCGGAACTCTGCATTTGACCGTTTTAAACGTGAGCTGAACACTTTGCGAAAAGAAAGATTGCGACATGAATGGTTGAAAAAGTCTCGGTTAGCAGAGAGGCAGGTTAATGCATATTACCGTATGCAAACAATGAAGATTGCGGCTATATCTCGGCATGATAGCAAAAAATTCTGGCGCTTCGTAAAGTTGCGGTAGATCGCCCAAATATGCCTCCACTGAAACGACCGAACGGTCTTCATGCTGTGGGCGATGAAGAAAAGGCTGAGTGTTTGAATGAACAATACGCGAGTGTGTTTGGTCAATGTCCAGTGCATTGTATGGCTGCTGCTCATGTCACTGAAGATGTAACAGAAGAAAGCTTATTTGCTAGTGATATCGACATTTGGGACGTTTTGCGAGCAATTAATTGTAATAAATCTAGCGGACCGTATGATCTATCTTCAAACCTTCTTAAAGCTTGTAGTGCTTCACTGATCCATCCCCTGAAAATTTTGTTCAATAATTGTTTAATGAAAAGCGTATTTCCCATGTCATGGAAAACCTTTTTCGTAACTCCTGTCGTCAAACAAGCTGCTGATCAGACCAACCCTGCAAACTGGCGCCCAGTGGCAATGTTACATCCTCTGTCGAAATTATTTGAAAAATTTATTTGTAAAATTTTGAAAATGCAAATTGGCGATTTTACAGATAAACAATTTGCTTACCGTGAAAAACATTCTACCGAACTTTTGTTAACTTTGTTCTGTCAAAAATTAGCCGATGCTAAAGGTCGTGGTAAACGTGTCGACATTATTCTGTTGGATTGTAGCAAGGCTTTCGATAAAGTTGATCACTCTATTTTACTTGCAAAATTATCGAAAATGAATGTTTCGTGTAAAGTTGTAAACCTTATCAGTAGCTACTTATCAAACCGAGTGCAGTCGGTTATTGTAAATGGCAAGAAATCGGTGTATTTACTGGCTACAAGCGGAGTCCCTCAAGGGTCGCTTGTCGGTCCCAAATTGTTTAACTGTCTCCTTAGTGATTTCCCTACTGTTTGTGTCCATGGCAGTGAAATGTTGTTGTTTGCTGATGACGTGATGATGTACAAAATAATCGAATCAGATGTGGATGCGCTAGATTTCCAAAAAGATCTGGATGCCGTCACTAAATGGGCACGCAAGCATAACTTGATCTTCAATGCGAAAAAGTCGGCCTGTGTTCAGTTCTCGTTCAGAAAGAAAATATCTCAGCCCTATAAAGTAAACGGAGAAAGTGTCCCCATAGTTGATTCGGCTAAGTATTTGGGAATTTACGTAGAGCGCAGTTGCAAATGGAAATTGCAGTCTGAAAATATTTCGAGTCGAATGCTAAAGCGTCTGCGTTACCTTAACACGTTATTTCGTTCCCGAGACTTGTCAGCACGTTGTATGCTGTATACGAGCCTCGTTCTGTCCATCTCTGATTACTGTGCGTCTGTCACCTTTTCAACTCAAAAAGGACTAATCGATAATGTGGAAAACGTTCAAAAAAAATTCATTCAATCACTTCACCTTAAAACTGACCGGAAAGACTATATTGGCAGATTAAAGGAGCTACAGTGGGAGCCCATTGTACGGCGCAATCTGAAGCGCAGTCTTCAGCTTACGTACAAGTTTATATACAACCTAATCCCTTATGGCGACAAGTTATTTTGTAAGGGTACTGCGGTGCGCTCTGGTGTTGCAGGTGCTACGCGTCATCAGCAGGTGATGGCTGGACATCCGTGCCCGATTTCCCCTACTGGATCAACGTTTGGCGGTCACATGCTCCCAACATCGGACCGATCGTTTGCTTACCGGATGGCGAGGATCTGGAATGACTTGCGCATTCCTGCGGAATCGTACCAGAGTCTTGGCAGATTTACTGCCGCTTTAAATTGTGTCGATTGGAAGTCTGTAGTGTCTTTGAAGAAGTTTTACCACGCTGAGCACGTGTTGTTATTGAACATGTAAATGTCTGTAAATTTGTTTAATTATGACCATTTATTGTTTCTTGTCTTCCGTTTTTTTATGACGTGTCTACTGCCTCGGATTGGGCCTTAGCCCAGATTGTGTGTGGACGTTAAACCATTAAACTTAAACTTAAATCCACGGCAATTTTCGCTGCCGCGCACTCCCACACACTTTTTTGCATTCCTTTATGATATTTTGTAGCCAAAGGATTGGCATACATAGGCGAAAAAACCGTTTGTGCGCGCAACATCCGGTTCGGGAGTTATTAGTGAAATAAAATTCCAAAAGTTTAAACGCGCGGAGGTGTACCAAAAGTCTCTTCAAATTTTGCAAAAATACACACATTATTATGAAGATCGTTTTGGTACCGAACCAGCTTTCTACCAGTTTTTTCAAATTTTAAATTAATTTTTTAAAATTTTGAAATTCCGAATTCGGTGTACCAGGCCATATCCCTTAAGAGCAGTGCTGTAATGAAAATTATTACATTCTGCATTGTGGACTGCAGTTATACAGCCACACCGCTGCAACATTAATTTTTAAGTTTAATATGATTGTACAGTAAATAAAGAAAATTACTTTTTAATGCGCCATCTGAAAATCATGTTGGCATTCGAATCAGAATTACAGCATATGTACCAGATATCAGAAGCTTCACAATAGCAGATTTGCTATAATAAGTGCATCAAAAGACAAAGACAACAATTACTGACCAGTGAAACCAGTGACCATTAACGCAATCAATTCTCGGACTTGACGGACAATAAAGTGTTAGAGTTATTCGTTATTTATGACGCACGGTTATTTTTTTCTTGCAGAATTCAAATAAATTCGCTGATAAATTCTGTTCTCGGCAGTTGTTGGAATGTACTCACTCTGGTGCTGAATATCTAGTGTGGTAAATTGGCGCCGTAAAATGCCGCAGTTACAGTGCGTTCGACAAACATGTACAGAGCGTACGTTTAATGATTTATTCATAAATATGCATTAGTCACCGCCACCACCTCCACTGTCACATCCGCCACCGCTGTCTCCTCCTCCGCCCCCGCCGGTATCACAGCAGCCTGAATCGCCAGTGCCTCCGGAAATACCACCGGTGTCTCCACTAGTGCAACCGGGATCATCTCGGACATAGGTTTCCGTCGCTGTTGCGGTCTCGGAGTAGTTTCCGCCGGTTTTTGTACTATCACCATGATCTACCCATGCTTGGCCGTTGTCCATGTAAGTTGTGGTAGCGGTATAATCTGCATCATTTGCGGGATATTGTCGTTGGGGATAGAAATACTTCTCTGTAAACGTCAGCAGCATATGCATACATAAAATTGTACGAGTTAACATTTTGTACAGTAAGTACATTTTTATATGTAAGCAAACTGCTGTATCCCTACAAACGTTTTGCGATGCACATGCATATGATGATCAATTTATATTATAATCAATATGGCATAATACATTGTTTGTAAATAACATACAATTATACGAAGCCAGGGGCCCAAGGACTACAAAATGTGGTAGAATTACTTCTTCCATTACTGGTAGGAGCCTATAAGCTGCTATGCACGGTCACGGTTTACTAAACTGGGACTTTGGGATTTTAACGTTACCACAAGTTAAGTTTACCTTTTTTGAAATCAGCCTGATCAAGCAACAAAAACAGTAAAATGGAATTCGTGCTTACTTTTTGGATTTTCGTTTGATCCAAAGCAAGTGCAGCAGCCACCCATATTTTCAGATTCCGGTCAGCAAAAAGACACTGCGTCTACCAAGAACTAAGTAATTGTTACAAGTCCAAGAAGGAATTACAGTTCTTTTGTGCGCGCTTCTAATAACTCGAAGATATTAACTATTCAAAAGGCAGTTAAACGGTTTATAGTGTAGATACAAATAGTATTTCCGCGTAAAGCTGCAAGTACATGTTGTCTGACTGTAAGGCCAGACAAACAATAATAATTATTAGATAATACTCGTGCTTATGGTACGTGTTTTATATCGACGTTATTTCTTCTCACCCATGATTTTGCAAGGGAGTACATGGTAGATGAGTCGCACGGCGAGTATGAATCACAATCGAATTAGCTAAGTGGTGAAGTAATTTTTCAAACCATTGTTCAAAGTCCGTTTGTGACAAATAGCTGGTCCTTCCATGAGTACAAAGCCCCAGCCTAAATAATAGTGCATAGTGCATCTGGTAAAATGGTTTTATTATGGACGTCAAGGCTGTGCAAGGTGCAGCTTACCATAAAAATTAATGACGATATCGTGCTCCAGTACTGCTACCCATTTGCCAGGAGAAGCTGTCTTATGACAGCATAATCACAGCAAGATTCACAAGTAGAGGATGTTAGGATAAACAGAACGTATAAAACGAAGCGGCGATTAGTAAAGCGCAAACCAGCGGAAATGCACGTCGCACGCTACTCATAATTTGTGCACGTTCGTGCTGTGGTTTTTGAAACTTTACAGTACCTGCCTACTGCTGGATCGGTCTAGTGACTGACTGACTGCAGTATGATTATTGATCATAACCTTGCTTCATGCTTTCCGACAGTTACAGCTTAGGACAAAATGGTCGCATACCCAACATCTCCACATTCAGTACGAATGCAGTGCAGTACACTGTACGGCTAAGTTCAAAATATCCGGTTCGTACAAGTGCACTGCACCGCATGCGTACAGAATGCTGGGCATGGGGCTATGCGACCATTTCGTCCTACATTGTACATGTTCGTACATATATATACGCCTAGAAAAATCCAGTGTTGCAATTGTTGTTTTACTGCTTTGTGTAAACGAATTTATAAACAGATATGCGCTTTTGCGGTGTAACGCGGGGCAGCTTTTCGCGCCATCAAATGGGACGCGACGCGGCGGCAGTCAGTACAGTGAACACTGTTTGGGAAAATTGGGTTATAAAGTTAACAGTAACAAATATGTGCAGTGCATTGATCCTTTCTACCTAAAAATTTGAGGAAAAACGTATTATAAAGTCTGTGCCGTAAACACATTTACCAACGGAAATGGCTGCAAGTACAGTAATAATTTCATTTGAAAGCCGCCGATGCGGTGTAGCCGTTACTAGGAGTATATACAGATTAACGGATACACTAACCGTTCTAACGTACGGATAGCATAGCAAAAGTACAGGTTGGGGTATCCACTGAGATTTCGATTAAAGTGCGCAGCTGATGCCGGTAGGGATTACTAAAACGTAAGGACTGGTACAGTATAAGGGATAAGCAACGTGATACATTCATATAGTACCCGTAGTTTCCGAAATAATTTAGCATGCGAGTACCACAATTATCAGTCACAGTTCGGCGTTTCAGCCGGTTGGACATTTTTTCATTGCGATATTATGTTTTATTTGTTTCTCTGTAATATTATAATGCATGGGAGTGGCTTGTGGCTGCAGATGAGCACGACTCATTCATGTACCAGTATGCTCAACGCGATTCGCTTGACTCAGTGACATCTTTTTTTATTTCGAAATGGTGGTTTGTGAACCTGCAGTATTCGCTTAAGCTAAAGGCTAAAGATATGAACCGTAATAAGCGTTAAATTTATCCCAGTCCGCCCTAAACGGATTTCTACCACGTCGAAGTACAAACAGGTTATGATAAAAATGACCGGTACGCCGGGTACAGCGTCGTATACGTACAAACAAACTGTTGAAGAAGTAAGTTTTTATCAGTTTCCAATTACAGTATGTTTAACTTTTCACCTCTGATGGGTCCGCGTCATGGAAGCGGCAAGTCGTACGCTTTGACACCAATTAGACATTATTCTACAGTTATAACTATAGACTAATTACAAGAAATATGTATATACTCCAAGGACCAAGAATTTGATAAATAACTTATATGAGCTCGCAATAAGCTTCGACGTAGTTTCTATAAGTTTGTGAATAATGCTTGTTTGCCAATTTCATGTACGAATTGCTACTGTTTTCTGTTTTGTAATCATATCAGGAGTAAGTCGCAATGAATTTTCTATTTGCATGTCAAGACTCGAGAAAGCTTTACTCAAGAAATCACGACGCTGGAAATTAAATTGGCAAAGATGAAAGAAACCCGTGTATGGAAACTATGCGTGAATTAGAATTTCGACTTTTGCTAATAATATCAGCAATCATAGCGGCAAAAAACCGGACTGGTGTCCTGTTCTTGTAACGAAATCATTCAGTTAATAACCAGTTTTGAGTGAACTGCGTTAACAGCCACACAGGATGCTAACGACCCTTTGTAAAACTAATTTGATGAGTGTCCGGTGGAAATATCCGAAACATCCGAACTCGAAGAAGAATACGCCCGAACTACCATGCCAGATAATGCACCAGGATGATGATGGTCTTCTTTTTCGGTTTTCACTGGAATGGGCAGGACGCCGACTGGTCGTCCTGCGGCCGCTTCTTCTTTCTGCTTTCTTAATAGCTTCTTGTGCTTCTGCAAAACGAAAGTGAGTGATGCAAGTATCCTTCCCAAATGTGCTAATATCTACGTTGTGCTCTTATCTACAGCAAATTTGGTTGTTTTTTTATGTTTAGTTTTAAATACCATGGAGTCTACCAGCGCTTGCAGCTTTTGTTAATTGGGGGCTATTGCCAGTAAAGCTTTGTACTCGTAGTCATGGTAAAGTAAAGGAAATATGTCTACTGTAACCTGTTCTGTTATGTTATGACGGTTATTGTGATACTAACTATGTATTAACTAGTAATGTGTTCTCTAGGTTTGCCTGTCGTTTGACACTGACCACTTACCATTCGGCGATTTTGCTGCAAAAAGAAATAAATCGTTCAGTTAAAACAGTGAAAAAAACCAATGTCAAAGAGAAAATTACTTACAAACCACGTTTTAACTTGTGTTTCCGATAAACTTAGACTGTTGGCCAACTCAACCCTTTCGGGAGTTGACAGGTACCGTTGGGATTCGAAACGCTTCTCCAAACCGTTCAGCTGGTGATCGCTAAATACGGTGCGGGCCTTTCTCCGTCGGCACTGCTTGATATTGGCCATGTCCCCTGATGAATTAGGACTGCGTGGTGATTGGAAAAATGCCGGAACATGGAATCCTAGTTTTCGTAACAATACTAAAGGTCTGGTTAGAGAAGCGTATATTTACGCGTTGAAAGGGCGTTTTTGGTGCACTACTCTGTACTTGCAAACCTTTCGTGTTTACGGTATTTCCGTTTTATTTTGTTGTTAATTTAGCTGTAGCAAGACAGTACGTAGTCTGCATGTCTTTCATGTGATGCGTACTACTGGTGCAGCTGATAATGAACTTGCGCTAACAATTATAATGCTAGTATAAATTTTGATGCAGTATTTTCGATAGCGCAGTGTATGCACGCCTTGACTGAATATTGCAATACGAAACGCAGTGTGCTGAATTTGTGCATCTGTAGAATTTAGCTAATCCTTCGGTCTGACTGTTACTAAATTTATTTGTATTAATATTTATATTGCTGTGGATATTTCTTTAAATTTTAAGCGTTGACTGCAGACTGCACAGTTAATACAGTTGCCATAATCATAATGTGGCGGTACCGGCAGGACACAACGCTCGTTTTGTAACAGTAGAAACTTTAAGTAATGTTTTGTTTTTTAGCAGTTGATACTCGTTCGAGAACTGATCAAAGCTCATTTTATTGACCATTTGAATATAAACAGATTTGGTTAAATTCTGAAAAAAGCTCAAGCTGCTGCGGTTATAACCGAATGAATGCATTACGCTTGTACTGTAAAACTGTCTTTATATTGTTTAATAATCCAGATAACAAATCGACAGTGTTAAATAGCACATTGTAAGATCATACTGTGTTTACACATAACTAGGAAACTGTTTGACCTTTTTCTCAGTACTCTTGGTAATTTCAACAACTATGGCGTCGTCTTTCTAGCTTCTAACGTTTTATGCACGATTGCGGAATAGGTCAGTGTGATTACTGATGCTCTTACCTGGCGTCGGGATGACCAGTGACGCTGCGCCTTCCGGCCGATTCCCGGCATATAACCACCTGTGGTAAGCCGCATTATTGGGGAAATTTTGCAACCACAAGTTGGAATACGGTGGATGACCCGTGGGGCATAAATTGAGGGAATTAGTAAAGCCGCTGGACAACGCGGTGCGCTGTAATCCCTGCAAGAAGCTCTGTTGCGCCAGGTTGCCCTCGGGTACGGTTAGCTCCTTCGGCGGCAGAATGTCATCGATGCGGAAAGATGTGCGCGAAGATAAATGGTGTCCCGTAGATGTCGGTAACATGATGAAAGCGAGGATAAAGAGCTTACAACACTTGACGAGGACAAGCAGTATTGCCGGTGCTATAACGATCGCGTGTGCTGTGTGCGGTGCAACATCAAGTGGACTTGACAGTCAAATGACACCAACTGAGCACTAAGCGTCGTTCAGTCGCTGGCTGGGATGACAGATTTTGTGCGCCTCGTTTCACACAAGCCGCAACCAGTGCGCCGCATCATACGGATCATCCTGTGTGGCATAGAGAATAATCATCCATGGGCTCGATACAGAGCGGAATAGATAATTGGGTTCATGAATGGAAAGTGTTAAAATTGATGGAAAATGAACTGTTCCATGGACTCTAGAGGACACTAATCAGCGTGTATGGCACACTCTATATTAAGCGAACAATGTGCCGGCTGTTGACTGGGATAATGTCGTCCTGTGGATGTGCAGTGTATGTGCGCGTATATGTGTGTGAGGATGATAGAAAACATGCCTAACAGCAGTAATGGATTCTTGTTGAGTACTGCTGCCTAATTTATATGGAGTGACTGCCCCGCAGTGAGGGAATTATCTGGGCGGCTAACCATGTCGTCCGGTGGATAATTGTGACTAATTGTCCAGAATCACAGTTGTTCAATCTGTTGCGACTACCCGATGAGTGGGAGGTCTGGGATAATCTAATGTTTATCCATTTTACGCGCTAAATGGTGATGTACGGCACTGTCCTGCTGCTGCTGTTGTGGAGGGGGATTTTAACTCGCCTCGTCAATGGGGGCTGCAGCCGTGTACAAGTGACTTAATGGCAGATGAATTCAAGTGAAAATGGGCACATTTGGGGAAATTTTATTTCCATTAGCTGTAGTTTGTTGTGTGGATTTAAGTCGTTTCACTGCAAAGTGATACCACTTAATACGCTGTTTAGCTACTTTTCGCTTTATCAAAAGGCAACACAATTTAAGCAACAAAACTGAATGGAATCTGTGGTACTGTCACATGATGTTGCTTCTTGAAGTAAAATAATTGTTTGGTAACCTACATTAGCAATGAATATGCGAACTTCAAGTATTCTGACAGAAATTAATGAAACCATAATTATGCCAACTCTGGTGTAGAGAGTAAAGTGCGGCAAAACTTTTTTTTCGGTGTAGCAGATTGTAAATACACAGTTTCACCCTTCAACAAGAAGCATAACAAAGATATAAAACATGTTTACTGTAACAAACTGAATGGTTAATTAGGCATTTTGTTAATTATATTTCGGCTTCGTCTCAATTTTAGCCGCGTGTTAAGTGACCTTTCGTTCTTAAACATTCCAGTTTTGTCACAGTTATAGTGTTTTCGTCTTTTGGCGGTAAAGCAATACGGAACGATGTTGAATGTGCTGACATATCACGGTGCCGGTCCATTACTACGCAACGGAAGCAATCTTGTACGCTTTGTTTGGCCGCGATACACGTAACGGCCGTAACAAGAGTAACTAGCAGCCTTTGAGGCAAAAATTTCAATCTCATCAACGTGCTAAGTGGGATGGGGGACAGTGTAATTGCGGAAATCAAAAGCAGAGTTGGGCATGACATTACGCAGTATTACTGTCGCATTGCAAGTGATCTGGTTGTCATTGATCAAATTATTTACTGGTAACAGGCCAGTCAATACACGGGCAAATGAATGCCTAATTGGTTGTAAATAGAGTGGCTCATTTTTCTGATTGGTTTAATACATTTCCGTTCCATGCCATTCTGTCCGACTGAATAGCCGGCTGATGACTAGATAATTGCTAACTAATTATTTGCCGCCTCGTGCATTACGCTGTCTTTTATCGCATACACCATGGAGCAAGATGCAATGAATAATTGTTTGGCTATCGCTATCACGAGAAGAATTTGTGGTTTGTTTATGACGCAAATTCTCGAATTGAGTGTTGTTTATACAGATAGTAGTACATCTGAATGTCTTGTGTCTGAAGTGCGTAGAAGTCGAATATAACGCCGATTTCTGCCTTTTCACTTATTAAATAAATCAAATAAGGCATGCTTCAATAAATCATAGCTAGAACTCGTAAAACTAACGATTTCAGTTTTATTTACTGAATTCTTGTCGTCTACACTTACTGTGTGTGCAACACTGCAAGTATAAAATAGATTCAGATTCAATATAAAAGGTGTCAGTATTCTGTAGCGAACTCACTAGTAATTCATTAGTAATTCACGGCATATAGACTATATATAAGTTTTTTAGAGTAGCGAATAATAATTTTCCGGAAAATGAAAGCCGGTACTTACTTTTATTGGTCCAATTTGCATACGCAGGTCATAGTTAAGACCTTTCAAACAATACCTAGTGTACCTTACGCAAAGGAATGCTCATTCATTTTCATTCGGTAAACCGCGACATTTTGTAAACTATGTACGTACGAAACTGCTAAAAATACGAGTATACAATTCTGTGTGTACGGTATCTCTCTATTATACTCGTACGTAGCACTGCAAACGGTCTAACCGATACTAACAAACAGCTGTGCCTAGAAAATACCGCTTGTACATGCTGGCAACACCTGCTCAATACACTCGTTACCTTTAATAAGTATCACACGTAACTTCGTAAGTAGAAATTAAGTATTAATTAAAACAAAAAGAAATTCATAATAAAAACATTTCTGCTATGCTATCCTGCTCAGGGAATGTACCCGTTACACATGGATCTCAATAAATTTTCTTGGTTGACTTAACAACGGTTACTGTAGCACCTTGTATCTTTTAAATAATGTAATTTATAACCCATTTTCATTTCATAGTTACAGTACTCCAGACTGTGCAGATATCTAACTAAATCGTAAATTACGTATTCCATTTATTCTAAACGCAGGTTGCCGCACGCTGTTTTCGTACCAATGCAACCTTCACAGCGTGAATGTAGCTAACAATAACGAAAACGGAAAAGCCATTAAAATAAGTCTCGGGATTATTTGCTGTATTATTGTTACTCGTACAAACCCTGATTAGTGTGACTGGCTTGTGCTAATAAAAATCTATAAGCTTGAGTAATTAATTAAACTGCTTTTACTGACACTAATTGATTATGATTTCTTTCATGTATTACATACACGTAAGTACTTCTGGGTTGTCCAAACAATTATTACGTTATTACGAGTTCAAACAATTTTAAACAATTTTAATTGTTTCAAGCATTTTTTACAGTTTTAATAGTTTTATAATTTATTAGAACATGCGCTCGTTTAATACCATAAAACGTACAATAAGTACTCTGCTCTTCTGTAGGAAGCGGTAAATGGCGCCGATGCCAGGTGTAAAATTAATTAATGGTTTACAACACCAACAAAGTTCTATACCACAAAGATTTTTTCAAAAACACACAATTAAAATGACTAAAGAAGGCCTTCTACGTAGTTAACGTCTAAGCCGGCTCTCATCAGTTTGCTTAACATATCTTACATGATGCCCCTAATTCTTCCGCAAAAGCAAATGGGTGCAGAAGCTTTTGGAAACCGGCATCTTATGGTAAGATTAGAAATAAGTTACTGTACCTACTACTACTAGCATATAATTTTAGAGAAGCTCCGAAACTACAGGTACGAGTATGTAATTTTGAATGTCTTAATCTCTTCCGCTGCACACTCGTGCGGACATTGAAGTGCTAAGTTTGCATTTTTACTTTCATATCTGTATTTACACCGATAAATTTGCTGGCAAGCCTTTCTCAGTTCAGTCATCTTCTGGCCTTGTAATACTCACCTATTGATTAATCCAAATACGACGAACAAATGTTCATTCTGCGTTACTCAAGCAAAACCCATCGGAAACGCATACCTAGCTCAGCCTGAATTTTATGGCTTTAAGCAGAGCACTTTATCGCAGATATACTCATATCGCATAACATTAAGGTATACTGGACTTTAATCCATTACACGATAAAGCCGAAACAAACCTTGCGTTTTATTAGCATAGTTTCCTTTCGCCTGTGTGAACAGAAATGCAGTCGTCGTTAAATCAATTCATCGTTAGGCGCGAGTTTCGTTCTGACAAGTATCAGTTGTGTTTCTTTTTAAAACATTGTATTATATGCGTTATTTAAAATGTGGGGATTAAAATCTTGCTTTTTTTTGTTATTTGTTGTTTCATATGTATATTCTAGTGATCATACCTGCGAGCTATCGTGCGACCATTTCTCGGAAGGGTGTACAAAATGTACAAATACGACATTCCAATGCGAAAACCGCGCTCTGAAATCCGTATGTGCCGCCTACTACAATAACAATTCAACAGAGATGCACACCGTTGACCTGCGGGATAACCTTATTAGCAACTTCTCCAGTTTTCCCGCCAAATCGAACATCAAAGTCCTCTTCATCGGCAACAACCATTTTACTAGTTTGACAAAAGCCGACATGGAACGGTTCCCTTTACTGGAAAAACTTTTCATAGAGCAGAATGAAATTAAATCGCTGCCTAAAGATGTTTTCGAAGGGAGTACGTTCATTGAAGAATTACATATGAGCGGGCTGGGATTAAGTGAACTTCCCGACACCATCTTTAAGCCGCTGAAAGCCCTGACATTCTTGGATTTAAGCCACAATCAACTAAAAAAAGTGCCGGCCAACACCTTTCAAATTGGAAACCGCATACGAACTTTATTCCTAAACGGAAATCCGATCACAGAACTGGCACCAGTGGATTTTGTCGCTCTAAGGAAAATCGAGGTTATCCATCTGGGGGAGACGAAGCTTACAACCATAACCGACCATGCGTTTGCCACACTGGATACACTAAGAGAAATTAATTTTGATCACAGCAGTCAACTGCGCTTTATCGATGAGACAGCTTTCGGGTGGTACCTTCCAACTCCCGGGAAGTATGCTGCCAGTCTAAGCAAAGTCTCCATCCGGTCTTGCTATTTAAGTAATTTAGATGAGCACGTATTCAACGTCAAAGGTCTTGAGGAATTTAAATTTTCCAATAATCCATGGGAATGCGACTGCTCAATAAGATGGTTGATGGATCCAGAAACGTGGAAAGTTTCGCCGGGAAAGGACAAGATCATGGAAGAGCTAAATAACTCTAAGTAAGCATTAATATTTCAATTATAATTACTGTCAGCCATTATAATGCACGACGCAGAAGCGAGGCAAACCGCATCTGATCGTATTTATTTTGCAACTAAACACAAGAACATAACTGAAAATAAAAGGGATTTATAGGAAATCCGAATTGTTTCCTTTTTAAGTGCGTTGCACATGTGTAGGGCAATTCTGAGGTGTTAGCTTTCGTCTTTTTTCTTTTGATGGATGTCTTAATGCCGATATACATGTGTATAATCCAATAATTAGAAATATAACTTCAGTAAACAAATCAGCCATTCTAAAGAATGATCAATTTTCCTGCAGATGCGATAACGACAAATGGAAAAGGACGCCTCTCGCGGCAGTACCGTTAAACCAGTTGGAATGCGGAGTTAAAATTCCTAATTTTAAAGATCATCCAGCACTTCGCTTGAGCTCCAGCCTAAGCACGGTGACGACGATCATGATCATCACCTTATTGGTGTGCTGTATATCAGTCGTTCTGGGAATTTTAATGTTCCGACGATGCACTCGCCAGACCAGTATGCCACCCGCCGTTAACCAGTACCGGGCGATTTACAACCAAGGCCATGTACAGTCACTTGACGAAGGCTTGGATAAGGACGCCAAAAGCCCGTATGAATTATGAGCGGAAAATATACCGGCTGTGATAAAAGCACAAATCTAATGCAAACATCCTCAATACATAAAGTAACTCGTGCGCATGATGACATAATTATACCTTTTTGTTTTGTTCAGTTGTTCAATATTATAATTGCAGAAAGTATGAGTATGCCGATACGTCATGCAGGTATGCATGCAGATGTGTTTAAATACAGTTAATTTTATAATGATAAAGACATCGAGCTTTTGGTCATACCGAAAAGTTGTGGCATGCCAGGATGTGCAAAAGAAAAGAACCGGGCAGGCTTTACTGAATTCCCATTTATGTACTTTTTATCTGCTGACTGTATAGTGTTGTATACTGTAATGAAAAAGTGACGCAAAAGGTGCGCCCGTGCACCTTTAGTAAAATTGTATCTTTTTAAGCAAGCACAATGCATAAACAATAACGGCTGTTTTGTGGATACACTCGGCGCTTACCTGTGCAGAATGTGCTCGTCTCAGAAAGATTTTAGTGTAAAACCTACTGTTCTTTTAAAATACCCTCTGGCCTCAGTATATAGAGATCTAGAGTGCAATCTGCTCGTACGCGACTTGTCTTGGAGCATTGTTGTAATCAAAATCGCCGATCGTAATTGACACTTACAGAAGGTGTGGCAACTTTTTTTTGGAACAGCCATGGTCGGAAAAGAAACTGTTTCCGGAAAAATAAAAACCGTAAAAGCCGCTATTCCTTTTGCCCGCTTCCTTCAGTTTGTTTTAGGTACAGATCTCGATCCTCAGAAACCGTACAACATGGCACTGCGATATTGAATTCCAGTGTTGTTTGGCGTTTTGTTTGTGGTGGATGTTTCTGATTGGGCGCTAAATACTGACAATTTGGTTATCGTCAGTAACGGTCTCGTCATGCATCAAAGCCCCATAATTTCTTTAATTGCTTACTGTACATGGCAAGGCAGATTTCATTTTTCACAACTGCAACCGTTTTTCTGGAAGCTGCCATGAAAACTAGCGACATTATGCACATTTTATCTAAAATTGTGATGATTAAAGATGGAGTAACTCAAAATTGCTGCGCCATCCAAACGTATCATGAATGAATACATTTCGGCTTGTTCTCATTCTTCTAGTACATTTATGTTTAGATGTTATTGTGAAGTATTGGATACGTACTGTATACTACATTAGTATTTATTAATGTTTACTGTAACTTGTCCGCGAACGTACTAACTGCTCATACAGTTGTACGTGACAACAGCGTATACCTATTCGTATCTAAGCAAGTCAGGACGTACAAGGTTATAATTATGAGAATACACGCGACCGGCAAGGTCGCACACATATACCACAGTTATGATGGTCGGGCATGCAGATTTCTGGCAGCCAAAACCATATTCAGTGTGGTTGATCCCGTTTGGCGTTATCGACATCTCCCAGCACGCAGTTTGGACCTTTACACGTCTGCTGCCTAACATCGTCTACACGCTATATTACTACCTGGTGACCGTCTTGAGTAACAGGATTGTCTGCTTTAACGATAAACTGAATTTGTCCATCCAAACAATAAAAGCGGATCCTAATGGGTTTGAGGAGATTTTCCGTGCATTACGGTTGGAGACGGAAGAGTTAACCTTGATTACTCAGTCACTAAGAAGAGGATTTCTTTCATTTGGGCAGCTGGAATTATTGGAAATCTTGCACTGGTTTTGTCATAAACGGCCAAATTCTTTGTATCCAATGTTTTCGTGGGAGCTTGGAGCTACACCCGGCAAATTCTTTTTACAGCGAGCCCGTTGATTGTTTTCTTGTTGCTACTGCTGTCAGGTGGTCGACTGCACGAAAGTGTACAGAGCAGGTGATCAGTACAATGAACAGTTGTACAATTCAACATTTTTGCCAGTCGTTAGGAACCTTTAGCAGTTTTGTATGCTGAACTTTGCCAACAAGTACTTGTGCTCGTACAAATAATTGGTGACATTTGCAGAGTAAAGCTTCGGAAAAACTATGGACGGACTTAATTATTGCGCATCAAGATTATCGAGAACGTGTATGTAATGTTACTGTAATTTTAGCTTGGTGATTTTTGGTTCGTTGTTCTTGAGCCATGCATTCCACGCAATTTGCTCGTTCGACAATTTAGAACTATACAGATATGTTTGAGTTTAAAGTTTTTGCTCCGGTTTACAAACTGACTTCTACGTTTGTTTAGATTTTGCCGAACCTAGGGGATGCCAGACTCATGTTGTTCCTACAACAAATCTATCGAAGCCAAGGATATTTAACTTTGGCTGAATTCGTGCCTTTAACCAGAAGTACTATAACAACGGTTAGTGATCATTTGAACATGAAAATTAATATTTTGTGTGTAATATGTAAGTAGCTGTATTTCAATTTGCCGTATCTCGTGCTTTTGTGTATTTCAATTTCATCGCGATAATTTAAACATTTCGCTGACCAAACGGTTTAGTTTGCGTTTGGCTTTCTTGGATTCATATGCTTCTTGATGGAAAGGTCAGAAGATTTCGGGGCAGGTGAAGATCTCGCCGTCCTTTTATAGAACCTAACAACCGCAAAGTCAACCTAGTTATTTTGCATGCTTGGCGAATTTTCTACATTTAGCACGCAAGGCTAATGTAAAATTGTGTACGTATACTTTGATAAATCAAAATTATTATCTTCTCCGCAATTACACCGATTGAATGCGGCCGTTAATGCTATTTGAAAAATGATTATGTTGTTCTATTATTGAATTTTAGCAAATTTGTATTCATTAGCTAAAGACAAAAGTCTACAGTTTACTGATTACCGTTAATTAAGGGGGTGCGGTTGTACAAAACAAATTTGTATATGGCGGTACTGTTTGGTACAGCCATGATGTGTACAGTACCACGTATTTTCCTTCTACGTACGCACATGAACTGTATATCCTCTGGGCTAATCATTGTTTCAGCATTCCTGCCACTAATTATCCGATAAGATTTCTGATTTATTATGGCATACTTGCTGTACTGCAATAATGTGTTGCAAGAATTTACGTCAGAGATGCTTCGATGAATTTCAGAAAAGCACGACATTAGGATAGGCGTTAGTTTAACGGACCAACAGTTTCTCGTTGACTAATGTACCGTTGCACATCATCGGTCCTTCACGGATGCCTGAAACCAAATATAGCCATTTCCGTTACTACGAGTATCACCTGTATCGATATGAAACTCTTGGGCGCTCGCAATTTTCGCCTGAGCCTGTTTTTTGATGGGGCTGATTATGGATGCCAGTGGTAAGCGTAGTACAGACTCTATAGTCAATACTCAGTATCTGTGCTAATAAAAAAACACCTTTCTCACGCGCACGATCCATACCTCGTCCCGATTTAACCCGGTCATGAGAGATCAATGCTGTTATAAGAGAGTATACAAAATTAATGCTATGACCAGAACGGTAGCAGCGTTTTTTGTAGTACACGCTCTGGAGATCTCGTTCGGAGAAATCTCATCCATGACGCCGGAACAGCTGCAGAACCTTGCCGACCAGTTAAGTACTTGCAAGTCTAAGTGCGACCACTACAATATCAGCCGAAGAACTTAGCAGCATATTGAATGCGCTTGACCTCATTAATACTGTTATGTCACAACTACCATCCGGACTATCGACAGCGACAACTGTCACCACCAGAGCGCCAATAACCACGACAACAACACGGTCCACGTCCACCCAAGCGCCAACCACTTCCAGTACTTCTACGCAGTCCACAACATCAACATCGCGATCTACTTCCACCACAGCGCCCACGACGACCACAATCGAAGTTACAACAACACAATCATCACCAAGCACAACCTCACATAGCACATCGCAAAATACGGCGCCTACAACGACGAGAACGACAAGTACCCCCGCAATACCGGAGACAACGTCACAATCTTTAGGAAGTACGACACAGACAACCGGTACAAGTACCTCGGTGCAAACACCAACAGAATCGAGTAGCGTTGCATCGACATCTGAGATTTGGGAGCACTCCTCGGCATTCATGACAACAACAACAGTCGAACCGACCGAAGGGACAAGTCATTCTAGTCTTAACACGACTACGAACCAATCAGTTTCGTCTACGACAGAGTCGTGGGATTCTGATACAACCAGCACCGGTTTTCCCACAACTCCAACGCCGACAACATTTGAAGTTACTACGACCGCAACTATTATAGAACAATCGACTTCAGCATCTCAAGGCAGTACAACTGTAGATCATACCACGACTCAGCCTGCAGATATATTTTCATCAACAGCTCAATGGAACAACATCTCGCACACTGATACAACCACATCAGTAACACAGTCGTTTTTTGATGTGGTGGCGTTCAAGCTTCAAATAACAGGACGTACCCTTGAAATTATTGATAAAGCTTTACAACTGGAATCAGTAACAAATTCCACAAGGCACGGCTTGCAAAAGCTTGCCTCAGATTCCCTGCAAAAACTGGATTCCACTAAGAGTGTTGTTGTACCTACTGAAAGAGAACTTGAGCCGTTTATACAGCCGTTTATACAAACTCGCCTTGCAACCGCTGTAAGGAGTGTTTATCTCAAAAATCCGCAGGACATGCTGACTTTGAATTTTGCGTACTGCGCATCGGCCAAAATCGCCAACACGAGTGACGACATCGGGACCGAATTTCATTATGACGTATCGAAGAATTCGAATCATGGAATACAAATCTGTTCGAACAGAAACGCTATACGTGACAACTGGATTAATGCAAGTCAGTGAATGACTACAATCTTATTAAGTACTGGTATCTTCAAACCAACCGGCAACTTACAAAACTAAGTCGTTTACTAAATGACAAAAGTATTCAATGTTTTTCAACATAACTGTAGACTGTTTGTATCTGTAGTTGCTTCCTGTATGTTTTTTGCAGTATTACTGATTAATTTTGCAATCGAGAATGAGGAATGGTTTAGATATCGGCATGAACGCGTCGCAACAAGTACTGCTTGAGGTTGGGGCTTCCTATCAACCGAAATTTGCCTCATTCGATTTCGATCCTGTTTTGGGCACACGGTCCGAACGCATCGTAACCAATATCACGGTTTCCGGCATGGTCCCAGATACAGTCAGAAACATCGAAAAGATTGTGATAATCGAAATCAATCTGAAGAATCTATATAAGGTAAACAGCGGACCTAGGTTGACTCCTCTTGTGCTGGCAAACGGTTTTATCTATTACCTTAACAGAGCAACGAGCGATTTAAGAAATACGTGGGAGCAAAATTGCATAGTTGCGTTTTCGTGAAATTCTTTCCGGAAAGCAACGCCATGAACGCACCACCTGCGGTCTGGTCTGACGAGGGTTGTTATCATGTCAAAACTTTTATAAACGGCGACGGTGAACTGATTTCTCAGTGCGCATGCGATCACTTGACCAACATTGGTGGCTTAGTTGACCTTTGTGGCTCTGATCCAGTGTTGGATTTCGACAGTATGGCCCAAAAACATCTCAGCTCAGTTCTAGGAGGAATGACAGTTATATGTTCCATTATCGTGGCCGTCCATATACTGTAAGTCAAGATCATGCATATTGCGAAACAGCTTTGCACCATGTTGTAGTCAGTAACTACTGTACGAGTATCTCAGATAGTCACCGAGAGATTGGGTACTTTGTATCAAACGCAACAAGCGCGGCTTGTTTCGCTTACTACATCATCAAATTGGAAAGATCAAACTATTGACAATTACAAAGATGTTCGAATCACTATTTTTTGTCAAGATGAAGTTCAAGAATACAGATAGTCAGAAAGCGAAACAAGCCGCGCTTGTTGCGTTTGATACAAAGGTCCACGTCTCCGGTAGATGTTGTCTATGGAATCAGAATTCAGCACAGCCCTGCTTTTTTTCTTGTGCTGTTAACCTGCAGTTTCGGCGTTTAGGGTAATCCCTTAAATACCGTTTGTGTTACAGGGTGCAATTATGGCACTGATTGCTGTATTATAGAGATTCGTTATACGTATAATGATTCTCCATACTACAGTTTGTAAGTTGTTCTGAACTTCTGTCTGTTTTAAATAAGGTGAGCATTTATGCTTTGCAGCTTTCGTTCGCATTACTCAAAGCAGTTCCTAATTCCACCCATCTTCATACGGTTGAACCTGGCATTCAGTTTGGCGTTGGCGCATATCGCGTTAATCATTGGCCAGTACCTGCCATACACGGATGGACACGAAAACGCTTGCCTAAGCGTTGCAATACTGAGTCATTGGATTTTGTTGGTATCGTTTGCCTGGATGGCAGTCGAATGCTTCCGAATTGTCTCTTATCGAATGAACATGCATATTAAGCGCTATAGCAGAATGCAAAACGCTCCATGGTGACACATTCCGGTGGTTTTTTATCAAATCCGCTGCATTCGCATGGGGTAAACTTCAACAGCCTATTCTTTCAGTGATTGGCAATTTAAAATCTCCTGTGACCTATAGGAATTCCGTTGATACCGATGTTCTTTGCTTTCGGTTTCCTGATATCGATGGACGATATGGAACGGTGTATGGGTCAGACGACCAATGGTAACGAAACAGTACAAGGTCTTGGTATTGTAGCTACCAATGCCATCTGCAGTCCTTCACTAGAGTAGCTCATACAGCTTTTTATTGTGTCAGGTGCTGGATACACCCTCAAAGCTTTGTGTTTTTGATGGTGACCTTCGTAATGCCTATCCTGCTCATATTGGCTTTCAACATGGGAGCTCTAATTTTTCATTATCACAAAGGTCAGTCATTATGTTTGCGCTTAGTTTTAACTGAATTAGTACTGAGTAATGCGTAAAGATGTATTAACTGCGTTGGATCATGAGTCTCTTGTAACTGTTAACAGTATTCCATTCATTTTTTTAGAGTGTCACCGACATAAAAACCAAAAAAGCCATACACATATGATCAGCAAAGCGGGACAAGGGCCTTACAAGATTTTGCAGGAGTTTGCTAATACAGTAATAATGTTGCTGTTCCTGGGTTTCGGTTGGCTTTTCGGGTTTCTGGTTCATGCCGTATGTTTAGATGACAGCACAAAAGAAATCATATGCTATTTCTTTATTCTTGTAAACGGCTCGCAAGGGCTGTATTTGCTAGTGTTTTATTTTCGCACACAGGGAGTTTTTCGCACCGTGAAACGGCACGGGAGAAAAATCTCAGACTTTCGTTCTCAGAGTTCTCGTTTCCTAGGTTCACTGAGATATTAAAAGATGGACTAACGGTAACCCCAATGAAATCTAAAGCTCCGCCAGCCTAAACTGATAAGAAAACAAAGCTATGGACATATGCGAAAGGTCATGGCATATAATTAAGTTAGGAAACTCGGTATTGACGGTGACTTTCTCGTCATGCGGCAAAGTCCCATAATTTCCGTAATTGCTGATGTGGCTAGCCAATTTCGTTGCTAACGACTGCAGCCGTTTTTCTAGGGGCTGTCGTCGAAACTAATGACACTGTCCACACTTTGTCACATACTGAGCACGGAAACAGTCACCATTGTTTCGCCATCTTATCGCAGCCCAAGTGGTTGTATTTCGGCTGTTTCGCATTGGCCGGAGTGAGGGCTGTTCATGTGATCATTCTTTTCGTCCACTTATGCTTAAATGCGAAGTCTGGCCATGCTGAATCCTGGCAACGGGAACCATATTCGATATGGCTAGTTCCTTTCGGTGTAAACGATATCATCTTGCGCGTGGTTGTAATAGTTACACGCCTGCTCCCTAACACCGTCTACACGCTGCATTACCACGTGGTAACCGTAGTGCGTAACAGAATGGTCGGATTTTACGACATACTGCGCTTGTCCATCCAAACAATAAAAGTCGACCCAATATGTTTTGAGGAGATTTTCCGTGCATTATGGTTGGAATGGGATGAGTTGACCTTGATTATTCAGTTACCGCGGAAAGGCTTTTCTTTTGTTTTGGCGGCGGGAGTCATTGGAGATTTGGCATTAATGCCAAAACCAATAATTAGAACCAATATTGGTTCTATCGTCTACGGCCAGGTGCTTTGTATCTAATGTCTTCGTAGGCGTTACGCTCGACAAATGCTTGGTACAGCAAGCCCGTTGGTTGTCTTGCTTGTTTTAGTGCCATCAGAAGCACGGTTACACGAAAGTGTAACTGTGTAAGTGACAATAGTATTCGCCTGATGCTATAGAAGTATAGTAAATCAAGTTTATGTTAGGCTATCTTGGGTTCCTTTGCTTTTTGATGAAAAGGTCAGAAGATTTCCGGCCAGATGAAGATTTCGCCATTATTTTAAAGAACTTAACAGCGGCCAAGTCAACCTACTTTGGCATGTCTCGAGGAGCTTCTGAAATTTCACACGTAAAGCTTAGTACCTGCTATTGTAATATTTTGGTAAATTAAAATTATTTTCTGTCCTTTTTGGCCGGCTGATGTGACGGTCACTGTTGTTTGGATAACGATGCTTCTTAGATATTATAATTTCTAGCACATCCGTATTCATGAATTCAATGGTATATGGCTGCTTAATGTTTACAGTAGCTGTGTTAAAACATTAGTCGTATTACTGTTCCGAGATTTCGGCTGGATTTTGGGATTTCTTGTTTGGGCCGTTTGCTTGATGATGACAACACAGAAGTTATTTGCTATTTCATGTATACAGTGTACGTATTAGTGTAAACGGCTCGCAAGGGCTGTATTTGCAAGCGTTTTATTTCGCACGCAACGAATGTTTCGCATAATGAAAAGGCTGTTCAACACAATTTCAACGGATGTGTTCAACATGGATGTTCAACACAATTTCCTATTTTATCCATTCGATTTTGCAGAAATATTAAAAGATAGGCAAAACGCGGTGTATCGAAATTCTGCCCGTGTTGACAGTTTTACTGCAGCTTCAGCAGTTGAATTTATCGGATCCATTGTTGTGCCTTATAGCCGACCGAGGATCGTTAACAGAAAATATATATTTTGCGGAATAAGAAGCTATATATACATTTTATAATTTAGTTCTATAGAAATTTGAGTAGTTTGCTGAATCAGGTTAACAAATATGGGGTCCAGTGACATCAGGACCTGCACTTCAAGAGAATTTTTAAGGTCTATTATGCTGTACGATCCGTTAACTATGCTGCACGGTCCTTTTTAAAACTTTAACTGGCAAGTTCAGAAAGCACCCCGCATTGTCTACACTTTGCTTGGAATACGTATCACTCTAAATAAAATGCGCTGTAGATTATTCAGAACATTCGTATAATACAAATGACAATTTCATCATTTTCAAATCGCAATCATATGAGTTCACAAAGCCATCGCATTATTTGGCGTCAACCGGCGCTTCACAATCAAAGTCTTTCTTAGGACGACCTTTACTTTTGCGCAGGCTACTGGAAATCTCATCGGCGTTGCCCATACTGAGCAAGGAACGTTTCCAGCGCATCCGGCGATTTTGATACCTAACGACAGGCAAGAAAAAACAACACACACATCAATTATCACACCAGCAATTAACGGCTGCCTATTTGCCGTCATTAAGCGTTCGTGTAATTGGCTGGCAGGCACAAACAAAAATAGCAATTACCCATGAAAATGACATCAGCCATCCGCAACCGCTGCTGAAAAAAGCTTACCATGTTTTCACTTGCAATTGTGTAAGGCCCAGTGTTTTCGCCATCTTTAGTCGGTCTGGTGTGGATAAATATTTTTGCTTGGAGAACCTGCAGCCATAATAAACATTGTCTTAATGAGTCAGCGCCCGTCATTTAATTACAGCCTGTCACAATCGATTCAAATAAATTTTCGTTGCCTAAGCACACACACACACACACGCACACCACGTAAAAACTAACGCGAATTTTTAATGAGCTAACGCATTTACACGATCATAAGCACATGCACTCGCATGTCGCATCACACCCACCGATCTTCCAGCACGACAAGCTGTGAATCGGTGAAGACCGTCCGTAGACGTCGGCGTTTCATCCCGTAGAGCTGTGCGCGGCTGTCATCGTCCGATTTCGTATCACAGCACTCCGACATGGCGGCCAGGCTGGGTTGCAGCTGCTGCTGTGATGAATGGAGGTCATGTGGTAAGGGGACAGGGTCTGCCGGTGCGCATGCATACCGGGACATGGAAAGGTCAGTGGGCATGGGGCTGGACATTAGGTAAGAGAGGAGGTAGTCTTTGCGCTTGGATTCTGTCAAAGGCAAATCAAACATACGTTAATCATTTAATTCAGTTCACTAGCTCATCATGCAAAAGATTTCTCGATGTGGAGCAGAGCAGATTGCTCAATATACTCGTACAATTACCGTTACATTAACTTTGAGTGTCATGGATCAGACAAGAAACCATTTCCGGCAAGCGAAAGTCATAAACTGTGCATAACTCACTGCTTCGGTACAACATTTTGTTTATAAAATTTGTTTAATCATTGTAATTGTGCAAATAAGAGCCTGCCAGCAGAGATTCACTGCATTAACCCAGCAAAACCGTGACATTTTGGTGTACAAAATGCTAAAGTATTTGTTTAAAGTGCAAACCAAGAATTCCGTTTAGAATCAGCACGGCTTGATTAAAGCTGCTAAAAAATTTTATTACACTCACAAAGACTGATACGTTAAAACTGTATCGAAGCAATAGCTTGTTTTCGTTGTCAAACAGTAGAAAGTCAAAGAGAAGGATATTAGATAACATGATTTGTAAAGCCCTCCGTCAAAACTGTATGTGACAAGTGTACAGAAATCATGACCTTGATTTGATTTTCGTGCTGGCAGACGTTTTTGAATCTTTTGTATGTATTTTGCTGTGCGCTGCAGAAGCACAACGTGCACTAGTAAACTATTTACTAAAAATTCATTTTTTAAATGCATAATAATAATAATAATTATAATAATAATAATTATTACTTCGACTGCGTAAGCGCATGTTTACCTTGATATGGCTAACAAATCAGGAAGGTTGCAACTTGCAAACGTGACAGTTGATTAAGACTCATTAAGATATTATTAATGGCATTCCATATAACTTGCATGCGGTCATAGTTCTATAATAAGCCACATACACAGGTACCACATTCGTGACCCCTGCAATAAAACCGACTCATAACTTAATTAAGGTAATGAATGGCATAATGCACCAGTTAATTAACACTCCATTAGGAGTATTATGAACCAAAACGATGCGGTTAATTAACGGCATCAACATAATCGTATAAGTCAATTGAGAATGAATTTGGGCATACCGGCTGCCTCGCGTAGCATATCTTCGCAGTGCACACACCGGCAGGATCTCCGAGACCGCAGTATTTCATCGTCACAGCTAACCGACGGCGTCACCGGAAACCCATGGCCAGGAGTGAGGGGAAGGGGTTTAGCCTCGTGCCGGTTCCCCAGTATATCGTCAATGGAGAACGATAAAAGCGGCATGGTGTAATCAAATCGCTAAAATTAATCACACCTCAACGGCTCAATTAAGTAGCACTTCTATAGTGCCTATAATGATCAAGACACCACCGCTACCACATGCGTGTGCGTATGGATAAAAGCGCAGAAAACGCCATAAAAAGTCTTTAAGAAGCTAATGTGATAAAATGCAATGTGAAAGGCAGGAGGTTGATGGCGGTGATAAACTGTACAGTGTAACTATAACAGCTCTCGGACGGATGCTCGGAGGGCTTTAGAATTGGTGAGCGCGTTTAATTTTGTCCAAAAGTGTGTACGAACGTCAGTAGCGGCAGACTGGCGAGCCTGATGAGGAAAAGGCACACAGCAGTGATTTAGTGACTTTTAGTAAATCATCTCGTCTTAAGGATTATTTGACACTAATTAGCTAGAGGCATTTACACTATCAAATGACAGATGGATACACTAGTCGAGCGTAAAATGCTCCACCATCAGAGCTCATGCTAGTCATTATGATTATTTTCCCTATTTTTACTTGCTCTACAACATTTAACAAGTGCCAAGTACAAGTGTATCTTATTACACACCGCGCATGTCATACAACTTACTAGAAAAGGTCACCAAAAAACACGTAAATGTTACTAACCATGTAAGTTTTTTATTTGTGCAAGCCGAAAATGCTGGTGACAAAAGTAAAAGCTAGAAAGCATTGTTCCTTAAAATGCTTAAGACCCAAAACACCGTCTTATAGTTAACGAATGTCTTTTTCTTTTTCCTATTTAAACAAATTTTTTAACATTAGTGTTGAACCCCGCGCTGCTTTGCGAAGGTTTAATACAAAATGGTTTGTGCTTCCACAAAATAATTTAAATGACTGAACTTTTGTTTAGTGGTTTCGTCTCGCCCATGGTCAAATAACTTGGAACGTCCATGTTACTGTTATTGAAAAACAGACAAAAGCTTTAAGTTTACGAGATTTGGTGCCTCTATAAACTCTATAAAACCATGCAACAGTGCAACAAAAGTTTTTAAGTGGTGCCTCGCCAGTTTTATTGCGCCATAGTAATACATGCTATTAATTCACTTATATAATTCTGATAATCATTAACCGAGAACACGTCTGCAGCTGTTTCCGCGAAATTACTTTGCGATCTGTTATTTCCTACACTTTTGTGCTAAAGTCATTAGTGTGAGCCCATTGCTGGCCCGCGGGCAAGAACGCCGCTTTCTATAGGAAAACGTGTTATTTGGAAGTTATCATGGTATGTTTGTGCATTCTCTTGAGTTAACATCATTACCGGCAACAAAAGGTGTGATTAAAAGTACTAACGATTTTTTCTTGTTTACGGATTATACAGAAAATTGGTAACGCCTTAACGGACAAATTTCTGCTTTGTTTAATTGAACAAATGCTTACATACCTGCGGGGCATGTTTTCGCGTAATTCAATCGCGCCATCCAAATCGTATTAAATGTCTTGCATCTTGAAAATTTTATCAAAAGCTGATGCGAAGAAATCATGGCATTATCGAATTTATAATTATTCATGCATGCTTTACAAAGTTTCTGTAATGATGTACGTCTAAGATACCCACCAAACAAACAGGAAAACGAAATTTTTTACCAAACTTCAGGTCGAGAAATCGATATGCATCGTTATGCCGTATAGAATACTACCGGCAATAATCAGCCTCCAAATTTTTTTTTTGTTTGGTAGTTTTGCGAAAGTTACAAATTATCAGATCGACACATTCTTTTATTACCTATAAGCATTTATTTGAAGTTTATATTTACACGTTAACGGTGCATGTTATTCTAATAGAATCAATGCTCGTAAAATTTTAGACATGCAAAGTGAATTACACAACTGTTTTAAATGTCGCCGGTAAATTACAAGGAAATAGAGATACACAGAGAGAGTTTTAAAAAATGGCATGACGATTATATATATTTTTATAAGACACTTCAAGCAAGCTCATTTCTGCGCGGAGAGTAAAATGCTGAACTAAATCTGGAGTCGTCAGTCGTTGGATAGCTGTATCGTTGTGTGCCAAAATAATTTATTTTCTCGGTTATGAAAAGTTAAAGCGAATAAAAAACATTAGAGCCAGTCAAGTTGGCAATGTCAGTTCTCATTAGCAGCAAAAACGATAACTACTTATATAAATAAACATATTTACCGCTCCACTAATAATCGCCCATCCTTTCAATGTGACAAGAATGTATTTATAACCCCGTCGCGGCGAATACAGCGGCGGAGTGAGCGTTATGTTAGCCTGCAGGTCATAATTCACTGGAAATGATCCGCAAGCGTTTGTAATACCATCACTATCCGCTGCTTAATTGCCACTTTAATTTAGATTCACTTAATACGGACAACGTCTGCGCGCAGCCGGTCCAGCCAAGGGAGCATCTCCCGCTGTTAATCAATTACTGCAAGTGCCACGCCGGTGCCCTTTATCTGGAATGCGCCTGCCTTTCGGACATGCAGTTTGGCGCGCTACTCTAACCTTTTAAAGGATCTTATAAATTATATTCACAATGTTCGTGTGTGAAACGTTGACATACGATCAACAACATACATTTGCGAAGTTATAAATTATGGCCACAAAAAAATATAAGTACACAATTAAACACCACTGAAACTGATATTTTTTTAATGAGTATGAGGATTTGTATGGAATTATCGCTGGTTTCTTGTAGAAATTTCATTCAGCTGAACGACCTGCGTTTTGTTTTATCATTGCCCACCGCAAACACTTTATTTTGTTCAAAGTAATCAAGGCGTCGCCATTGCGCTTCTAGGCAAGACAATTCACAAAACCGCAGTTTCTAGCAAAATACCAGTACATATCCAAATTAGCCTTCTCCACAAAAAATATGAGCAATAAAAAAGCATACCCATTAAAAGTAAAAACAAGGCCCAGACAATAAAAAAACCCTTTTGTCGGAACACAATTAAAACGCGAGACCAAAGTACATAGGAGATATAGGTACGACCATTAATCACACTTGGCAATAATCTTCACGGGAAAAAATTCCGACAAACTAACGTTTTATCACCAGAAGAGACCAGAGTCTGACTCATTCCACCGGGCATCATTAATCATTTGGCTGCTGAGCACAGTTTTGAGTCCATTCGTAGCGTTCATGCGTCAGAATGGTTGAAATCCCGGTACGAGTAATTGGATTTGACCGAATCTTCCACCTGCAACCATTAACGATTACGTAAAAACAAGCTACTCGTAAAATTTAACAACACAAAAGCAGTTAAATGTTCGATAAAATTAATGAATTTTGTGTAAAATAACAAAAATGTATCTCTACGAACGCACAGCTACTTTACGAAATGCTACAGATTTCACGAATTTCCTCCGTCCAAACTTGGCAACCTCTATGGCAGACGCGAACCACAAATGCAGAAATTTCTTAAAAACACGCAAAATCATCTACTCGTAAGTATCATAATTACAACTTATTATGAATGTTTGTATCTGTAAGTTACACAGAATCAACTCAAATAAAACAAAAACCGGCGATATCAGAGGAAAAGCAAGATAACTAAAAATTAACCAATGTTCAAATAAAGTTTTGGAGAAAATTCAACAAAATCGTAGGGTGAAGATTCAATGACAGCGATTGCCAAAAATCAACTGCAACCAAAATATACCATGCTTCCTTACCAGAAGAGCATCATCGTCCTTAACCATGACGAACTTGTTTTCATGATAGAACTCTCGCTTTTTCGTGCAATAGAGGAGGATCATATCGCAGACAATAACCGACTATAAAATGGCACATTGTCAGCACTGATAATCCCAAAAATGCCAGAAACACTTACTAGTCCGAGCAGAGCTAGACCGGCACCAAGGTTCGTTGCCATCGGTACGAAGTTGAATTTGCCAGCAGTCCCATATACGTAAAATATGAACCGTATTCCAAAAGCCTTAATTAGCGTTCGCTTCTGGATGGTGGTTGTGCTGTTTCCGGGCACATTCCAGTAATTCGCATATCTGAAAAAAATTATTTCCATTCATCGTGGAAGAGTAATGGTTGTCCAAACAACAGACCAAAATCAAAACGCCATAAAATTGCAGACAACAATGTTCGATCGTGCCCGTGACAAACAAACCACATTCAAAAAGCTCAACAGAGCAGCAAACCATTATTAATTTTTATGTTAGCTAGATCTAGACGCATCTGAACCGTTAAACATGTTTTGCCTGCAAAATAGTGGAAAAACTTGAAAAAATCCAAGCTTTCGAACGGACGGTATCGTAATTATCATTACAATATGCTAAGTAAAGAATTAACTCCTAAACAGCGAACTACTGCTAAGATTGTATAATATTTGTGAGCAGAGTGCAGTCTGACCTGAAATTCCAGCCCTTTGCTGTAACGTCGTCCCGATTATCGATACGTCGGAAGGAGTATTTTGGCCGGCATTTTTCAACCGCTAAATCTAAATTGCAGTCCCACTGAATCACAAATCCCATCACGGCACCCTGCAAATCGATACAGTAACATAAAGTATTTAATAAAGCTATCACACCGTTAAACCAGAAAAACCATTTGAAAATTAACGGTATCAGTGCCTTCTATCAATACACTTGGTCGAAAGTTTACGATCACATAATACAGCAGTCGCCAATTTTAAAACAAAATATTACTGATTCTGTGGTGCGTTAGTGCAGCTTACAAGTCACGATCCAAGTAAGTACAGAAAGCAAAACTTGGGAAGAAACTCACTTTCACGGCAAGTTCTGTGTAGTTTTCCCCGGCAAGTCGGACAATATCACCCAAGCGGAAAATCGGGCAGTAAGGATCGGTTACCGGGTCATAATGGCAGCCGCTCAAATAGGTATTGTTAGTTGCAAAAGAATCCAAAATATTTCGCCTGAAATCAGGATTTCCAGACCGTTACGAAACATCTCCATAATAAAAGCAACTGTGACAACAAAGTACACCATTCCATGACATCAAATTGACTTAAACATCTAAGTTATCTAATCGAAAGTTTCACTGGGAAGCACACCAAACATGAGTTCATGGTAAAAATTATAGAAAAATGAGCTTCAATACCTCCTCACTCCAAATTTAGGGAAAATGATCTGGTTTTTGATCAGAACAGTAAACGTTTCCGTTCCCTGGAGCATTGGCACACTAAAAAATGTATCACCATTACATACAATGAGCAACTGAACGGAAGCACCTAGGAGTTTGACGTACGATGGCTCCATATCAGTCTCCACCGGACACCACGCGTAAATGTTGCACGTGTTGGTGGTGGTGTTACAGGTGCCGTTGCGGATCCCGTTGGCAGACTGCGATTTGGCGGGACAGTCGGCATCGCTGGTGCAGGTCGCACCTTGCTGATGAGACCGAGAATCCTTCAATTAACTGTTCATTCTGGCCAAGCGTGTTAATCAGCGTGAGCGCATGCTAAGCTCAAAGCATTGCAGGAAACACTTACTTCCGGACAGATTCCCTGCTCCTGGTCCGGTGTCATAATGTAATTTGTTGTCACGAAAAATGCTCCGTTTTCCTGTAAATGATCGGAAGATTCGGATAATACATAAAAAAATAAAATCACTCTCACATCACAGACATTTCCTATACAAACGTATAACAAAGGTATTACAAATCTAATTTTGAAATATTTTGTATGAAAAGATTATGGATGACTGAACCGGAGAAACAAAGGTGAACTGGTCTGAAAATATATGTACAAATTTGATGCGCCCTTAACAAATTACCGAAAATCTGAGAAATAAAAACTAACTTTCAATCTGAGGTAAACATCGAGATTTTTATTAAAAAACAGATCGACAAACTCACGAATTAATCAGTTATTAAAAATCACTCAGCACGGAAGACAGATCGTATACTGCCATATAACCGATCGTTTCCGACCATCCATAGCGTATGACAACAATAAGCACTAATGAAAAGCGATTGTCCAGCGACTGCTTAAACCATCCATCATGTCGTCAAACTTGCAAAACTTACTTGCGGCGGCACAACGTAATCGGCAGTGTCCCACACTCGCACATCGTTGCCGGTGCTGTTCAGCATGCTGTTGTTCGTCATCACGACACCCTTGACTTTGGATGTGACAGTGCTTTCCACATTATCGAATTCCTGATAGCCCTTTTTGTACACCATCACCACACTACAAAAGTTGAGAGATGGATGTATTATTTGTCCGATTAGATAAAGCCATCTTCACAGATTCACATCGAAAATGTTCTCTGAGAATATGGACATCATCATACGGCGGTTTTTCAGTCTTCAAAGTGCAAACCAATCAAACTACAAAACGCAAAAATCCACCGATAAGTATGCTAAATTTTACCGGTACAGGTTTACTGGGATAAAAATATGTGACCGCTCTTGCATAAGAGTAAACTTTCTATTACGCATGCAACTATCACAAGCTAAATAAAAATTGGTATAAAAATCCGGGTATAGCAATCTGACGTAAACTATTTACTTAAATCATTTAATTAACAAACCAACCAGATGCAGATGATACAATCATAAAACGTTAAGCCTTCCAACTATTCGGATTTCTTGCCGGGTAAATGAGTAATGCAATCACCGCAATTCATATGGCCATGTCCCGAAAGAATTATTTTCTTAAAAAAGTGATTTATGTAACATTATACTGAATTTCAGTTCCCAACAGTAAATATACTGAATTTGTTTATTCATGTCAGCACACGAGCTGTGCGTTAAGTCTTGGCAAACGAAATCGTACAATCTCAAAACCGCAACCATCGAGGGCAAGCGCAACCTAAGCGCGTTTAATCAGGACAAAAAGATCTTCAGCCTTTTCTACAGCTGAGGTAAGGCTTACCCAATTATGTAGGCGATAATGACCAGCTGGACGAATCTGTACAGGATGCCAACCTTGAAGCTGCGAATGTGGACGATCTTTGGTGTATCATACCTGAAAGCAAACGGGAAACCTTGAACTGCCTTCCTAACAGCAACAATGCAACATAAACTGAATCGCAAAACTATGTGAACCGTATTTCGTCTATGAAAACAAACCACTGGTTATTCGAGTCACGGTTTTTCACAACTGTTCATTTAATTTACAAACAGAAATTACTCTTATAGTATCATCTACGTTACAACATAACAATCATAACCAATCTAAAAATTTAGTCTAATCACTGTTGTAGTTAATACAGTCAGCAATAAACAACTGTGATCTTCAAACATACTCGAAAAAACGTGCACAGATCCTGGTACAACCCATGGCGATGCCAGACATGGCGGATTTAACAATCTATCAGCAACCAGCACAATAAAAGCAGGCTCCGAGAGTCAGAATTCCAGCAAGAACGACAGCAAGCTGAAGCACTACACCGTGACTGCGGTAGTCAAACAAATCGGGCAAGCGTATGACACAGCAAACGAGCACAGCCGATGAATCCAAACGGATCAGATGTCGGGCAATCCACTGCACGAAACTATCAACCGGGTGGGAGAACAGGCTCACAAGAAATTGTGGATAGATGGTGTTATACTATCTCAAATTCCTGGTTCAAAAACGCGGAAAGTAAAAGAGTACCGAGTACGCGAATCGCGTGTTTCACTTTCTGCCTGAACGCCGTTAAACTTGGAGCACAGACACTTTTATAGCGTTCACTTCATTCAGTCCGCAGCACACGGCAGGCATTGGGAATAACTATCTCCGAATTCCATAAAGTTCAAAATCGTTTATAAGCGTTATCCAAAATGAACAATGCAATCTATTAAGCAGTTATGATAACTGCTTAATAACTGAGTTATCAAAAACTTTTAGTTCCGAGTTCTGACAATCTGACGTTTGGATGCGCTCGTTGTAAAGTCTTGTCAACATGAGGAAAACGTCTGGAGCATAGTCTTTGATCAACCCCCCGTCGAAAGCCTGCCCCCCCCCCATTGGGCGCCAGTTCGCTTAGACAGATGCCATATGCTTATTTCCGTTTCCGGCTAGACTCCGTTAGAGTACTGTACTTAAATGGATCAGCTGGCATTCTTGAGCCTTCAATTTTTTTGTTTAATTCTAAAGTGGCGTTTTTCTTTGATTCTTACTTTACGAATAAAGTTTTTTATACGCTAAACTGATTGCACTTTTTGGTTTTTACCGTTGCTTGTCGTTTACGGTTTGCGTTAAAACATCGGATTTGATAATCGGCTGCAGATTGCGAGTCAACTGGGTTTTTCGAAGGACAGCAACTAGAATGCGTACCTTTTGATTATCGGAGTTTGTAGCGCACCCGAGTGTTGCAGTGCATCGCGAACTTACAATTCCGAGACCTCAACATCAGGTTGCCACAACCAGTTTGCTCGTCATGGCCGACGATAAGGTTCTGACGGATGTTCCACGAAAATCGCCGTCATTGCCAAAGCTTGGCGAGCAGCAAACGTATGGTTCGCCTGTCGCTGATCCCGAGAACGATGCTCACCATCAGGTTACAGATAACGTGAGTAACGGTGCCGAGTCTTCGCACTCTCACGACCACCAAGCTCACTCGCACTCGCATGACGGCGAGGCTGGATCCCACCATACTCATTCGCACCACGGTCGCGCACCCTTCACGGAGGACGAGGAACTCGAAGAGCGTCAACATTTTGAAACGGTCGTTGCAGCGTTCCGGTACTACAGGTAATCGCTGTCTCAGCCGTGAGATTTTGAACTAACATTTTTCCATAAGTCCCTAACGAACGTCGGTGAATCCGCGTTGTCTCTGAACTAAACGCCTGCATTTTTGTGCTTATAATAACAATATTAAAAAAATAAATATTAAAAATAAATGTTAAATATTAAATTAATATTAAAAATTAATGTCTTTACTGTGCAGAACGCATGCGATGAAGAAAATCGCACGCCAGCGCAACCACTACCAATCGCTGACGAAGCCCCAAGGCGAACGTCTGCCACAGTTCATGGATCATCTGGATGCACTACGGCAGTGTACTGCCATCAACCAGCAGTTCCTGGACAAGATCCTGCTGCAAACCCCTTTCGACAACACCTTCGGCGATACGGGAGGCGGTGATGGGATCCAGTCGCAGCCCGTCAGCACTTTCCATATGGACAAAGTGCACACCACGCTGCGGATGTTTGTCCGCGACTGGAGTCGCGAAGGACAGACTGAGCGTCAACAAGCTTATGAGCCGCTTGTTGCTGCTGTCGAGAAGTACTTTCCCAAAGATAAATGGTAAGGTTTTTAGAATCGTAGCCGAAAATTGGCTACCTGTTCTATCGCAAATTAAAGTCACTGTACATAAATAAATTAATGGATGCTTTGAGGATAACGCGGGCATTATGTTCCAGTTTAAACTGTTCGGTTGTCTTTTAGTGATGTTAGCCAGATTCAAATCCTTAACCCCGGCGCCGGATTGGGTCGTTTGCCGTGGGAATTTGCTCGACGGGGTTATACCAGCATCGGAAATGAATTCTCCTTGTACATGCTCCTGGCGTCTAATTTCATCCTCAACTGGTATGTTTTGTCCGAGTTCGTTTATTTAGTAGTGGAAAGCTGAGGTCTGAAAGCTTTGACAAATTACAAAACTCGTGGATAAGACAGACTTTAAATGTTTTCGAGTTGTTTACTTCCGCAATTTCGCTTAACATCTGTTGTAAACAATGCCTATACAGATATACAAGTGCTGCTGCATCATTTATTTTACCTGCTCGTACTGTAGGTTATTTTGTGCATTGTACTCGTATTGCGATGCTAAATATCGATACTTGTATTGCATTTTGTGCATTGTATCGCGATTTTGTGCATTGCATATTGGTCTGTGGTGTAATTTTGGTACTGTATATCTAATTGATATTTAGCTGTCAAGAGGTCGACGGATACAAAATTTATCCATGGATCGGCCACGCATCGAACAATCTCAGCTCCGCTAACCAGATGATCGGCATCAGCATTCCCGACATCAGTCCTACGGACCTTCCCCCTGGTCATAATTTCGGCATGGTGGCTGGGGATTTCCTGGAAGTATTCGACCGGAATGAAACATGGGATTGTGTTGTCACGTGTTTCTTCATCGATACCGCCCGTAACGTTTTGGAGTATGTTGAGCATATCTGGCACCTACTTAAACCGGGCGGATATTGGATGAATCTCGGACCGCTATTGTACCATTTTGCTGACATTCCGCATGAATCATGTTTAGAATTAACCTACGAACATGTGAAAACTGTGATAAAGAACACTGGCTTTCAGATGTTGGTAAGGGATTGTTGTATCCTGACTGCTGTTGTATCCAGTATAATTTTGCACTTATTCAAGTCCTCAGTGCTTTCTTTTACAGGAGGAAAAGACGGATATCCCTTGCTCGTACGTCCAGAATCCTTACTCCATGCTGCGTTATGAATACCGTTGTGTGTCTTTCGTATGCCATAAACCGGATCTTAAGGCGTCATTTGTGGATGCCAGTGGGAACTCACTATCATGAAATGATCTGTAGTAAAACAAATTTTTGTGCAGTTCTGGCCACGCTGCGTATTTTGCGAGTGAAAATTAAATGTGATCATAATAATTTCTAGCTGCAGACTTTCGGGAATTCCCATGAATCTTTGCTTCTTTTTGAGTTGTTGGTTGGTTTCTTAATTTTCGTTGTGCTGCGTTGATAACAGTTTGCTCCGAACGGAGAACTGTGTGAACACAAGATTTACAGCAGATACTTACTAACCATAAGTACAGTACTTAACATCATGTCAGGAAAAGTACTTATGTATTTTGTAGCCACTGCGTTTAATTTCAAAGGGTCACGAAAACCTTAAAAGATTTTGTCGGTAATCCCCGGTCGGCTGAATTTCCGCCACAGTGCTGAAAATTTACGAAGAACATGTTTCCTGCGACCGAATCTAAAACGCAGTTTTTTTGTGTATGTTCATTGTCAAAAACTTTTTGTGAGCTCATACATTAGCAAGTCAACAAAGACAATCGAATCAGTCAGAAATTACTAACTGTTATTTCATCGTCACTATCAAGTTGCACCATTACTCAAATATATCACATAAAACGCAACCAACTGAAAACTGGAAAAATATAAAAATATGATCGTATAAAGCAATAAGATGTATCACAGGGTGGGGAAAAGCATAGTTAGAAAAAAACAGACGGAACAAAAGTACCACATGTCACAAGCAAAGAAAAGGCAGTTGGTCCAACTTGGTCGTTATTCGTTCGTTCGTAGTTCAGCAGGCACACTCCAGAGTCCAGACATACGTCCGATGTGCCCATGAGTTGGAACAGGAACAAAATGGCAGTTATCTTCACTTGATGTACAAAACGAACAATATTATGGAATTGAATCTGGGGAAAATCGTGTGGCTTCTTCGTGGAATGAGCAAAACTCCACAATATCTTATGGAAAATCTGCAATCGTAATAAGAGTAAACTTTCAGTTAATGAAATGTTTATATACCGTAAGCTGCTTACGGTACATAAACATTTCATTAACTGAAAGTTTACTCTTATTACGTAAGAGTAAATTTGCGATGTAAAATAAGTACTGCAGAAAACTGCAAAGTCTCATCACCCGCACAAATCGCTCAACTACTTTGTATAAGTTTATAACGTACAAAATTTATGTACAATCAGCAATCCTTCAGTTTCTAGTATCAATATTTATTACGTACGTTCAATATTTATTATTATTACTTATTGCTGAGCTTTAGGAAGAGTATCGTTGCTGCGTCTGGCTGCAGGTTCGAATTTCGCTGTCAAATGGCGCTGATATTCCAAATCCGACAGCCAATTCCGGTATGCGCCCGTGTATTCCTTCTCCTTAAACTGCTTGATTTTGTAGGCGCGCTCCTGCAGGCGTGTCAGCTTGTTCTGTATAACGCTCATATTCTGGCGGATGGTGCACAGTTTCTGCAAATATTGTTTGGCGCGTTCCGCTTCAGCGTCCAGATCGAAGGTGCTTCCAGCGTCTCCGAAGCGCCAGTTGATCTCCGACAGACTGTCCAGTATCACGCACTGATTGCTGTGCACCTCTGACAGACGCACACGAAGATCCGTGCTATCCGGCTGGCATGGCGAGTGCTCGGGAATGGGCTCATAATTCTGGTTATCTGCGCCAGAGGGACTTGGTGGCGAATCACTCATTTCTCAGCTTCTTGTAGAAGATCACACTCACTATTACACCGAATCAGTCACGGACGGGAAAGGTACAAAGCGCTATTTAATCACAAGTTATAACAATTAACTACACTTGTATGAACATTATAAAACTTTAAACCAATTTAAACAAAAAACTGGATTACTGAAAAGACATAAAGACGTGACAAATGTCACAAATCTTATGAAGATGCTGTTCCACTAATTCCAGTGTTCTGCACCAAAACAGTTAAAACTTAAAGCAGCAACAGGGTATTAAAGGGTACAGTACAGTACTTCTCACGGAGTTACCGTCTCGCGGCTGGGTGTGCGTCTCCACCAAAAACTTCGGTCCAGTTAATTGCGAAAAATAAAACGCTTCCTCTGGCTAGTGTTTTCAACGTTTAATTGCTCGTCAATTTATTACTGCACGTTTTGTTTGAAGCCACGATTCACAGAATATTTTGCTACTCTTATTGTATTGTACTGTATGTGTATACGCATACAATAATTACCCCGCGACGTTCTACCACGATTGTAGTCTTACATTTTGGCTGTTCACAACAGAGGATAATACATATTTGCATGTATATCTTTTTTTCTAATTTTTTAAGCCGGTAAATTGTCTGCTAAATGGGCGCAGGTTTACATCACATTACGAACACTATAACAGTATGGAATTCCGAATGGCCGGGAGTTTTGTTGATGTTTGCTGTTTGATTCAGAAAGTTTGATCAAAGATCAATGATTACAAGACAATGAATTTGGATAGTTTGGTTTAAAACCATTGATTTTCAAATCAGTGATTTTCAGTCAATGATTATGAATCAATGATTTTCGGACACCATGATTTGAAATCAGTGATTTTTAGTGATTATGAATCAATAATTTTCGGACACCATGATTTGAAATCAGTGATTTTCAGATCAGTGATTTTCAGCCAATGATTACGAATCTATGATCTTCGAAAACCATGAATTTGAAATCAGTGATTTTCAGATCAGTGACTGTAAATGACTGACTTAAATGGCTTGATTTTGGGTTAGTGAATACATTTCACAGGCGATTGAATTAAAATCAATGGTTCATTAAAGACTGATTTGCAATCATTGATTGCCCTGCACTGACCTGCCATCAGTGATTTTCAATACGCAACCGTCGCCGCGTGCACTGGATGCCGCTATTCGGACTTGGAAAACACGAAAATGTTTGGTATCCAGTGCACCGTAGACTCTGCGGCACAAGAAAACCGTCTTAAAACGCGGCTGCGCACTCCTGTTCACTACCACCCAACCAATCCGAATTGCGCACAGCTACTCAATACTGAGTCCAGATAACTAATTGCTAGTGCAGCTTTAATTCTAGCATAATAATGATGTATTACTTGTGACATTCAACTAAAATAATATCGAAATAATACATTTTCTTCTGGATAAGAACTTGACATTTCATTAGCAAAGATGAAATAACAACCACCATTGCTTTTACATCTTCCATTAACTGGCAAACTGAAAATCGACGAGAAGCAATATGTATATCAATTGAACATCTTAACTTAGAAAGCTTATTAATCCTTTTGTAGTAATGTACATAAAAAATGATAACAATGCGTGCACATAGATTTTTACTTACTTTTCGAAAAACAAAAAAAAACTCCGTTCAGTATATATGGATAAATTTTGTAATGCTCTGCAAGAAAATTTGACAACATTCTAAACAAATACGAAAGCAACACATGTATCTGAATCATAGAAAGCAAACATTTTACAACAGGTCGTACATTGAGATGTACTGCTGGCTGTACGATAAATAATGCTAATGGTATTGCTAAATTGAACTTGGTGCTCTACAGGTTAGACTGCAGGGCATGCACTAGGTTGCACTCCGGGCTGTGCTGCAGGTTGTACTACAGGAACATTAGGCAAACAAGCGAGGCAAACCAGCACGCCGGGGTCGGCCGCACTATAGCCATATGGCACAAGATATCAGCTAAGCATCTTGAATATTTTTCTTAATTGTATTTTATCACATCAGAAAAACAAATATAGCGTAATAGCACACAGAATTTAGGATATTAAAAAATTTAGGCAGCCCATCGCAATGATTGTTGATTTGTTTAACGTAATGCATCTGAATTCTTAAATACTTTTCTGAGCGCAATATAAGTCACCCTATTAACACTTTTTTTGCAAAAAACTAAAGACAAAAGTGTTTTTTTTTCTGAAAGCTGCAGATTGTCCGCGTCTCTGGTTTTATGAATTTGTTAATTCGGCTCGATGCAGTGCTAAAATTCATTAATAATTGTGTCTTGCGTATCAAATATATATCCATGCTTCCAGTTTACCGGTTTCAATTTTTACGCCTCAAATTAGTTCTAATGTGATTAAGTATAATTACAAAAATATTCAATATGCTTAACTAATATCTTCTGCATTTTAACTATACTCCGGCGTGTACAGAACTTGTTTGCCTAATGTACCGCCTGTAGTACAGCTCGTAGTATAGCCCGTAGTATGACCTTGTGTAAGGCCTGTAGTTCAACCTGTGCTGCACTAACAAGCAAAATATTTCCATTGAGTTATTCTCACACATACCAGACGCCTATCGCTTTATAGAAAAAAATTTTTTGTAGTGGGTTGGTTTCTATTTTTATCGTTTAAAAAACATGTAAATTAAGTATAGCATTTCGTCCTGTGACGTGTCTGTGCGCACTTCAAAGATGCCGCCCATCACGCATCGGAGATACCGATCTTCTGCAGCGCTGATTGCGGGCATGCTGCATCGCGTGGTTATTAGCTTGGCTGATCATATCCGGATTTAGCTGAAGCTGGCACAAAGTACGCTGTAGATTCTGAGCACTAAACACTTGAACGCGGTGTAATTTTTGTTTGTGTTCTAAAAATTCCAAATCTAATTTCGACGATTTTGAACCTTAAATGCACATGAAAATATCAACAATCTATTTTGTGAACTCTTTGTAAACTCAAAACTAAAGCAAATAAAAGACTCTATTGCCAACGCAGATGTCGTACAGGCGGGCCAGCGCTCAGTTTTCACCGAATTTCAGTATTTCGGATGCGTGATGGGTGGCGTCTTTGAAGTGCGCACAGACGCGTCATTGGACGATTTGCAATACTAACTTCACATTTTTTTAAACGATAAGAATAAAGACCACCCCGCTATAAAAAACACTGCTTGACAAAGCTAATTTTTCTCCATAAAACGATATGCGTCTGGTATGTGTGCGAATAACTCAATGGAACTATTTAGCTCGTAAGTTTAGTTAGTGGGAAAGCCTGCAGTACAGCTTAATGTTCAGCTATCACTGGTCAGTCTTACTTAATGTACATCCTGGAGTACCCGTTAATGTCCTGCCTGGAGTAAAAGCTTTATGTTTTTCGTGACCGGATCACTGGAACACTTATATTATCTCGCTTGCATAGAATGCCATCCTTTTCTTCTTTTACAGTATAACAGAATTTATGGTGATATACAGAACTTCGTTTTAACTTGTTTTTCGCATTTTTCATCAAATAATTAAAAATGTGAAGCACTGCAACATATCATTATTTGTGTGTATCACTCTGAATGATTTCTAAACCTTTTTACTGGAGTAAATTTATTGGAATCGGTAGATAGGAATCGGAACTTGTAAAGCGTGAAAACTTTTCCAAGTCTGAATAGCGGGTTTCCATTGCACGCGGCGACGGTTACGTATTGAAAATCACTGATGGCAAGCCAATGAATGGCAATCAATGATTGCAGGTCTGTCTTTAATGAATCATTGATTTAATACAATCACCAGTGAATCACCAGTTAATTGTATTCAGTGATCCAAAATCAAAACATTTAAGTCAGTCATTTTCAATCACCGATCTGAAAATCACTGATTTCAAATCATGGTGTTCGAAAATCATTGATTCATAATCATTGACTGAAAATCACTGATCTGAAAATCACTGATTTAAAATCATGGTGTCCGAAAATCATTGATTCATAATCATTGACTGAAAATCACTGATCTGAAAATCAATGGTTTTAAATCAAACCATCCAAATTCATTGTCTTGTAATCATTGATCTTTGATCAAACTTTCTAAATCAAACAGCAAACATCAACAAAACTCCCGGCCATTCGGAATTCCATATAACAGAGGCAGCCATAAGTCGGCTGTCCGTGATGATCTCAGCGAGGGAGGGCGGTCAGATGAAGATCCTGTCTGTTGAGGAAATTCCGAAAAATGGCGATGGAGCGGAATCGAACCGCTGGCTACCGAGTGAGATCCACGTAGCACAGCCACTGTGCCATCACCGCTGTTGGCGAAGATCAAGATATTTGTGCTTGAGCTTGAGCCAACCAGGTAGGCGGCGGATGGGCGGCTGCTGTGTGTAAAGAGGATTCTCCTCTTACAACACTTTGGAGATTAACAACAGAGAATAAATGCATTAATTGATACTCAGTCGTGATAACCGGAACTACCACGGAATACTTGAAGTACTGTACTCACAATCAGCTGTAAATGTATGACCTTAGGCAAACCTGCCGGAAGAATTGCATTTGCAGACATTAAAGGAAACCGGAAGGGTTAGCGTTTCTTGGTAAATGGTTATCTGGATTATAATTAATTCCTTAACTGAATTTCTGCAGTACTAGTAATCCTGGTAAGGGCAAAATTAAGACAAGCACGTTTAGTTCTACGCATTGTCTCACACTATAACGTAACTAATATTTATATATCGGAACATTTACAGCTTACTTTCCCAGTAAACAGAGATTTTTGTCCGGCAAGTGTCGACATAAAGGACAAAACCCGAATTTGTGCACCGAATGCACTAATAGCATTTTCTACTAATTTAATATTTTTGAGATAGTTTTTTTTCTACCATGCGCGTTCACGTTTGCCATTAGTTGTGATCGTCGCGTGGTACCTCCTTTGAATCTCCTGATGATAGTAGCTTTTGTTTCATTAAAACATTTTTTCCTAAATTCATGTTCCGTCATTTGATGGACAGCTACTGTACGAGTACTTATAATATGGCTTCTGATGAAACCGCCACAATTCGAACCGTGAAAAAGGTATCGTTTGCGTCGCTGACTGCAACCGACGATTTACCAGGAATCCGTTACGCCGAATTTCCAACACGCATCGTGAACTGGAGTGATCGTCGGAAACATCTGGCACGCGATCAAAAGTCCGCAAATCGCCGATTGTTCACTCTTCCAAGAAGTATCGATTCTGGTCTGATACCTGAACTTGGTCTGATGCCAGAACGTGATGACAATTATGCCATCACTCCATTACACCGGCGTCAGAACTGCCAATCGTTACTACAGTGGCTACGAGCAAGCCGCGCGAAATACATATCTTGCGCAGAAAATTTTGAACGTAGAAATCGGTCTTGCGGTTGGTGACGATGGCTCAGTATATCCGTTATCCACGGTGAGAAATGCCGGGTCGAAGGAGGAAGTGCATTACTTAACGCAGTTTGAACCACGCGGATATATCAGAGTAAAAGAAAAACTCGGAAAAGATTTATCGCATTCGACCGACACGTTTCTACGGACACAAGCTAAGCATCCGGTAGCATCGCCAGCACGTCCCGCTTCCGGAATTTATGGTCATTCCGGGAGGTACCTAACTGTGCCGACAAGAAGAACCAGTACAAATAAATTTAGCTATATCCCGAATTTCGTTAGGGGGGATGAATATTTGGTGCGAACCTAGTCGAATGGGCCATTGTTCTCAATGGGAAGAAGGAATAACGTCAGGATCCTTTGCCGATGCTCTTTATTTGTTTCACAAACGTTATGATTACTCTAATAATTTCGCTTATATGGCCGAGGCCGTATGTTACTCACTGTGATTTTGTATGTTATAAAATTAATTTAAACCGTATTTGTTGGCACTGATATACCCAGTGTATACTGCACGTATACGCGTGATTTTTAAAATTTTCTTGCAATTACCAGTAAGTAATTGAGCGATGTGTAAGCACTGCACTGTTTTCCAAATGCAACTTGTTGCAGATCATAATTAAAACTCATTCGCGTATTGGCAAATGCGCGTAAAGTCATACGAGTCTGTAAAATTTTTGCCGGTGCTAAAACACTGAGCATCAAATCAACAAGAATCTTTATCATCATAAGAAACAATATACTGTATCACATGCTTTGACTCATAAAATTATTACCACCTGCACAATGTAGGTTAATGTAGAAGTGAATAGAAGAATTAATTATATCTGGAGGTTATTACGACAATTGTGATTTACTTTGTTTGTCGGTTATGACTATTAAAATTCATACGACTATTAAGATTCATACTCGTATTGCAGAATGGTAGCTTACTCACCATTACTGCTGGGCCACTTTAATTGTCATGTTCGTAAGTCTTGCATGATTTAAAACTGAGTACGTAGCACTGCGCATATTGCTGTGTACAAGTAGTGATAATTAACTTTCCCAAAGGCTCGCGAATCAGTGTACTAGATGCATTAAATGTAGTTTTGATTGCCAGTTTTCATACTCGTATTAATTTTTAGCTTACAAAAATATTTGTACTAATACCAAAGAACTGTTTTAAATTTCAAACGTGTACGTTAAACCTAACCGAGACTCAGAACAGAAGAAGTCTCAGTTGTACTCGTACTTAAACGGCAGATACATTTTTTCTCCAATTGCTTTCGAAACAATGGGCCCATGGGGACCGTCAGCCATTGCCATCATTAAAGAATTGGGCAAACGACTGGAGCAACACACAGGCGAAAGACGTTCCCATGAATTTCTACGTCAAAGACTGTCACTAGTGATACAACGAGGAAACGCTGCATCAGTTTTGGGAACGATGGAAGGAGCAGAAAAGTTAAATGAAATTTTCATGTTGTAAAATTGTGTTGTTTTAAGCTGTTGCATAACCGTTGTACCACAGGTAATAAATGACAACACCGAGACTTGCCAAGCGCGTATATAGTTTTGTTTACGTCATAATATAAATAAAATACATAGCATCGTGTGAGAAACATTTTTACGTCAAAAAGTGTTCTGAATTCGACATGACCATTATGGTTCCGAAATGAGGGCTACGGATAAACAACACTTAAAGGGGAAGTTGTGTTAAGAGTTTACGTTGCACGATAGCGAAGTAAAGCTGCGAATGGTTATAAGCTACGTATACGTGGTAAATAACATATAGATATGTACGTATAAATATCTACACAATAAATCGTTCATTAACACCACTGTATGAGACTGCGAATACTACCGGCGGAAGTATACTCATTTGTATTACAGATGTGTACTTGAAGTTGTAGAATAGTACCTGCTTGCCTTACAAGCGTATTTTCTTACGATCAGTTGATCCCTGGTTTTTTGTTTATTCGTGATCTCTGCGCATAAAATTGCCTATGGCTAAATCAGTGGTCGGCCAAAAAAATAAACTATGAATCACATCGCGACGAAAATCCAGCGTTTCTTGTAAAAAGCAGCTTTTTGGTTCGATTATGTGTTTTCTTCACATATAACTTGTTGTCGAGTAGACGTTGCATATTGTGTAGTTTCGCTCATTCAGCAACTAAACTTGTTTTCTATTTCAGTCGCAGTTCTATGCATAAGCGCAGCAATCCCAAATATTTTACAGACTTTATTATGCAAAAGTTTAATCCACATGCGGACGCCGATATCGTACAGGGAATTAGCATTACAACTGGCCGATCACCGTCTCACCATTTTATACGACTTCTATACAGCGGTATTACAGTGTATCTGTGAATGTATTACGATGTGTGATGTGCTATTTGATCTGGAAATGAATCTCGCTGTGCTTTCGCGAAAAATTGCCCGGGAAAGACAGCCCAATGCTCTCCGGCAGCTACAACCAAAACCGGCGCCGGTTGGTGCAAAAACCAGCCCGCGCCCGCAATCCTCATTACCAGAGGAAAAGGTCAAAGTACCATCAAGAACGGTTCCAAAGAAGCCTCTGACGATCCGTATCACACCACCCGATGAAGACGACAGGGAAGTGACCGACCTAATGCAACGCGATGCTTCATCAGCAACTCTCAATCTTCGCCCTAGCTCGACGTTGGCGATCCCCTGCACGCCCCGCCCCTTAACGCCCATCCTCAAAGCACCATCGCCATCCTTCCGTGAAATCCCCACAGTCGATACGGATGAGGACGATGAGAAAGCGCTTCACCAAGACCACCTAAAGAAGAAAGTATCGTTCCCCAGTGAACTGCACCGCTACCGGAAGCCCTCCCACACGGCGGAGACGGAAGAGCGGCAGACCAATCGCAATTCCATCCGCATTGCCACGCGTAATCCCTTCATATTGGGTGGTTACCGGCATCGTGCGGGAAGCGTACCGCCGACCATGGACCGTGCGGGCAGTGAGCCGGTGACCTCACAACGGTCGAATAGCATCGATGATTCACATATTGGACAGACGGGACGGAATGAGAACAGATTCCTCGGGGGTATCAAGAGAGTTTTTCGGGATCACAAGCAGCATTCTGTACCTGGTCCTGGTGCTAAGGTGAGTGGTGTGGACGGGAAGGAATTTACCTTTAATAAAAATACCATGAATGGTGTAGACGCCCCATTGACAACTATAACAAAGCGACGGCCCCGAGCGATGCCGCTCTCTGAATGGAGGGGACACGCCGATAACAAGCAAGACTTTGGAAAACAGTGGCCGATGTTCATCTTCTAACGGGTAGCCTTGTGACATACCGGCATTTTCCTTTGCTGTAAAACCGTTTGTTTGTACATAACCATTCTCACGACAAGAGTGTCCGAACTCGGATCGCATTAAATTATATATATTGTCGAATTATGACCTTGTTTTTGAACATGAAAATAGCTCTTGTACATAGCGAGAAAAACACAGTGAACTAAAGTAGTATTTCGATTAAAAATCCTTCAGTTTTGTACATGCGCGCACTGAACAACTGCAGCATGAGTGAATTTCTCTTACAGAAACATTTATTAACAGATTATACGAGTCGTATACGATAACAATTTGCCAGCATTACATTCAGAGCTGTTTTTATAAATAAGTAATTAAATGGTAAGTGCTCGTATACTTAAGCCAGAGATTTTATTAATCTAATAGCTGCCTATAAATATGAAATCAATGTAAATTCTTGCGACCGGAAAGGATGCTCAAACCCGACCTCAGTGCTTTGAAAAACAGTAATTACGTAAACCCTTAAATTTTCTAAATTTTACGGAGACGTCAACAGATATATCCAAGCGGAAATTTCCTTGTGAAGTATCTACCTATCCCATTAATAATGCATGGCTGGAGTTAGATATATAGGAGTGTTTCACACTATCTGTATAATCCTGTCATATACCGTACGCTTTATGTTATCCATTTAAACGCCCATGATCATATTTCATCGGTCGAACAAAAATGACAGGGACTTGTCGAATACGCTGTCACTTACAATTTATAAGTTACTACCGCGTCATATCTGACTGACTAGCACCCTGCAGGTTACGGGAAACATGCAGGAATAGCCCAGGCAGAAAGAACAGTACTTCGAGTAGTCGTAGTGAATTAATACTGATGCATGCATTTTGCGCTTGGCTGATAGATGTAAAGTTCAGTTAGACAGTTTTTCCATCCCGATAGAAAGAGATCTTTCATTTTTCCAATACACCAATATTCATGATACGGGTTTTATTCATGTTGTCACATTCTGCTATTGATATACAGTGATATACAAAACTGAGTTTGCACGCATCAGATCAGAATGTGCCGCGGTTCAGTTAGCATTAAAATAGTCTCGTCATTTGTGGTGTTGATATTTCTTGCTGGCTCCCCCGCTGCTACAACTAATATCACGATAATTACGGTTATAATTGGACAAAATCCCATGTATGGATACTATTCTTCCGGCCCTGTATTTGAGGTGGCCTTTGATACGGTATTACAGGCATACCCGCAGCTGGCGCCGAATATCCACCGGCACATGATCTATAGCGATAAAGGGATCGTTGGCTGCGGTGACACCGGAGACATGATGCCGGCCATGGCCGGAGAAGTTGTTAGGATTGTTTCTCAGACTAAGGGATTTACGCTGCTACTTTCACCAGGTAACAACATTACAGTGTAATTTTTATTACTGCCCACTGCTTATGCGCGTATTTCCACTGTTTTGTTAGTGTTGTTAATTTTGCGGTGCGCATGGTGGTGACATCATATGCGTCCATATAGCTGATAATGTTGTATAAATTTTTGAGAATTTTGATGTATGTGTGATTAAAACCCCTTTTGTAAAAATAGGGTACGCCTTTTGTAAAAATAACTGAAAAACGTTAACGAAGCGTAAGAATTTGCGTACGCATTATCGTGGTCGAAGGTGTGGAGGGGTCAAATGGTTCCGGTAATTTTTCGACGTTCCTGAGTAAATGATAGGAACCCATTTGGTTGTAATTCCCAGAACACAATTTTGCGCTCCACTTCTTGTTGAACAGAAGTTCTAATTAATTCCTCCGCCTTTTCCAGGATGCAGCTTAGAAATGATAACTCTTGGAGATTTCGCGCGAGGTATAATAAGTATTAACAGCATGCATGATACTGCTAACAACAAGTACAGATTGACGTTAATATTTATATATGACGTAATTCAATCCTGTTATGCCTGTGCTACATGATGATACTGATTTCGATATTTTGTAGAATTGGATGTTCCCCTTCTTACAAGGTTGGTCTCGTGTCATAGACTATCGAATTTCCGTTCCATTCTTTGGGCAAAAACCAACAACAATGTTACATTAACTTTAGTGATCATTTAGTTAATTAGCATCACTCAGGTATTAATAAGGAAATTACATGCATCTCCGAGTTTTAAGCGCTAGACAGTTATGAATAAATTTATTTGATTTTATTATTGTGATTAACTGATAGTACATCGGCCGACCAAGCCCTATCCAACCGGAAACGCTATCCCACTCTGACGACCTTCAGTTCAGCGGGGCAAGGCCAGTGTTCAAGGGCTATTCGTGAATTTCTACGCAAGTTTGCTTGGACAACGGTTACGGTGCTGTGCGATGACCTTTCCTTATTTCCCAGCGCTGCCACAATGTACATTGTTGCTTGCCGAGGATTTAAGAGTGTATTAACGGAATTTCCGGGAGAATTCCAAATGTTCTACGAGCAGTTTGACTCGCGGAACAATCCCAATTTTAAAACGATTCTTACACGAGCAAAATCACAAAGTAGAGGTACAGAAATGACAGCTTTAAAAAAATGCCGTGCACAAACAGCTGATATGATTTCGGTGCGGTCGGTCATTGGCCGCCACATTTTTGTTGCCCATATCGGTATCCACGGCTGTTTACTTTTCGAACATGTGCAAGAATATTCTTTTGATTGCATCATTTTGCAGTTCTGCTTGTCGGAACCAATGCGGACATTATGCGGAATATATTGGTGAGTTAATTAAACACGTGCATTTTAAGTTATACGTGTCTAATGAGATGTCAAACCGAGCTCTACCGTCTAAATGATCCAATATTATCGATATTAAAAAAAATTTATAAATCGATGCATTTCACAGCATCTCTAAACACATATTTTTCAACAGGTTACAGCCAGCAAATTAAACATGACAGGACGAGACTATGTGAGTATTTTATAACAAGCATACAAAGGGAACTGTTTGTAGAAAAAAGGATGAGCGTTCTGATTTGTCAACGTCAGTACTCCATGAAGTTGTCTCTCTAATAATATTATGATCCCAAATATATCACTGCATGGACCAGATGAATTCTCTTATATGTTCATATGTACTTATCATCAATGAAGATTTAATAACTTATGCCTCGTACATTACGAGTATTATGAATATACTGGCATATGATGCTGTTGATGCGTTCAATATTCCCTTATATTCATTTTCAACTGGTTTCCAGTTCAACTGCTCATTGTTGACCTTTCAGTTTTAATTTCCGGTTATTTTAAGGATACATACCTAAAGAGATATTCAAGGCTTATCCACTTCATGACAGAAATGCGAACTCGTTCCTTTAGGTCTGGCTGTACCAACAGTCTATTCAGGTGCCGGAAACGAGCGAACTGACCTGGAAAATGAATTCCACTGCCGATAAGGTAGGAACTGCAGGAATACAATGGACAGTCAAAACGGTGTAGCAGCATAATCTATCAGCAAGCTGAACGCTGTCATGTTTCCTTACAACGCACGATTCTATATCCAGCTGAACTTTAGCCTATTTTGATGTCTATTTCTGCAAAATACATGCATGCATAAAATATTTTTAAGGCCAATTATAAAATTAATTTGCGTGCTTATATTTGCCAGACGGTGTTTGAGGCACTACAATCGGTAATCGTTATTCGATTCCCTCCACCGGATTGGGAATCACTCACAAATTACAGCATTTCTGTGGGAGAAGTCTCAAGGCGCCATTTTAATTTTACATATCCTCCTGATTATTATGTATGTATTGTATGCGCTGAACAATCAAAGACAAAACTTCGTATTTACAAATAATTAACTACAGTATTTTGCTGTATATGTGCATTAACTGCTCAGTAAAAGAATTGTCGTTACAGCAATAATATGTAAAAGTTGCTCATAACATAAAAGTTTTTATGCTGTTCCACGTTTACCTAATGTACCGTTGAATTTTTCTAGAATAATGACATTACATTATCGGCATTCGAAGCAGTGCTGGCGGGCTTTGAGGTCAGAACCTACGCAAATTTCTGCGTATCTTCGAATGATTTGTATATTTATGCTGCACTAATTTTCATTTGCGTTATGGACAGGTGCTGAACGAATCTCAAACAAATTTAGATTTTACATCAGGACGAGAATTCAGTAAAAAATTTGTGAGCCGCACTTTCGACTTTGGATTTCGGAGCACTGTCATTGGACCAAATGGAATGCGCAACCGCGACACCCATTTTTTGAAATTCAACGTAGCTATTGGCGAGTTTGAGGTTGGTTAAAATTAATCGTTGTGCTTACCGGTCATACCGCAAACGCAGAGGTTACCTTTATTGACCAGGTAGCATGGTATCATACTTGGACCAACAACTCCATAACCGACGTGTCATCGCAAGCACACAGCTGGTTTCGTTCCGATACATTTCCATCCAATACGCCAGCTTGTGGGTTTCGAGATGACCAATGCAGCCCACCTCTTTGTAAGTTGGTAACCAAGTTCCATTTTTAATTTGAAAAATGTGTGCGTAACTATCTTCGTTTGTCATTTCAGCTGTGACCTTTCCAATCGTGGGAGCGGTATTATTCGTGATCATAGTGGCTGCTGCTGTGGGTATTCCATTGGGTTACTGGAAATACGTTCGCCATCAGGAGCGATATTCGATCTGGTGGAATCTCAGCTCAAGCTTGTTGGTGATAACCAATCCAAATCCGACAACGGGATTGATTAAATCCTCAAGGGCATCCAGACTCTCCGGTGCTTCGCAAAACATATTTCGTCTGCCGGCGAAACCGCGAGAACCGGTGGTGACCTTTGATTCCCGACGAGTTTGGGCCTATACAGTAGACATTGCCACAACAACAGGAGCGCTGACGGCGAACTCCGAGTTCCGCCATATTCTAGCAGATGTAAGTGATAAACAATTCCAAAGGACATATGTTTTTGAAATTAATGAAAACATGTTGTTGCAGATGAAGTCCATTTCACAAGACAATGCCGGCACCCTTACGGGTGTCGTTGTCTCGCCCGAGCAGCTGTCGTTTCTTTGGCCTTATGGGCGTGGTTGCTTACGCCAACTATTAGACGATAAGGCCAATCTGCTAAATCAGAAGATACAACTTCGTTTAATGCACGAAATCCTTGCAGTAAGTTTGAAATAAATATCTTAAGATCCTGAGTAACTGGTTCGCATTACGCAATATTGTGCGAAGGGGCTTTCCTATTTACACGCTTCCCGGCTGAAATGTCATGGATCCTTGTCTTCCTTGAGTACCCTTCTCGATAACCGTTTTGCCGTAAAACTTTCTGGTTATGCATCCAAACGCCTGCTTTCTTCCGTTGGTTATCAGTCTATTGTAGCCAACCGCATGGAACTGTTATGGGATGCTCCTGAACAGCATGCTGGTGCTTCCAAAGAGGGCTCAAGAATTGCAGATATTTTTTCGTTTGGTATTGTGATGGGTGAGATCATGACGGGACTGACACCGTACAGAATGAACCTAAAAGATTCCGTTGAGATAGAAGGTAAGAGTGTCTATGGAGTCACATCAAAATTCTACAATTATAATTATCACGGATCCATCGAAGCCTCTGTATCAAGATATTTTATGGATTCACACTATTGGGTTTTTATTACAGAAATGCTGCCGAAACTAGCCAGCCGAACAAGGATTTCTCCCTTCAAACCGAACGATATGGGTCCGCTTCCAGAGAAGATACGCACGATTATGGCGGGTTGCATAGCCTTCGACGACATGGAACGGCCGTCCCTTCACACAATAGCTTCGCGCTTAAAGACCTTTGACAGCGGTGTTAGCATCGTTGACGACATCCTTACGCGACTGCAAGCCTACTCTGCACAACTCGAAGCGATGGTAGCCAGTCGCGCACACGAACTCCTGGCTGAAACGCAGAAGGTCGACTCACTTTTGGGTGAAATGATACCAAGGTACGGACGCATGAAAGGTCACTTATGATTTCGAAAGTGTCTATCCACAAAATAAAATAACTGAGATTTGCTATTGTTACAGCATCTATGTCTCCAAACTCCGCAACAAAGAACCAATCCCGGTTGAGCATTACAAACTGGTTACCGTCTTCTTTAGCACTCTGGTCGGCTTTGACACATATTGCGCTAGTTCATTACCTCAAGACGTTGTGACGCTATTGAATACCGTTTACTTCACATTTGACCAAACGATTCTCCAACATGATGTTTATAAAATCGAAACCATTAAGGACTCCTACATGGTACAGAGTTACACAATCTGTAAAATGTTCTCGATCAACAGTTTCAAGTACGTACGTAGGTAGCAAGCGGGCTTCCTATTCGCAATGGTTACCGCCACGGTAAAGAAATTGCGGATACAGCGTTGGATCTCCTGGCGGTATGGCATTCAAGCGTGCTATTGCTTCACACAAGGACCAAAACCAGTTTAGAGGTCCGCATAGGAATCCACTCCGGTAAAACCTTTTTTAATATATCGTTGGTAAAAGGCAGTTGTAAAAAGATTTTGTTTATACTCCTAGGTCCTTGCGCGGCAGGAGTAGTTGGAACTCGCATGCCACGATATTGCTTGTACGTTTGTGACAATATTCAGTCAGTCCTGAATACAATATTCATTCCTTTTTACGTTTGTCGCAAACGTAAAAATCGGCCGTTTATTCTCCTTTCTGTATTTTACTGGGTTAACATCCTTCAGAATTATCAGGAACCACGCAAAAATTGTAAATAACGCTTTCCACAAATTGGTTTATTGATGCAGATTTGGCGATACGATTAACACCGCAAGCCGAATGGAAAGTCATGGCGAAGGTAGCAATAATAATTTACCATAATGTTTACAATTATAACCTGTAATAAAGTATTAATCGAGATTCGAGACTGTTTAAGAGTACCGGCCAATATGTTTCCCATTCGGCATTCATGTCAACCTTTAGCGAACTACGAGTACATTGCTAACATTGTAGCGTCCAGAATCCACTTGAGCAGTAGTACCGAAAAACTGCTTCGATCGGTTGGTTCTTTCGACATCGAACCCAGAGGAACGGTCAATATTAAAGTAAGCAATCCTCTTTTACATGACATAAAATATAAATGCCAAATAAAATAAAATATTTGTCTGAATGACTCAATTGACTTTTAGGGAAAAACAGCAATGATGACATTCTGGCTAACGGGACACTCGACGGAAGCTGCCTAGTGATCATGAAAAAGTTTTTGAAATTCCATTTTTTAACAATTGGGGCTGCACTTGCTGGAAGCGGTAGTATTATTTACAATAATAATGTTTTATGTCGAAGAGGTTTACAGTTCAACTATCTATGTGATTTCAGAAAAAGGCCAGTTTGACTACTTTTCAGCCAATTTGTATAATTCACTCATTTTTGTGCGATTCTCTCACGTGCAATAACAGAGAAGAATTAATTGCTACAAAAATGCAAAACTCAGCATAACTTCAAGTGACCACTCAGTAAATGCAGAAACCACAAAACTCAGAAATTCTTAACTCTCCATGGTATATGAATAACACACGGCCAGTCAACTCAGAAGACAAGAAGGGTGTTTGCTTCGTTCAGCAGAATATTCCTGGCAATTAAGCAAATTTCATCACGTTCCTTCTTCATAACATAAAGCAAGACTTTGTGCATGTTTCTCAGTAGAAGATTCCGCGCAGTGTTTCTTCCACTGTCCACACCGGTCTTTACACTACATTTTCCGGGAAATCATACGCCAGCCATGAAGCTGTGGATGTTACTGGGATTACTAATTGGCGGCGCTGCTGCTCTGGACGTCAACATCACAATGTACGTACGAGTAAAAAGAACAACGGGCAGTAGTACAAATACAACAAATCGGCAAAATAAAATAGAGCCATAACTTATTTTTGTAGTCCAGCCGTTGCAATACCAGCCAAAGATCTCGCCAAGACAATTCTCGAAGCCGGAAAGAATTTAGCGGCCGATCCCGTCGCATACTTATCCGCTCTCGGTGTTAAATGGCTGGATACGAAACATGCCGGCATGTTGCCGCAACAATTCATACCACCCAAGCTGCAGGATGCCGATATTCCCGATGAATTTGACGCCAGAAAAGCATGGCCGAAATGCCAGAGCCTTGCACAGATTCGTATGCAAGGAGGGTGCGGAGCATGTTGGGTATGTCTTACACGTTTTGTAAGGTAACTGTAACTGTAATCCACACCTGAAATGTAACCATTTTCTAGGCGCACACGGTAGTAGAAGCGCTAACTGACCGGCTGTGCATCTTCTCCCAAAATAAAGACCTCTTTGTGCATTTGTCCGCGCAAGATATGCTGACATGCTGTCCAACGTGTGCCGTTTGTGGATCTGGATGGTAGATATTTTCATTTTCAAAGTGTTTTCCTGTATCCTTACTTAATAATCACAGGGTGTTTCAGTAGATATTTAATTTTCAATGAAATTTAAAGTATAGTTTTATATTATTTTTAACAGCAGAGGTGGACTTGTGGAGATGGCGTACGATTCCTTTGTAACCGACGGTGTGGTAACCGGTGGTAATTATGGGGAACTCAACGGCTGTATGCCATATCTGATTAAACCGGCGCATGAGGATGATGGCGCACCGACGCCGACTTGCTTGAAAGGATGCCTGCCTACCCACAGCCGCAACTATGCCGATGACCGATATTACGGTATATATGCAATAAACACGTACCTGAATTATTGTTGATATCTTTATCTTTATATTCATACAAGCTTACCGACCAAAGCGTATTTATGCGCCGTTTTTAACTCCTCGATAACGCGTGGTCAGTTTAAGTCCAGCTTGGTCTTAAAAAATTCTATATTTTCCATAGGTGTGCCAATAGATTTTTGTTTGATTTTAATAACCAGTGGTCAGAAGATGGTTTCACCAGGTCTTAAGTATAGGAAACGTAAAGAGCACCCCTGGAAAATTATTCACTGCACAGCAATAAAAAGTGCTTTAAAACATAATGTCTGTAACCACGGAGACTATAGCGGATGCATAAATACTTGCTCTTTAGGTACTTAAAATATGTATATTATATTATTACGACATGCAAAAGTCCAAACGTATTTCAGAGCGTCAAAACGTGAGAAATTCAAAAAGTAAGAACGTCAGAACGTAACACCGTCAGAACGTCAGAACGTTATAAAGTAAGAACATCGGAACGTTAGAACGTAAGAACGTCATAACATCATAATGTCAGAACGTCCTAAAGTAAGAACATCAGAACGTTAGAACGTCAGAGCGTTAGAACATCAGAACGTTAGAACGTAAGAACGTCAGAACGTTAGAACGTCAGAACGTCAAAACGTTAGGACGTTAGAACGTTATAAAGTCAGAACGTAAGAACGTCAGAACGTCATAATGTCAGAACGTCAGAACGTCCTAAAGTAAGAACATCAGAACGTTAGAACGTCAGAGCGTTAGAACATCAGAACGTTAGAACGTTAGAACGTCAGAACGTCAGAACGTTAGGACGTCAATACGTTAGAACGTCAGAACGTCATAAAGTAAGAACATCAGAACTTCAGAACGTAACAACGTCAGAACGTCAAAACGTTAGGACGTTAGAACGTTATAAAGTCAGAACGTAAGAACGTCAGAACGTCATAATGTCAGAACGTCAGAACGTAACAACGTCAGAACGTCAAAACGTTAGGACGTTAGAACGTTATAAAGTCAGAACATCAGAACTTTAGAACGTGAAAAATTAAAATTTTCAGAAAGTCTGAAATTCCGAACGTCAGTCTTTATATATAGATAATGACCTTTCCAAAACAAAGCCTATACTATCCAGTACTTAAGTGCCGAGCGCGGATGCGCGAGGCTACCTTGTAATTTATAGTATCATTAAATTTTACTATATTAGTTTTTACGATTACAGTACAGCTCGTATGCATCGATTACATGTTTTTGTAATACTAGCGGTGGCTGCGAACCACATTATTGCACGAGCGCGAGCGCCAGTACCACTGGAAAATGGTATTGGGATTGTGGAATTGGAAAAGCGTGACGTACGCTTTCCGTGGCGTCAGACAAATTTTATGCTCTTGACGAAGACTTATCGCAGCACCTCGCGCTTCGCGCTCGGTGCAAATTACGGTAGTTTATACGTAAGGTCATACAGGTCGTACAGTAATTTATAGAACTTGTCGCTTGTCAAACGACAAAACTGGCTTTCCAATTCACATTTGCTTTATTTGTTCGCAAAATTCAGGTGAATCGTGGTATATGATCACCAAGTTCGATAAACGAATGGAATTGGTCGATGTACAGCAGACGGAACGCGATATGCAGCTGGAAATTATGACCAACGGATCGGTCAGCGTGGTTGTGGAGATGTTTCCGGATTTCAAGCTTTACAAAACTGGTAAAAAGTTCTTATTCTTAAACTTTTTTGGCAGACGACCTTTTTGTTTTAATGATAATTTGTAAATATTTTTGTATTCTCTAATATTTTAAGGGGTTTACGAGCACGATCCCGCATCAGGCGAGCGAACCGGCTTTCATGCTATGAAAGTCCTTGGCTGGGGCGTTGAATCCAACAAGCCGTACTGGTTGGTAGCTAATTCTTGGGGCACTGACTGGGGTGACAAGGGATTCGTCAAGATTCGCCGCGGGCGAAATGAAATGAGCATTGAATCCCGGGTGAGCGCTGGGATACCCAAGGTCTACAACCATACCGGACCGGTACGCACGTACAAAAACGTTATCGAGGCTCTGTACGCTGCTGGACAGAACATCGTCGGTGCCGTTAGTGCCACCGGCCGGGCGTACATTAATATGATGTATGGGTGCGGTTTGCGAAGTGTCGTGGCGGGTCTACAAGCGGGAACATCGGGAACGTCAGGGACCTCCGGGACATCCGGCACATCTGGAACCTCAGGGACTTCGGGAACATCAGGTGCGTCATGACCCTTAATAACCGGAATATAGTACCACAAAAGCAACAGTTTTTGAATTACGCTGTTGTATACGGCTGAAATTATGGACAACTGACCTTTTTACTATGCTGATTTTTTGCAACGGATTCTCGATTCTCATCATCAGCACTGTGAAATACATAGGCACATCCGGAACATCTGGTTCAGCACCACCTAGCAGCAAACCGTCCAACGCCAGCCCGACCAGTGGCCTGGCAAATGCACTCAACAACGTCGGTGTATTTGTACCGGATTTGACCGGTTTCATGTCGGTGGAAAACCTCAAGAGCTTAATGGAACAGAATGCAGCTGGCCTGGGCCTGGTTCTTCCCAACGGCAAACAGCTGCAGCTGAACATGACAGAGCTCACCCTGTGGTTCCGATCCACCGCTAAGAAAGCGGTCACCGATGCCTACAACGCGGCCAAAGACGAAGTGATTTCGGCAGTGTCTGGTGTGGCATCCAAGCCAGTGAGCGGTCTCATTGATGCCGGTGCAAGCTGGCTATTTGGCAACGATAAACCAAAAGGTCCCGGCAAACCCGACGACAAACCTGGCAAACCGGACGATAAGCCTAATAAGCCCGCTGGGAAACCAAGCCTTTTTGGAGGATTTTTCTAGCCAAAAGCTTGTTTCAGATCAAAACACTGAAAAGCCGATCTTCCAAACATGCAGATTTTACGCTTTATTTTCTCAGTTTATTGCTATATGCAGCACTTCTATGGTTGCGGTTCCATATCTAGTTAACTTGATTAATTAAAGTGTTCACCCACAAGAAGAAATGTTAGCGAACATCAGAATTTCGGTAACTGAACGGCAATCACTTCGCCTCTGTGAATTCTTGGAGGCATCCAACCAGAACGTATAAATGTCACCTTTTCCTTTTATGTGAGTGCTGCCTCTGGGTGTCAAGCAAAAACTGGCATTTGATTTCAACAAGAAGGCCGATTCCGGACTGATGTGGATTTTGCCAGCTTGGCCATGGCTCATCATTCGGCTAGCAGTATTCATTGTATCTCCGAATCTGCATTCATATAACCAAACACCGTTTAAACACGATTGAGTTCAAACGTAGTCTAGCTGAAACCAAATAGTTCAACTACACAAGGAAGGCTTCCACTGTGTCGCATATAAAACTGATCATTCTGGTGCCCAAAAAATACTTACAAGCATAAAAATACTTTCGAAGACTTACAAGCAGTAACGGGGAATCGCTTTTCCGACAACGGCAGCAACAACGGTTCCTGGAAAGAAAATGCCATGAGCAATTAAATGGCGAGCGGAATATGCAGGGACCACTCCATGCTCTAACCAACCTGAGTGGATGCCGACTCGCAGTCGGGTATTATACCGAAAGGTTACGTTTTCATACTCCTGCACCAATCGACACGCCATTGAGGCAATTTCCGTAATATGTTTTTCTCCATTTGGCTCCGGAAGACCGCTAGCCACCTGCTCAAAGATAACTCATCAAAATCTATTTTCTGTCAGCATTATCTTTGCAGGTTTTAAGCTTACCACGTAACAATCGCCTATAGTTTCCACTTTATACACGTCATACGTAGAGATCATGTTGTCAAAGTGCGAATATGCCGTATTGAGGAACGTCACAACGGCAAAGGGTGTGGCAGACGACGCAAAGTCACTGAATCCCAGCAAATCCCCAAAGTAAATAGTTGTTTGACTAAAATTGGTAGGCTGTACGTGTTCTTGTGCGCGTAACCGCTCCACCACCGATCTAAAAAAAACACATCCGGTAGGCGATGACGCAGTGCCGCACTTTTTACCTTCATCGCTCGTATTTGATTTACTTGGGCAACATTTCTTGCAGAAGAGCGTCACAGAGCTTTTGCTCACTGATGAGATCAGCCGTTCGCAGTTGCACCTTAATTTCCAGATCCGTTGCATACACTTGCAGACGGTTAAGGATCCGTCCGACAAGGGAATCCGACTGCTTCAAATCCATTATCTCACCAAGGGCTCTGTACAGCTTCTGTATGTTAGGACGCTTTTCAGGGACTTCATGCCAACATTGCTCGATCAAATCCTTCATGGAGTGGTCCATCATTCGGCTTTCAGTGCGCGGACGATAGGTTTCCGAATAATGGGACAACGCGGCTTTCTGATAAACGTCTGCAAATTAGACATCAGTGAATACCTTAACGGTAATTTTGGAACAGGTAATAGGTGACCTTTTGGTGTCAAGAACAGATCTGAATATGGAGGTTCAGCCATGAAGATTTCATTCAATATGATCCCCAACGAATACATATCACACTTTTGGTTGGGATAGCTTAAACCCCGCAAAACTTCGGGCGCTGTCCAAAAGATCTCTTGATCGTTCCCCAGATCAAACTTTAGGACAGTGACCTTGTGATTGAGCAATGATTTGACTTGAGCGTATGCCAGTTTAGCAATTTTTAAGGTAAAGTTTTTGCTTAGCAGGCAGGAGTAACTGGTCAAGAATCCATGGCTTTTGCGCGACGATTCATGGATGAATTTCATTCCCTGCGAAGATTCACAGAGTTTAGCGTCGTACCGGCTATGCGCTTACTGCTTTGAAGAATTTAAAATCGGACAGTTACCTTGAGGAGATCTTGAACGAAAGAACTTTTCAGTTCACTAACGGAATGTAATTGGGCGTAGTTGTCGTGAAGTGAATGCCGAGGACAGTAGTCGTCCAATAGCAACATGCAAGTTTTATCGTGATTGTAGCACATCCCGATGAAAGCGGTGACGTTCTCGCTGCTCATCAAGCTTAACTATAAATGCAAAGCAAGCTTTAGTGCGTGCGATAACGTGTGAGTGCGATAGCGGTCTAAAGCAGTTTTGTATTACAGATGTCAGCAGCTTGGATATTTGGCGAAAATGATGGAAATGATGATCCGGAGTCTGCAGCGGTTTGACCCACACTTGCTTTCCCATGTATGACATGTGGCCGTGATAGTGAACATTCTGAAGCAACAACATGAAGCCTGGAATACACTGCGTACTCCTTTATTCAGTACTCGTATCCATAGCATTGCGTATCTTACAGTAATTTCGGTTTCCTCTTGTAGCTGTATATCGGGGAAATTAGTGAGCGGATTCAAAATTTCTTCCAAAGAAGTCATATTGTTGGACGTTTGGCTGTACGACGCATGCAGAAGGTACTGGATATTCAGCTGCCACCGTCTCGCTGCTGCTGCCCTTCGCTGCACGTACCGACTGTAGATGATATTTGCGGTTTGATTTATCTTCGTAAATTGACATTCCTAGCCTTACTCACCTGTAGGCAAATCCGCCGATGCCAGCCAGAATGGCAATGGCCAGCGCCGTCACTCCAGCAACAAATGGTAATATGTCCAACTCTGGATAGTTTATGTCGATGAATTAACCACGTATCGGCACTAATTACTGGGAAATTAAATTACTTTTAATGCAACCTGCAGCTGCCCCGGTGTAGCCACAAAGCGGTTCATTTAGTGGCGGAGTATTGCGAGTAGTATTTGGCCAGTCAATAATGTCGTTCAGCGGGATGACGGATCTTGTAACTGAGACAAACTTCAGTACCGGCTGCAAAGAGGATCAAGATTTTCCAGATCGAATTTTCTCAGTGCGCAACAAGCCGTGGAAAAAAAACACTGCCCTGACCTTCCAGGATTGCGTTGATACAGCCCAGTCGCGGAGAAGGAGATCCATATACCGATTGCCTTGTTTAGAAAAGGTTACGTTACCGGACGGTAATTCGATCGTTCGGTTGTGAAATCGCTGGGCGAAACTTCGCCCATCGGTGATATCGGATAGGTCACCCTCCTGGATAGTTTCCTCCAGTATCTTAAGGCGCAGTCAAAGATTACGCAAATGTTGTGAAAAACGTTTCTGACACATCGTTTTGTAATCAAGATCACCTTCAAGAAGATCAGCATGCCTTCATAAGCCATCACTTGGGAGAAATTTATCTGCAACATTGACTCAGTTTCGTATTTCACTGCCGGCTGATTAAAGAAGAATTGTGTAATACTTCAAACGAACTGCTCGGAATATCGAATCCGTAGAAATCTTTGGACATATTTGCCCAAACGGGAAACCGCGGCGCGAAGAAGGTCTTCCGTTCCGACTCACTTTCGGCGAGAGTTATTAACATGATCGATCGCCAAGCGAATTCCAGATCCTTCATCCAGAAACAACAGCCCCATAGACACAATACGAAAGCACAGATAAACATTGTCTGTAATCTCAATTACTTACAGCATCTAGCGAATCACCTTGCTCCCACTGAAAATCCCCCCACGACCCATGAGTCATGTTGTCACTAGGATAAGGTTCAACAGCAATGACGACCTTTAGAAAATGAGAGATTTTTCAAGTCAAATTTCGCCTGCCGGATTCAAAATGTATTCTCAAGGTTCGGAATTAATTATAAGTAGCTTCGAAATCACTCATCGTGTTACTTACATATTCGCCGGATGCCATCATTCCTCGTTTAAACATTTCATGCTGCCTTCGAACAACACAGCTCGTAATAACGAGGTTGGTTAATTAGAGCATGGACCATCTACTCACCGCAATTAACCGTAGCCTCGCGGTGTTCCCGAAATATAACACAACTACAAATTTCAAATGTTTTTCAGCGTTATTATAAATTGCTGTAGCCAAACTAACTTCGACTGGTTTCTTGCAGTTTTTGCAGGAACCGGAAGTCGGTGGCATTTACTTCTTCTTCCGTGAGGATGTGTCCAGATATCTGGTTATCTGGCACATTACTGCGAACAGCATGCATTACTGAATTGTAGGCATCGCCGAACCATGGATTAACGTCTGCAGTGGCATCACGAATCATGTACACAGAGCGCCATTTAAACCGAGCAAGAATTTCCACTATAAAGCTGTTCAATCCGTCATACGCCAACATGGACGAGGTCACCCATGTTGGTGCGTAACCTTTTTCTTCAAGATCGGGATTCGCAGCTTCAATACTGTAGGGCACAAAAAAATAATGTTCATGAAACTAAACGTAACCAAAAGGACTCCTGTAAACGAATTTATGAAGTAGGAGTAGCGCGTTTGTACAGTAACCATAAGATCACTAAGATGACAAACCACGTAAACATCAGCACATTCCATTCTGCAACAAAACCCGAGAGGCTAAATCGCGTGCTTACAATGAGATAATTGTACTGTCAGCAAACAAAAACAACCATCCGCATAATTGCATTCTACTTTATCTAATAATGCTTACCTGCAGCCAGGCGGTTCAGTAAGACAGATTCGCTGCAACGTATAATACGAAAGGAAATCATGCTGCTGTGTAAAATTTGTGATACTGCAAAGCTATTTTCATTTTTTTACCTACGTACGTATAATTATTATGTAAAAACTTACTAGGAACCGCAACGCATTGCATAAATAATAATTATAACATTATATTATGTCAATCTGCTCGTAGCCTGGTGGTATTACGTTCGGCTTTTGAAGTGTATAGCACTATAGCTTGGGTTCGATTCCCAGATGAGTAACTTTTATCTCATAAAATCAAACCAAAAAAGTATAAAATTTTTAAAATACCAAAAATAAATTCCAATAGCCTTAAAAGTCTCCCAAGTGGAGTTTGGCTACTGTTGGTTCGATAATAATAATAATAATAAAAATAAAAAACTTATCTGTGTGCAGTAAAACTGTCGCATTCGGTGCAGGCAGTGTCCGATTATAAAAATAATTCGAAACCAGAAAATCACAGACTGCATTCATATCTGCACAAGTTTGAATCGATGGGTCACTCAAATAGCGATGCCGCACTGTGACATTTGGCCAAAATCTCTCGGAATAGTTGGCAAAGACATCGTTAAAAGGCAGCGCCACCCAAGGAAATGACACATTCATGTCCGTCGGGCTGTTTACAGTAAAGGTGACAATTTCGATAACAAAGTTACAATGAGCAGCTCCAAAGAACAACCAACACCACAGCCATTGAAACTTCATCTCTTGCCGGTAAATGTGATCGCACTATCATTTCCCAGCGTTTACCCCCAATAAGTGTACAGTTTGGTCGGGGATTTTGCATTTATAACGTTAGTTCAGCAAAGAAAGTTATGAACAACCGTCACTTACGAAACGATTCTCAGAATATTTTCATAAACAAACGTTCATCATTAACGGATTCTGCAGTAAACTTAGCAATGCATTTATGGAACCAAGCAAAAAACGGTGACAGTATAACAGATAATACACAGACCGCGAGGAGTGTATCCTGATATCAGATTTCCGCTACAGACGCCACAGCCCCTTACGATGCCATCAAGACCGGAAATTGTTCCCATGATCAAATATTTAGTAGCTGATATCAGGTTTACGGATTCCAAGTGACTATCCTGCGGCAATTGGTAACAAGTCACAGGCAGTGCCATCTAGCTGTCACTTATCAAAGCCCGCCTGCGTTACCTCATAGGCCGACGTTGACCACATTAACAGCTGCATTATACGTACTGGAGTACTGCTGCTCGTACTCTTTACTTAGCTGCATCTACGCTCCAGGCATGGCGGCATCTGGACCGTATGTACCAGTGTAACGTAACAATGCGTTGCCTGTACATGAAACATTACAATGCGTTCGGACGATAATACCGTCATCCGAGCTCATTGTCAGTATGGGATTTGCCGTTACACAGGAACATTTACAAATGAAATCTCATTAACTGTAAGATGCAAGTCAGAAGCGTTTGGACTCGCGCACTATTATGCTTACGTTAGAAGTATGCACATCACACAGCCAACACAAACACGCACTCTCAAACGCCTAATGTCGTAATTGCTATATTTCTACTTATATTGTTATTATTACCAACGCTTATATACGTCGGTACAGTAGCGAAAGATTTTTTGCTCGGAGAACAAGTACGGACGTACGTTTTGCAATTGCGTGAAAAAGTGTACTGTAATCACCTACGACTTATTGTAGCTAGGGCGTAAATCCCATAAACTCCTACGTAAATCGTGGTTTTAGGCTTACGCATGCATGGAGCAGCTTAACCATAAGCCGAAAAATGTTTTTGAATTAAGTACAATGCAAAATTTGTAATCCACACAGATTCACGGTAATTGGTAACTTTTGCATTTATGATATGTAATACCGTAGTCGGCCAACGCTGCCAAAGCCATAACGTAAAAGCTGCAGTCCGTCCTGTCGTGCAACACCTATCCGGATTATTACTGGACGTCAACTGGATTATTACTCTATAAGCAGTATGGCTTCGACGTTGATAATACTGATGCCATTCTCAAAGCAATCAGTCGAATTCTGTAACCTGCGCGCGTAATGTCTGCAAACTGCAGCTAAAAATGTCTTGATATCGTAACTTTCCTTCAGTTACGCACTGGAACTGATTTCGAATGTTTACCAAATTATTGGACACAGCTGATTAATACCGTACTTAGGACTGAAAATAAGCGCAGTCATGTTTAGCGAATGGGAATTTAATATGCCGGCTGATGACTGGGAGCCCACTGTAACGGTTGGACAACCGACCTTGCCAATTCGTACGGCGCACAAATTTGTTCAACGGAACGAGAGTAACATACTCTGTACATAGCGCTTCTTGGAAAAACATAGACAAAAATTTCTGGAAACCACCGATCTTTTTAATTTGATTTTAAAGCGTTTGCTGTTCCTGCCGTCATGATTTATGATTTTTTTTCAAAAGCATCCCTCATGTTGCTTTTCCTTATTAAAGTGGTACCACTTGCCAGCTGATTAGAATCGTGGCAAGTATCTAGCTTGTAAGTTACTGATATAAATTAGCTTTTGATTAAGTATACTTCCATTAGGGACTGTGTACATGCACTAAAGGCACCTTGCCGAAGTCGGATGGCATTGGTTGTACATAACTGAAACTGTCATAATTATACTGATTTCTCTTTGGAAGCATTCAGAGCTCTGTAACTGCTCATTAACGCAGACTACGGCAGCAACAACAACCACACGAAACGATTCGATTTTTATTTGGGCATTGGGTGAAGACACCAGCACCGGAACACGGGTTACCGGCGCAACCGGCCCCGCCGTCCTTGCTAAAACAACCCCCCGTCTCCTCGCCAAAGAGGGTGGGCGGGAGGGAAGAACGACTTGTTACATGTACACCACCTTTACTCCAACACAGCAGCAACTGAAATGCACTAACTGAAATGGACGATCACTAACAAATACAACATCCACAACCGAACTGCATTGCTGATGCAGCATCAGGATCTGCATCCCAAGACACACCATAGGGTTTTCTTGGCTGGACACTGGTCATCCAAGTCGTCCAGCCTTGCAATCACTTCCGCTGCGTTAACCGGAATTAGCTTTGCTAATTCTATTTTATACATAGCTTTTTGACTACGTATGCATCCAGTGTTCCCTACGGGTAGGTTAACGTACCACTGATATGTCTGAATGGCATTACTGTATCATGCCGTCAAGTGCGAATTGCAGTCTTTACAGTATATTCTCGTTTGTGCAAAGCATATACTAGGACATAATTTTTTTGTTCTGTACTACGACAATAATACATATGCTGTACAAAAACAGCTACAAAAGGTCACGTTTTTCAAGCCAGAACGTTGTCATTTCTCCTTTGCCTTTAACCAGAATAGAACCTCTAAGCACACATCGAAATGCTGTGTTATTCCTTATTAACTCCGTAGTCATGGGGCTGATATGAATGCGGTTTGGTTCGCCACACGACTCCATTCTGGATGCTGTGTTCACCGTGTCTCCAAACCTGCGAACGCTAATATAAATATACTTATCTCCTTTGTTTTTTGTTTGTTTTTGTCAACTTACAGGCAATAGCGTGGACGCTGTAGACCCACCACGCTAGCAATACAAGGACCTTCTAAAAGGTTACCGATAAGTTGTTACTAAGAAAACAAACCAATCCTAGAGTATCACGTTTCTTGCCAGTATGTATTCCAATCCGAATAGCCATTGATTCGTCAAAACTTCGTAATTTAGTGCTGAAGACTTGCAAAAAGGTGACAGCTGTGTAGCAAATCTCCGCTGCATGTGTGATGCCATTCCTCACTGGCAAGCCGCTCACAATCTGAAAAACAAATACTGCTGATAACTCATTCAGCTTGCCTCCATTACTTCTTTTGTTATGTTTAGTGCTGGTACTTACGAAGTAAATATCGCCTATCGTTTCAACTTTGTAAACGTCAAAATCACATATTATTTTATCCGAAAGGCCGTGCACTGTATTCAGGAACTCGATGACTTGGTACGGCGTTACGGATGCGACAAATTGTACGAATCCAACAATATCGCTGAACATTATCGTTACGGAGTCGAAAGGTTCGGGTAGTATTTTCTCGTGTTTACGCAACGCTTCCACTACGGCTCTGAAATTACAAGAATGTCATGTATATTTCCATTTCTGATTCTACTTTAAATCATGTACTTACGCTGGTAGTATATGCAGTAGAATCTCATCGCATTTGCTTCGTTCCAGAAGTAATTCCTGAGTTTTTAAACCGACCAGATGTTCCAGTTCCATAGAATACTTAGCTAAACGTTGCAGTAATCTCTCCATAACTGTGACTTTCTTCCGTTTAGGGGAAAATGCTTGTTTTAATTTTTTAACCGTCGGACGACGCGTTGCGTCGCTATCAAAGCAAGACAGAAGAACTGCTCCGTACTTCAGATTTTCTTTTGGTGGAAGATTAGCTGAAATAAAATTACAAATTTTACTGTAATTTGATGGGCATACCAGGAGTAAATTGTAAACGTTTGCCTGCTTTACCAACTAAAGTAATTAAATGCTCTCTGTCGCTTTTAAGGACAACACGTTCCGTAAAAATTTCGGTGCAAATTGCTCCAGCGGCGTAAATGTCATTCGGTCTGCGATCAGTAATTTGGACTCTTGTTTCGCCGCTCTCAGGAAATGTAAAAAGGTCACCAAGCAAGTGAGTGCCGCGATTCAGGCCGGTGTATTGCAATAATCGGTCACATCCAAGACCACAAATTTTCAATCCAAAATGATTAGTAATGCCACACAAATAAGAACACAAGGATCCATGGAATTTAATCGTCGGATGGGCGTGGATAGCAGCAACACCCTGCAGTTCTGAGCGTAATCAAAATATAAACCACATGATTTGTAGCAACATCAGTTACCTGCAATAGATTCATAATTAGAGACAGTTTAAATTCGTCATCTAAAGGAATCTGCGGGGCATCAAGAAGTTTCCTTAAATTTGCTCGGTGGCACTTTTCGTATATAATGCTGAAAGTGGATGGGGCCAGCGTAATTCCAAAGAAGCGAACTACACTGGGAGAGTCCATTGTGAGCAGCTACAACGTTGTTTGTTTCGTTATTGATAGGTTAAAATTCATTAACTCGCAGACGCAAAGTCACACACACTGTCCACAAACTCTATGCATTTCCTTCTATTAATGGAATTGCGAAGAGATTGCTCGTTAATGGAAGAATCGTAAGATACGGTCATCGCAAAATAGATCTGATTGTGGAGCATGACTTTTCCATAGAACGGTCCATTATTCTGAAAATATGCGATGAAACCGTTGTTATTAATCTACTCCAGTTTTAAACTGGAAGGATAAAATGACGCAGCCGTTTGATCATCATCGATAGCCATGACCGATAAACAACGCAAAATAATGATTACCGATAATGATTTGTTATTGATTTGGACCTGCGTTCCGGGCGAAAATTCCCATGATATACTTCGCAGATGCAGTTCAGAGTAAATTTTCCTAATATAAAAACGTTAAACAGTAAATTTCTCACTAGTTTACACGTACTCTGTACGTTTACACGTATAGAAGTATCAGCTGCATATTAAAAACATAATAGCATCCGAAAAATGGCATAACTGTCACGAGGATCATTATCTGGCGTACCTTGCAATCATAAAAACAGCAACAAGGAGAACAATAATCACCGCTAATGCGATTGTACTTGATTGTACAATCAATCTGGTTTGGTTCCCTGAAGAAGATGCGTCGTGAATCAGTACACGTGATTGGATACAGAAAATGTCAATTTACTGCTACCTAAATTAATGGCGCATATGCCGGTTAACCCGTTGAATCCACACAAGGGTACATCCAGTGGCAGCGTTTTCCCGAACCAAGTAATAGGACCCAGCTCTGACATCTGTCCCGGCGCACTGAGGTTTTGTTGAAGAAAAGCCTGTATATGAGAAAAGCATTTCGAAATACACTTTAGGGATTATTCATTTAATAAATTCGCAAAACATGGAATAAAAGCACGATAAGAAGGACTATAACAGGTAAAATTACCCTGATCTTTACCGTAAACAGTCCAGATGTAAGGTTCATCTGTCGAATTTCCAATTGGATTTGCCGTTCTCCAGTAAGATCGAAGGTTATGGATCCAACTGGCGTGCTAAGCGTCTTGCCCCAGAACCATTTGGCAAGGTCTCCCGTCTGCGCTTTGTCAGCCAGTGAATATTTTTCCAGAGCCAGTTGTTCTACAAGCTGTAAGAATGTCTAGGTTAATAACCGCGACCGCGAGCTAACGCGCGTAATACGAGTAGTTAACGACCGCGAGTACAGCAATCAAAGTGCAACAAACATCTAACACTTTTATTGAAAATACAGCACTAAATGATCCCTAACGTAATATGCTAACCTGTCCTAACAGGTACATACAGGCATACTGGGTGTAAATGTGTGGAGTCGGCTGGAAAGATAAAAAACTGTGCTAATGGCTCCCAGTACAGCTGGAAAACGGTAAAACAAGTATACCAGTTCGTTCGCTTGGTACGTGTAGTTGTAATATTCTGCTGACCGTCGTGACAACTCCGTTCGCATCAGCATTCGCGTGTATTCGGCGTCAGGCCCGGATGAAGTCGCCGTAATAACGAATAAAGACCGGTAAGATTGGAAGCTAATCTAAAAATATTTCGATTAGCTGTTCTGGATTGATAGACCGATAAGACAGGACACCGATTCAAAATCTTTTTTATTACTTGTATCGCTAGAATTTAGATCTAGAATTAGAAGCAACAGATCGCACCCAAATGTTCGTGTACCGCATCAAACGTGTCGTTGTGTTTCCATGTAGTATCTCCAAACAAAGGCGTTGCATATTCAAAAGGTGATAGCGACATATAGGCCTATATGAAAGCATAAGTTTTCGGATCGTTTTAATCAAGAGGCGAATCAGATTATACATATACGTACTTACAGCATAACGGTAGGACGCAAACAATAAATAATCTGCCTCATAATTATTTCTTTCGAAAAATACAAGTACTAAAATAATTGCTTACTATTTAAAATATGCATACAATTTTGATACATGTACTTACATAATCACCTGTTGTCATGTTGCGAAAATGTGCCGCAATCTGTAATAAAGAGACCGCTTTGCCTTGTACTCCAGTGCGAAATGCTAACAAAATCCCTTTAATATGTCTTCACCATAAATTTTCGAAGATTGTCGGCATGGCCCCAAAATGTAACAACTGCAAGGAAGGGGCAGCATCAGTGTGTGCAGATATGAATTTCCGTTATATTGCTTACTCCGAGCTACTTGCTGGATTTCGGATAGCACTGCTGAGAAAGTGTCATCCTTAGCGCTGTCCACAGTTTTCGTGTACACTGTAAAGCCATTGGTCTCTTTCAATGTCTTAGCTAGCAGAAAACTGCCAGCCGCTGCAATGGCCGCACTTTTCCCTACTTTGTCGTACACGATATACACGGTTTTCCAGTCGTATTTAGCCAGAAAGGTCACAAAAGCGGCAATAATCTGCCGCATCATGACGGGGCCGGCCTGAATGACATTGGGGTATGCGGTCTTATCACGCAGTGCAATATCGTTAAATGCTCTAAATAACCATTAAGGTGTGCTTTCAGAGAAAAACATCACAATTATTTCACATGAGAGCGAGATCGATTTACCCTATTACGGCCAGCTGATTCCAACCTGTAATAATTTGTAACGCGTGAAAAGACACAACTAAATCAAGCAAAGGTTTGGCGACAGACTATTCTACTTCGCAGCTCCACGGAGCTGTTTACTGCACTTTAATTCGTTTATATTGCAAGTTCATTGGTTGTAATCAATCTTTCATGCCTGCAGTTAATTTGGCCACCGAGATCGCTTCCCAGGAACATCCTAGAACATAATTATTAGCAAACTGTATTGCAGCCGCTTTTGTGGACTGAATTTATGCATGAGAACGATGCTATTGAAGAAATTATCGCGCTTGACGGCTTCCCCATTCCGAGTTGGAAAGGGCAAGCAGAAAGATATACCTGAATACTGTACGAACACGTAATATACCCCTGGCGTGAATAATTTTGTTATCTACCTTTAAAAATATTACACTACTGTACTAAATACCTAATTCTTGATACAATTGTCGATGTACATAACAACCCATGCAAATTTTCTTGCTTTAGTCCAAGTACTGTAGGCTTCACCAGCAAAAAAAAACTTTTTTCGCAGTTGTGAGTGGAAGTATGATCTTTCATTTCCTACTGTATGCGACTAATGCGACACGGTAAAATCTTTGCAACATTTGCCTAGTACTGTTTAACAGGCCTAAAACTCCGACGTATCAGACAATTCATAAAAACTATACAAAACTAACACGAAAATGTTGAAATACCTGTTAGCAAAATAACAGACAAAAAGCTTTCGAAAAACAAAGCATATTATGATTCCACACATACCAGGAAAAAAGAAGACGGTCACATTGGCATTACGGTTACGGGAATAATAGTACTCCGACACCAGGAAATCGATGCCAGTAACCGCTTCGTCACAGGTGCTGAATGAGCGGTTGTACAGATACACTAAGCCAATGTCCAGTATTTTCGAATAATTTCTTTGTATCTCTTCCAACCCGATATCGATGGCTGGAGCAGTTAGCGGCATACTCGTCAAACTCGCCATATTGATCATTCCCGGGGAAATTATTTCCACACTTAATTTTTGAGCCATCGCCAACTGAGCCTTCTGCTTTCCAGCAAATAGGCAGAGGAACAGCACGAAGAAAATAATACAAAATACGCTGTACATTGTGCAGTTATTACCCAAAAAGTCTATCAATGAAAAGGATTAAAAACGAACGGTTCATCCATTTAGATAGAAAGAGCCTTCTCCTCACGTATCTATAATATTTTGATATTCTGATAGAAAGTGACTGGCTACCACCATATTACACTATGCAGATTTTAATCGATGATGGATCCTGTGAGTAAAAGTACTATGGGAGGGAAACTTGATACGAAATCTTCGATTGTATGCAGATAAATATTATAACGATTATAATAAAACCCTGGGATTTTCCGATGTATTGACCGTACTGTAATGCTCTGTCGGTGTGAACATCGCTTCTACGATCCGACATACTCTGTAGCTACCTAGCTGCGGATATTTCTGCTGTTCACGAATCACTTCGATACAGTAAAACAGCGTCAACGTTTATATGAAGATACTCGATTTGTCGATCAAATCTGTCATTAATTACTTCCGGTACTAGGCCATCCGTGTACTTTGGCTGACGCAACGAGAATATTCTCCCACGTTTTCTTGTCTCTTGTATTCACGCAGCACACTTGCTTATTCCAAGGTTGCATAGTAAGGAGTTGCCTAGTTAGAGCAGCAGACCCATAGCATGGTAACTGGTTTCGCTACATATGCAGGCAACATACGGTATCCTGACTATTTCCACATGATTAAGATTTATCTTCCTGATTAATTAACGGTAAATTTTATCTTTGGAGTAGCGTGCCCGCGTTTGCATTTTGGACTATCTTATGGCCGTGCCTATTAAAGTGGTATTCACGGTATATGCTTGCAGTACGGTCAGTAAAATTCGAAAATCAGGCAGATTTACCGGTGTTAGCTTAGCCTTGTTACCTCGACTATGTAGTTCAGTTACCATCACATACTGTCCATTACTGCCTCTGTTTACATGTTCAGTATGACGATAGCTGGAACTGACTATACCCGGTTCTATTCGAGAAAAAAGCGCTCATGTTTTCTACATCCAAAAGATGTCATTAGGATGGGTGTTATTTGAGTTTCAAAATGCCATAATATAGCTCCATAGACCATGTCTTTTAGACGTAAAAATGTATATGAAAACGGGCTCCATAAGTATACTGAAACATGCCGCTCTAAAGACGGCGTGTTGTGCTCCGCCGATGTCTCAAGCAGGTCAAAAAATTGCTTGCCGTAGAACCGGGATAATGGCTACGAAAGCACCTGTAGAGTAAATAAATTTGCAGTTAACCTCGATACTACTTTAGCCTGGAAAAATGTAATTAAAAATTTTGCGGTTCCGGAAAGACAAAACTCTCCAGTAATTCTCTAAAACTTTATCTATAGAGGTGGCCAGTCAGCGACCGGACGCAAACTCCAGGGCACAAAGGCAGCATCTGATCCATCGATGCATCAGACGTAAAAATAGGAATGTATTATCAGCGAAAGGTTCAATTAAAATGACTTACTTGTAGGCTATAGCAAATAGAAGCTGTTAAATTTCTGAAGGATTGGTGTGTCAGAGGTTTTGCCGTAGTCGCCGTGAATTATTGATTTTTAATTAAAAGGTTATTTTGCCAAAAAACTCCATGTACATAATTTGTAAGAGTACTTTCAATTTACTAGTTAGTAGTGCTCAGCCGTAAGTTTAAGTGATCACACAAATCTAGAAAGACAAATCAGAACGATATGCTTTGCAACTTTAAGATAGGATTTTGACGTGCAATTTTTTTATGAAAACACAAAGCTTGTTCACTAACTATCCAAAAAGCTTAAATGCCATTCCAACCAGAATGTGAACATCTCGCCCTTTCCTTTAATCACAGTATGACCGCGCGGCTGTAGAACAAATTTGGCGGCAGAACCAATAAGAGCAGCCGTCTGGCTGCTGATGTGAATTCGACCAGCCTCACCGTGGCTTTCCATTCTGCTGGCCGTGTTCATGGTATCACCAAATCTGCCGAAAATCAACAACGTTTTGTCTACGGACCGCGGAGTCCACCATAATAAAATCAGATAAAAAGCTGTATACTCACAAACAATAACGTGGAGCTTTGGTCCCAACAATCCCCGCCGCAAGAGGTCCTGCAAACGTTAGAAAGATGACTTTGAATAACTTTTCCAGATTAAAACGGTGGCTGTCCTACCCGTGTGTATGCCTATCCGTAAATCGGTTTCTCCACGGAAGATTGACTTGTAGTAGACCTTCATCAAAAAACAAGCCATGGCGACTATTTCCAGTGCATGGTTGTCACCGTTCTTGATCGGCAGTCCACTGGCCACCTACAAAAATACAGCAGCGTTTTTGTTCTGAAAGCAGAACTAAGTACTGCACTGTATATTCCTACCACATAAGAATCGTTTATGGTCTCCACTTTGTATACATCGAACGACGGAATAATTTGATCAAACGCAGCATACGTACTACCCAAAAAACTTATGACTTCGTAGGGCGTGGCTGTGTTGACAATCTCGGCGAATCCGATGATATCGCTGAAGTAGACTGTCACCTAAAGGCAAATCGCCTCAACAGCTTTATTAACGCATATTTTGGTGGTCACTACAAACCTGCTCAAACATTTCTGGCTTGATGTATTCTCGCATCCTCAGTCTTTGGACGAATGATCTAGAAAGTATTGCAAGAGATTGTAAGGGGGAAGATAGTACGGCATACGATGTCTTACTTGGGAAAGACTTCAGCTAATAAGGAATCGCTTTCTCTCTGTTCACGTTGAAGCTCCAGTGTGCGCTCGTACACCCTGACCTCCAGATCTTCAGAATATGTCTCCAGGCGTTTCAACATCTTATCCACTAATTTATCCCGACCAGATATGATGAGTTTACGAAAAATACTAGTCTGAGCTTGCTGTATGGTTGGTCGACTTGTTGGTTTTTCGTGCCAGCAGTTTTGAAGCACCGGAATAAGGTCATCGGGCACATGAGAATGATCAATAAACGGCCGGCAAGAAATATTTTTGGCAACAGTAATCTGTTCGTATAAATCTGCAAGCACAAACTCTTGTTTCCTGAATCTCAGTTAGACATGTGAAATACTCGTACCTTCAGGAGGCTGATTATACAAAAGCGTTCCCATGTAAATTTCGGCAATAATTATGGCCATTGAATAGATATCGCTCTTTTGCGTCGGCTCAGCTTTTCCGGCTTGGAGTATACGCTCTGGTGCAGTCCAAAATAGGTCCGCAAATTTGAAATTCCTTGATTTCTGTGCGCCGCTGAGAATCTTAGTGACCTTGTGTTGGCATACTTTAGCAATTTTCAGGATAAACCGCCCATCAATAAGGCAGCAAGAACTGGTTAAAAATCCATGCATCTTTACGGTCGCCTCGTGAAGAAAACGCAATCCCTAAAAATTATTTATCGCTTATGTAATGACATGATGATGCGATGACATATGTTAAATTTGCTTACAAATATTATATCCTGGACGAATGACTTTTTCAGTTCCGGATCAGGTTTTTGCGTGGACAGCATGTCGTGTAAAGAGCCGCGCTTGCAATACTCATCCAGAAAAAGCATGGAGACACCGTCATAGGCTGTACAAATTCCAATAAAAGTGTTTACATTTTGATGGTACAGCCCAATCAGCTGCAAGGCAAAACCTGATTACCAATCGCACGATGTAATACCCGACTTATTATGCAACGCGAAATGACCTGCGCTAATATCTTCGTAGCGGATTTTGGTAGTTCATCCAGAGGGTACATGCACGGTATCTCTTTCGCCCAAACCTGCCGATCGTTGTAACTCATCTCTCCATGAGGAAAATGACCTTTATGATCAATCTGAATTCATGCAAATTTATTCCACGATGTACTTGCATTTAAGCAATTAGCTTTATTCGAAAACACTAAAACTTTTCCAACCGTAAACACAGATATGTCCGATTTCCGTTCCCCAAGTGGCAGTGGAAGGCTAGGCTTCTTATCATGCATATGGCGACGCCGTAAGCGTAATGACCCGGCCGAGCCGTCGCTCACGATTAGGCTGTGAAAATCTGGGCATTTCAAGTTTGCGCGGTTGATCTCCCATCGCCTGGACGTCAGCTCTTTCTTGGTCTGCCGGCATTTCCTAGTTAAAAAGAATTTAGATGATTGAAAAGGGCTAATGATTTGTTCGATAAATAAACATACCTGAACGCAGCTCCGAAACCGAGAAGAAGAAACAGAAGCGCGCAAACCGTAGCTACCACAGTGGTGTACAATTGGTTGTTGCCTAAACAAATTGTTGAAAATTCTGGTAAATATTATTTACTATGTATAACAAAAAAACTGCTATGGTTATGACTTAGGGCCACCTATAACGAGAAATATAACCGTTAAATAAACAAACAATTAACTGTAAGTGAAATTAAACTGATTCAGTTATGGTTAACTGACCATGTGATAGTATCTGTACAACTTACATACAAGTATCTGTACATATGATCATAGCAGCTTTATAAAATAATATGAACTTACTAAGAGCACATAAACCGCCGCTAAATCCGCACACTGGTGCATCGGGTGGCGGCGTATCTCGATACGGCCAGTCAATGGGACCCAATGATTGAAGCGCATTGGTCAGCGAATCGTAAAGAAGTACAGGCTAAAACACCGGCATACACATAATTATATCTGGTCGATTTAGGGAGGACAAGAATGCTCAGTATGATCGACACACACCTCTAGGCGACCGGTTGTGGTGTTGTAGTCTCGAAGTACAAGATTAACACGCCGACTTCCATCTTCACTGAACCTAACTGGTCCGGTAACTACATCGACCTTTCGATTGTGAAACCTTTCGGCAAATTCCGTGCCATTGCTCCAGTTTCGTAGAGGCTGTTCCACGATGGCCTCTCGCAGAACCTTTTTCGCACAGAATTTTGATGATGACCGTTCTGTGAATTTGCGACATCTACAAACCTTTGAGAAGATCGACATGGCTTCGTAAGCCGAAAGTTGAGAAAAATTTATCTGAAAAACAGCTTCACCTGATTACATTTATAGTATATAGTATATTTAATTTAGCTGTTCAGCCAGTATTTTACGCTTTCATCGTCTGGAATGTCAAAGCCATAGACTTCTTTCGCACGGGCTTTCCATACGGGAAATCGAGGGGCAAGAATCTGCAGTCGACCGGTTTCTGTTTCGGCCAAAGTAATCACTAATACTGAACGCCATGTTTCCTCAAGTATCTAAAAATAAAAAGCGGTGGATCATAAAAATACAGAAGGCCAAAATACGCAGGAATAACTCACTTCATCGAGGTCATCATTAAATTTCCATGAGTAATTTCCCCACGAAGGGTGTGGATAAGGTTCTACCGTAATATAAACCTGCAACAATGTAGGACTGGAGGGATATATGTTACTGTGGCTGGTCAATTTAAGCGGGTCTTACAAATTCACCATTAGCCATGTTTGACTTGGTTGATTCGGCCTAGAAACGACGAATTGAATTCGTATGTGAATTAGTTTCACCGCACACCGTGCACTCCAAGTTAAAAACTTGCCAGAATTCTGCGGAAGTTTTCAGTTGTTCCAAAAAATATTATGACTGCAATGACCGTTCAACACTTGTACAATTGTCTGTAAATACAACTTGTAAAACGTACATACTGCGACAAAGTTGCTTGGCTTCCATTAGAAAGTCCATATTGGTACTGTTGTCTGGCCTTCGCTCGTCCAGAAACGTTCGTCGATAAATCTGACAATCGCGAATATGGTTTTCGATGCTGGAAGCGACAGTCTGAGAAGCGCCAATAAACCACTGATTAGAGAACTCTGTCCGGTCTAGCAGCAAGAGCACCGATTTCCATTGGTACGTCTCGAATATTTTGGCGACAAACTGTTCCAGAGCGCTTAGCGATAGTAATGACGATGTAATCCAGGTGGATGCAAATCCATGCGTTTGCGTCCATACATCCGTAGCGACTGTGCTGTAAAATGTAAAAAATTGAAATGTGCGTACGTCAAGAAGTAGACGGTGAAAAATAATGTAAAATTTTATTTTGAACTTAATATGCATGCAGAATACGCCATTTTTCGCGCGGTTACGGTATTGTACCAATCAAAATAATTATTACTACTGAAAATTTTACAGTTACAGGTTGAATTACTTTACTGCGCATACACTACTCTTCTTTACGTTAGAGAAGCTATACGATGAATAGTACGTGCTTAAATAATACAGTCGGTGACTTCTACAATAGCCTGAGAAAATGATGCAGATAAATGTGCATAATGCGCGTTCGTCACAATTAAATGAATATTCGTATCATGTATGCAAACAACTTTGAACCTTGTATAGTGCAGGATATTCCACCCTAGAAAAAAAAACAAAAGCATCCAATAAATACTTCATTCTACGGTTCCATAATCGCTCGATTACCAGTAATATGATATCGGCTTACCTGCTGCCAAAGCATTGAGCTCGATACTTTCGGTACAACCTGTACACGCAAAACAAAGCACATTTATATACAAGGTGGGGTTTGAAATATAATAAGTTCTGCTCGAGACTTCGAATATTAATAATAAAAAAATATTCAACATAAAGGATTTGCGCCTTTTGATAGTCTTGCAATCTTACCGGAATATAACAGCACTGTCACGTTCGGTATCATTTGGCGTTGATAATATCTTTGCGATACGAGAAAACTCGCTTCTGCCGTCATATCGGAGCAGTCTTCAAATAAGGGATCCGTAAGGTAGGTTTGGGTAATTACAAAATTTTCAGGAAATTCACTTCGGATATTATCCAGTGCGTCGTCGTACATGAGCGCAACCCATGGCCAGGATATGCTCATCTTAATGCTACTGATTGCCGTAAAGGTGATAATCTCCACGGAAAAGGTTCGATTTTTTGCGAGACATACACGCGCACGCAGCATAACGCACATTATTATTATGAGCAGCTGACATTTGATCACCGACATAATTCACAACTGCATCGTTTCAGCCACGCAAAAGGTCCCAGAAAGGTCACGGAGAGGGCGTTGACTGACCAATAAGGTAACTTCGAGAAAGATGAAGAAACTTGGTTCTGTCAGAAACCGGAAACCAGCGAGAACATTTTAAAATGGCAAATTCTGTCGATTCTGCACTGCGTATAATCCGTATCAGCAAACACCCCACACATCAGCGTTATCCATGTAACGTTATCCATGTAACGACCACGCATTTATTACTGAGTTTTTCTGGCTTTGTTTCATAACCTTCACAAGAATGAGCTGCCTATATTTACTGCTAACGGTAGCACGACAGAATTCGCTGTGGCGCATGATCTGTGAGTTTTGTGTGGTCGATCCTAGCCTTTAGGGAATATTAATCGCGCTGTGCGATAGGTTTTTTAGCCGACCGCAATATCCGGTCAAGTAATTGAGAACAGGCGTTTTCCCAGCTTGACTGCTGTTTACATTTAAGGACAATGCAAACAGAGTACTGTGATAATGAAGGACTAACTTATATCACGATGACAGCTGATTAAATATAACCTAAACTACGGTAAGAATCGTACCACCTATTTTTCCCGAAGTAGAACATTATTTGTTCAATGTTCATTCATCGTCATTCCTGGAAGCACGCTCCCAAGTTTGACTGTTCTTTTAAAGTGCATTTACGGATTTCCCGATGAGTTGACTTCCGAGTGTGCGTCATAACAGATGCACGCTCCTCTTCATTAAAGGTACAACTTACAGTGTGCATACTGGCTTGTGATTGCGTGACTTTAACTCCGCCCTAAATGTGTGCATATATAATACCAGTCACCAACTTTTTGGTGAAAACATGTGTACAGGGACATGTATAATACGCAGACGCTTTTCTTGCTAAAAATGTTAAAAGTACACAAAAGTGAATTGAAAGACCTAACAAAATTCCACCGGACAGCAGTTTACCAAGAACACACTTTTTGAAGATGAATTCAATTATCAGATGAAACGTTCCTTGTTGATGTCACGTTTTCCATCTCTTTACGCATGCTCGCTTCTAATGCACCGCCACGTATTACATTACAGATACAGCGTCCCAGTTAGCCTAAAATGCCAATTAAAGCGCAAGATAAGCTGCATATCCGTCACGGCAGTGTCTTCCCAACCCGAAATCTAACACTCACCAGATCGATAACATTAAATTAGGCAGTAGCCATTAATGCGTAAACAGTATACTATCCTTGTATTGTACCTCTAGGTTCTAAAAACATGTTTGCAATACCATGTGTACCGCATTTGTAAATTGCACTCTGGTTCCTTTGACGGTGCATTTATTACACGGAATCCTTTTGACCAGGAAGACAAGGGATAAATCGTAAACTTTAAATGTGTCATTCAACGTGATATTGTGCATTATTGACGTTTACTATATACCCAGCGTTTACTTGCATCCGGAATCGGTAATGCGGAGGAGAAAGCATCTGGATCGCCACGTCGAGCATATAAAATTGCATATTCCAGAAAAAAATGCAAGGATCGGTACCGATGAAATGCATTTTGAATGTGTTGTCGCAATAATGTCATGATCAGTACGGTGTTAACTGTCAGTCTCGTCTGCAGTTTTGCACAAAATGTCTTGCGCAGCTCCCTCTTATACGAATTTCAGTACACCACTCAATGTTTCAAACACCACTAATCTTCATATTGGGGACGTGGTCATACAGTCATCTACCGCATGGATAGTCATCTTTTTCATCCTTTGCATCAGCGCCAGTACGGTCAACTTCGTTCTGGGATTCAGTGTGCTTAACCGGAAGCAGACTCGAAAGGGCGCCAACATCTTGGTAGCCATAATACTCCTAATGCAATCATTCGCTTCCGTAGTTGCGTATCCTGCGTATGCCCTACCGTTATATGGAGGACTACTTGGTTGTTGGCGAGCGCCAGCCGCCTACTGCAACGTTGTAATGGTTATATTTTTGTCGCTGTTTGGCATCATAATTTGGCTAGAAACAATTCTGGCCATAAATCGCTTGTGTGCCGTTGTTTTTCCGCACGAATATCGCACATGGTATAGTGCAAAATTTCTTACATTAATCACGTCCTTGGCAATTTTTTTCGGGACGGTTTGGAGCATTCCGCCGGTTTTTGGTGTATCGGGTGGCTATTTTCGAAATCGTCTGGGAGTGTGTAGTTTTGCGCAAATCAACCTTGCGGGAGTAATGGTGACAGCGGTGGGCACCTACATTCCCATGTCCATCTCCGGATTGTGTTACATTGTTTTGGGAACGAAAGTCTTATTTAATCAGCTAAAGTGTTTGTTATATGCCCAACCTTCGGTAAGGTCATCGACCAACATGACAAGAAAGCGCCAAGCCTTTGCACTCGTGACCTTTGTCCAATATTTTATTGATGCGGCTGGATTTCTCACCATACCCGTGTTTGTGGCGTCCATGCCGGAAGTGTACAATCGATCACCAGAAATAACAGTCTGGCTGAGATTTTCATATACATGCGGATTTCTCATCATTCCGGTACGAGTGCCTCTTAACAATCGGCTTCCTTCACAGACCGGTTACGTAGTGTTATTGTTTAAAGGTCCAACTTAGCGATGCAGCTAGGTGGTTTTACATTCGATTGCCTTAACTGGGGTGGTGTTTTATTGCTGAATTTTGTTGCAGGTCATCCTACTGACAATAAGCCCACAATACCGGCAAGCTGTAGCGCTGGCTTTGCGACAGTGCATCCGGAGAGGAATTACATGCAGACGAAAACCCGTTTCTCCAGAAAAACATCCACCCGCTACTTCGGAAAACCCCACCGCTTCTTGACGGGCAACAATTGTTTTTAGTGAAATACATTCCCAACTAGTTGTGGTTGTATTAACCCTAATGCCCGGCTCCTGAGACCTTAGACGCGCTTAATAATTTCAAATTTTGCAAAGTAAACTGGCAACACGTTGAATGGCACAACAATTGTTTGAAAACGAACCATCATTCTAAACGGTCTGTTCCTGAGAGGTGCTCAGTGCTTGAGTGGTTCGTGATTTTCCGCCTGATTATTGTCACAAGTTTACATTCATAAATCCGAGCACCGATTTAATTAAGAATTTAATATTTATTTGACGGCGATGTTGTGCCGGTTGTAGCACTAGCGTTGGCTACTTGCTCGTAGCCGGTTATGTGCTTTTGCATACATTCCGTGGGTGCAACAAAAGTACACAGAGGTTTGCTAGCCGTGTGCAGAATCAGCGCTACGTCATTGGCAGCATTGCAACCATATTTGTTAAAAAACGAATTCTCCAACGCATCCAGTGCATCTTTATCGGCCTGGCTCATCTGCAGTGGATTGGGACGAATACTGTGCACCACGACCGGCGCATCGCAGATCCCCGTCTGCAGATTGGGCGCTCCGCATCCGTAATAGAGGACCGATGTCTGATCGGAATGTAGGGTCATCAGGGTGAAGGGCTCTAAAGAACGTAGAAAATATCCGGTTAAATGTAACGAAAGCGCGTACACACCGCTTACGTGGTGCTCCAGCCGCCGTGTTCGGTATAATCAGTCCGGTTAGCAGTCCGCTCTGTCCGATCGTCCCCACGAAGAAGCCGTACACGCAGTCCGTGGAATTGAGACTGTCGTAGTTAACGTACTCGATCCAGTAGGTGTGCGCTGAATCATTGACCAGTGGCGAGGTGGACGGTCCTACGTCGTGGTATGTCACCTGTTGGTTGACCGGGATCGCTTCCGGTGAGAAAATTCTCCGATACACCCAATACAGTCCGGCATTCTGACAACGATCGCAAACGCGTCATTCTATCAGAAATCGTTACTACATTTGCTGCATTGTCCAAGCATGTCGAAAAATTAGATACCGTACATTACACTACATGATGATTATTACTGCATTCTATGAGATGATTATTACTGCATTCTATATAATCACATTCTTATGATTGTTACTGCATTCTATATTCTGCATTCTTGCATGATGATTATTACTGCATTTTATTAGTTATAGTGAGGCGTGGAAGCTCTCAGTTGTATACATACCTCCTCAGTAAGACGCTTGAGCTTATAAAACGAACGGCAAAGCGTTTCGAAATTTACGCCGCGAAAAGGCTTCTGCCATGATGCGGCAGTTTTTGACCGCCCGCGCGCATCCATTAATTTTTAAAGTCGCACATGATATGTAACGATCGTTATCGAGATTGTTTTGGTCAGCTGCTTACCAATGTCGGGTCAATGGGTCCTGCTGACGGCATTGAATTCGGCCATTTACAACCTGCAGGTGCAGCGGTAGTACTCGCGCTATACGAGTAGTTAGCTGATCCGCTAGCGGCTGGTTGACCTGCGCGGACACCAATGATGACGCAAAATTTTCAAAAAAATTTTCGTATACGTATCGGTATGCCCATAAAAAAATGGTGGCAGTGTGAGCAGTTTTCTTACTTGTTGTATTGACTATGGTATTCTTCATTCCTTGGATGTCCTGACCAATGCAAAATGGTGGATCAATGAAATCACAAGGGGATTTAACGACGGCGCCTTGAGAAGCCCATGGTTGGGAAAGATCTTGTGCAGAGACGCAATATTTCGAAAAAATGGAAGTAACCGTCGCATCGATGCTGCTGGTGTCGTTGGTCGATAGTTGATCGGGTCGTTTGCGAGTTAAAACATTGATGGACGGTGTGGCGCAGAGTCCATCCGACTGCACGCGCTGGCATCCATAGATGACCAGCAGACTACTGTAGTCATGGTAAAGCACAACGTAATCCGTCGGGCCTGCAAAGGTCACATTTTTTAGAGATTTTTCCCTAAAATGCATCGTGATGGAAGCGTACTTGATTTTTCGCAAAATACTCACGCATGATGTAATCGTTTTGATTGCTCCCTAAATCGCCGATTTGTTTTCCTCCGTTGGAGTATGTTCCGGTGAAAAACCAGTACTCCGCCGAGTCACCACATCCCGCTGCCGTCGGGCTGACATATCCGGTTATTTCCCACCACTGCAGCCATGACGGCAGATTGTCAAATGGATCGACCGTCGGGGCTACACTGGTGATTTTCATTTGAGGAAAGTAGCCGAAAAAATCTCCCATTTGTCGGTATACGTACCATTGCCCGTCTGCCTACGATAATATACATTACAATTTGCTATTAAAATTTTGGCATCCCAGTAAATAATAATTACAAAAATGAATATCAAATAGCGGACTGTGATTACTGTAATGGGAGAAATAAATTATATCGTAATTATTTACAGTTTTCACGTAGTTTAGTTGAAAAAGCAAAGCGTCAGTACCTGGTTAGGATTATCAGAGCCAATCGGTGGAATAGTCGACGGAAGGATAGAATGACTGCACTGCTGAGCAAGAGAACTGGCGCTAAAAGCAAGAACTGCAAAATAATGCAAACAACTCACGATAAATATAAATATATTATGTTAGAGAGAAGCTGATATTGTGTACACAAATGTAATGTTCATTAAACTTACACAAAAGAATTACATAACAACAAGCCATGGAAGCATCCATGATTGTCAGAAATCCATAAAATCTTGTACGCACAAGCTACGACCACAGCCCAGTATTACTATGTAGAGTACGACACTGCGCTGCAGGAAATCAACTTTACTTCTTAACTAAGTGCTTCTGAAAATATTTATATTCTGCCGGATATTGTTACCTGCGCATTTAGTGCGGCCCTTGTCTTCTTAAAAATTCTCTAATTGCCAGAAGCATAGTAACAACCATTAAACAACACTTCTGCGGCTACTTGTTTCTTCATTAAAGAAATTTTAGGTCACATCTGAAGCTTTTAACTATAAAACAGAAAAACAGCTATAAAACTGTCAAGAGAAAATCCATTAATTCCCTCGAATATGCGAGTGTACACAGTACAGAGTAGTATAAGCACGAATTACACTCAGATCATTGTGAGGATTCAACTTCTGCAGCTTCTCTTGCAGTTGTATCTTCATGCACTTACATAACATCCATTCATCCATTCTTATCAAACGTTTTACGCTCACCGACAAATTCACATGGGCGGTGCAAAATACTTGTTTTTATACAAATACTGTTCTGTTTTAGGTCGACAGACGGCGACAGCGTACAGTAGCCGGAAGTTCCAGCGATGTAAAATTGCTGTCGACATTAGACATAAGGCACTGCTTCGTCACTCTTAACATAAGCAACAATTACTTAACATAATCAGGGGTTGCTTTTCTTACTTAATATTCTGTACGTAAATTACGAGTATAACATGATAAATTTAAAGGAAGAGCGATTGTTCATCGCTAACGGTCAGGCTTAGCTTGATCCTGGGCCAGGCAAACACTCGGGCCACGGTGAACTTGCCGCTGGCATCCGAGCACTGGGTGATATCATCGGCAATCTCCCGAATGGCTTCACCATCCAGAAACACCTGCAGCCACGGGCCAATGCTGACGAAGGGCGTCGCTTCCTGGGCTAGTGTACCGTTGACCCCTTCCGATACCAACGTGATAGCATGGTCAGTCAGGACACTCTGGAAGGTGAAATGCCGACTGTGCAGTAGTCGTCCACCCAAGGCTAGCAACAGCAGGGATCCGGCTTCAAAGTCTAAGGTCAAGTGGGCGGAAGCCAGATGGGACATCTGCACGGTATCGTGCTCGGAGGTGGAAATGTGCAGTGGAGAAGCCGGCGGGGCCGGACGTCGAGTGGGGCGTATATGGGAGACTTCTTTCCAGCGGCACCGGCACGAAACACCGCTCAAGTCTGAGCCGTCTTTGGTGATGCCGTCGCGGACTGACTGGATCATACGAGAGTCGGTGGCCAGTGGTGAAGAGGTCCGTTGCATATCAGTGACCCAGAGAGGACCTAAACAGCACATAGTTTTGTTCGTTATCCGGTACGGAAAATTATCTCTGCAGCATCAGGTTAGCAGCTGCTGTTGTTCATATAATCATAATCGCGACTTCGCCTTAGCAAGTACAAACGGAACAACGCTTGGACAACGTAAACGGTTGCTTTAATCGATCGTAAACGGTAAAACGATACTCAACCACAATCCACTGGTTGCCATTAATATCGTTATATTTCGTAGAGCAGTGCCGTATGTCAATCGAATCTGCTACCAGAGCAAATTACGAAACGACTTTAAGATTACCACTTTGTGCAACAGGTCCTCACATATTTTTTTCCCTGATAAATGGTTATTTTGAAATAGATTTAGTTACCTATTTCTTATCACAGCGCTTGCACGAATACAAATGGTAATATTATTATATTCACTTTACTCTAGTTACTGTACATGTATCACATTAAACGTGACGTTCAAGTAACGAAAAATTAAAAAGCAACAACATATAAGTCGTATCTACTCAGATTAAAGAAAAATAAAATTAATACTACTCTGGCTGAAATGTCCCACAGAGTCACTGACTCCTACTGTATCGCTCTCACGAAACATAAACATCGGCATGCAAGAGCAGCAATAGTATCTTACGATTTATACCTGACACGGTGGATCGCATCAGCTCCAGCACACCGCGCCCATTCCAGTGTTGTGCTGCTTCCAACTCCTCCTGGCACACCCCGACTAACTGCATGAACACCACCCGCCCCAGCTCCGAACCGATACTCCGCAACTGCGGATCCTCAGCCACCAGGATATGCTGCACAACGGAGTCCGGTTCAGCCTTATCCAGAGACTTATTCCAGGCGATATGATCCCCGGCGACAAAGCTATTCCCCGAAGCGTACAGATACCGCGCCAATCCCTGCAGTAACTCTCCTGGCCAGGCCGGGGGTGCCAGCTGTCCCGCTTTGCGTTTCAGGCGGAACGTCATCTCCATGCCCAGTCCCGAGGGGGCGTCCAGGCCCATGGTGTCCGGGATGGGATGAATCCGCCCGTCGCCGTACAAGTCGGACAGGCCACACGTGATGTAGTGCCAATGTTCGGGGGTGTTTTTCGCGGGGGTGCCTGCATTCAGATAGATGGTGATGAAGTCCAGGGGATCGGGGCCCCCCAGCCAGTATTTTATTTTGGATGTCATCTGGATGGGATTGGTTTGACTGGGATATAATCGTTGACACACAGTGTGGATGGCCGATAATCCGGGCGGCATGGACACTGCTGCTTTCTCCTGTCTTGAATTGGACATATTGAGATTCTGTAGTTGGTTGCAACGTCAGGAGACCTGTAATCGTTATTGCAACGTATGTAGATATATCATGGGTAAGAAAGCGTAAGAAACGAAGATGCCAAACTTAGTGGATGTTTAAAATTATAATCTGCAGGACAATTATACAGGCGTATACGTAATACGTTGGCTTGACGGCAGTTGACGCCACAGTCCCCACAGAAAAGTAAAAATATTGTCAACTGACAATGAATGAAAATGATACAGTAGCTTTGGTGATAATAAATTTATTATCCGATTGAACACTGTCTTTGCGGTTATCGTTCGTTCGAATGTGCCAGTGCCTACTCCGCAAATGAGCACATGGTGACCAGCGGTCACACTCACATGCGTACATACTTATTGCAATGGTAAGCCGGTCTTACAAAATCGCACATCTTGTTAACCAGTTTGTTCCAAGAAGAGAAAATTAACACAGATCTATTTACACAGTACGTGATAATTATGTACAATATTTGTACGAGTACGAGTACAATACGTTCAAGTACAGCACTTTATACTCTGTAAAAACAGTAATAAATTATTATTCTCTTTCGTATCACGGTCGTCGGAGCTTGGTGAATTGCAATTTGCAGAATGTTTAAAGGGCCGGAATCCCGTTCTCATTACAATGTTCTTGCTTCAAAACGTAGATCCATTTAATCAAATCCACATTCTCAGAGCTTAGCGTACAGAAATCTCGCATAGTTATTAGTTGATAACCAAAACCGGGGTTTCATTCCGGGAATTTCATAAAACTTACAAGTTAGAAACTAACTTAGGACGCGATCATAAGACAACCAGTGCCATTCTTAAACTCTTGATGATCAAAAGATAAAAAAGTAAACCAAAAGAAGCATAAAAAGGCAATTCTGTACAATAAGCGGAAGGCCACAAAATGTTGTGCGAGAGACTAGAGCATCGGTTGACTAATCTTTCGAAGATGGTTCCTTCGCCGGGGTACTTTTCACTCCCTGAGCAAGTAGGTGAGCGCGGCCAACGCCTTGGCCGACTACGTAATTCGAAAGACCACTGACTAATGCGAACACGGGCAGGACAAAAGGCCTGCAAAAAAAACTTTTGAAGTTCACCGCGTACAAAATAGCATAACACAAGTAACAGCGAAATCGGCTAGTTTAAAGATGACGGCTTACTTAATAATTCACAGTTAAAATCTTAAAAGCTTTTATCTTTAACAAACTCTCATAACTGACACTATAGTATGACAATAACTGCACCAGTGCATAATATTCTAAATTTAAAGCTTGCAAATTACCAATTTCACTGAAATAACAAACAAATCAAAAATAACCGGTCAAAATAACCAAAAAAGGTCAAAAACAAATAAAAAATAGCTCCATTTTATAAACTTACGCTTCTTGAGAAGCAGGTGAAGCGGAATTGGCACTCACGATCAGGAGAGGAAAAAGGACGGAAAAGATGCAGCCACTGTACACAGACACATTATTACAGAAGTATGATCACATCGCGAGCAAACGAAACGGGGTTCTGCTAAACTGAAAAAGATGCCTACCAACAATATCACCAGAACTTACCCAATCCAGTAGTTATCAGCCAAAAATGTTGCTAAGGCCAATGGTAACCCAAATCCCATAAAATATGTCCATCGGCTTTCCACATAATGCAGACGTTCATTCACTTCCCAACCTAAACATCGCATTTCCGTTCATCTGGTTCTTTTGCAAAACGCCAAAATCATGCAAACCACCACCGCACCACGCAATTTATTATGTGCTGTACGTACCCATATTTAGCCATTTGTATTCAAAAGCATAAAATGCGTTGAGCAAACTAATATGGAAGATTGACAGGAACTGGGCCATTGCGGGAATAGGTAGGACAGATGTCAACTGCGCCTAAAAGAATAACGCAGTTTGTGCCGCATTCCACTGTACAACGTGATCTTCGAATTTGCCATACCTGGCACAAAAACAGCGTCTGGATGAGCAAACTAAACAGCAAATCAGCGATGAGCGTTCCCAAACTAACACGCATCGCCGATGGTTTCCGGTGCACTTTTACGTATGCTGCGTCGGCAATATCCTGCAAAATAGCAACAATGTTCCGTGTTCGCAACAAATAAACGGAAAAAAATTAGACGATGATTTGCGATAATTTCAGCAAGATTCTCTAAAAAAGTTTTTCTGAAATATTCAATCTCACCTGGAACCAGATAAAACTGACAACTTTGCTGAGTATGAACAAGGGAAGTATCCAGAGGAATTTGAAAAGCCACGAAGACATAAAGGATAACCAGGACCACACAGTGGAGCGAATTCCTTCTTCATGACCTGCAGAGGGATTTTGATTTTTATGAATTTTTATACGGATTGCAAAGTTACAAAATCTGTCATCTCAATCATTTCAACATCAGTACAATATTCAGTTCAAGTCGTACCTAGCATGAGGTGAGTAACGATTTCCAGAATCGGTAGGATCATATGGTTAAATACAAAAATACTGGCCTGCAAAACAAATATCTATTAATGTTCGTCTCCCGTAATTCCAGACCAAGGAATAAGCAAAGCATTCATCTTTTAAACAGCAACAAAACTTACTGATTGCAAAAACCAACATCTGCAACTGCTGGTACGAGTACTTATAAACTGTAATAAGCGGCAGCAGCTTACCAAAAATACGCCACCATTCAGCAAGCAGCATTGTAAAATTCGTTTTCGAATTTTTGGTGGTCTGCAAAAGAATACAACCGTGATATAAATTATACAACAACTATCCACTAACCCTGCAGATAAATTATAAAACAGTCAGCAAGTACTCTTACGGATTTTATTTCTAACTACTATGAGTTCTATCAGTAAATAGCCCTCGCAGTCCTCACTCGTCTTTTTTTTCCAACTTCTTTGGCTGCTTCTCCGCTCTGCGACGCTGCAACTCCGTCAAAACCACATTTCGATGCTCTTCTTTCTCACTTTTCGCTGCTACCTGGTCCAGTTTGTAGAAGCTGACAAACCCCACGATGGAGTCATGCAGACCATGCACGAACGAGCGTGCCAGCACCTGCAGATCCTTGGTCGACATTCTGTCATTCGGGCTTCGGGAGGACAGATTTCACTCACGTCCTGACATAGCAAAAGTTAGCTACTGGATAGTGGGATGCGTCTTCTGATAAGTGATAGGCAGACATACGGATACCACGATAACCGACCGATAATTCAGAATCCAATCAATCTACGCGAAACAGAGATTTTCAGAAATTTCAGACCACCAGTAAGTAGTCTCTCGGTCATTTCAACTTTGAAAACATTTTCGTATTTCAAAAGATGTTGTTCAAAATAAGTTAAAAAGAATTAACAGCTGTTTGGATACTCATAGCAACATTAACAACAACAAGAAAAATGAAAGAAAATGAAAACATCAGGCTGATCAGATGGCTTATATCCACTACTGTCAAAATCAACGTAACATCCGACCAGTGAATTGATAGTGCGGCTAACGGTTACACCACTTCTAGATTCCAACTAGATTTAAAACTGGTCTTCACGGAAGTCGTAATAAGTAAACTTATCACACTAATAACTGCATCTGTGATAAGACCTAAAGACCATTTTTATTTCTGTTATCAGTCCCTGTGGATCTGATAAACAGAAAAAAAATGTGGGTCAGCGTTTTCGGGAGCCCCAAAACGTAAAATAACACGTAAACAAAAGGGCTATAAACACGTACTGTACGTATGTATTGTAGTATCAGCAGAGCGTGATCTGATCGCTACTCTGACATCATCCCCCAGTCACGATACATACGGCGTCATACGCATAAGCAGCAGCACCATGGGCAATTGAATTCAACTGCACATACGGAAGTCTGTTGGTTCTTCGGTAGTTGCACGGTAGTCGTTCATTTTTTTCTTTCTTAACGTTTCAGCCCTTCCCGGTCGCCTAAACGAACATCTGTTCTAAATAATACGGTAAGTGGGAATCTGAAACAAAACTTTGTAGCCGTATAGAAGCTGACAACACTTATAAAACGGTCACAACCGAAGCTGCAGTGCCTACGAAGACGTTAGCGTTGTAATACGTACAACAGGACTGTTCGTCTGGCGCATCTTTCACATCGGAAGTGGCCATTCTCCCACTTCCGACATTGTGTTCAGAATGTGAAAACCGTTTACATTCTGAAACAAATGTCAGTTCAGTCCTGGAAGTTACAGTTTCTTTCACTTGGAGCGGGAAACTAATGTCGCTAACTGCCCTTTTTAACAGTGTGGTTGCGACATATGCCAATGGTTCCCGTTTTCGTAAGACAGTCGCTAATTGGTCAAGATTTTTGCCGCCAATCATGGAGCGTTAGTTGGGGGGACATACCCACTACACAACAATGGCTGATTTTAGCAACGTTGTAGGAAGGCTTGTTGTATATCGTACCGTCAAATGTGGAGATCATAAGTTTTAATGAAAGTTAGTGTAGAAGTAGAGTCAGTATATAGTAGCGTCCTGTTGACAGTCTCTCTTCGCCATGGGAATGAAAAGGGAACTCCTATAGTCACTGGTGCATTGTTTTTTCGATGTATGATTTAAGAATCTTCCATGCGATCAGAGAGATGCAGAATCTTGGCGTGTTAGGTCTTTTACGCGTCTACAGTATATCATAGGTAGGTCCTGTACTGAATCGCCCTAAAGGCTTCGTATCTGGTGTGTCATTGGGATTAAAGTCTTAACCCGATACCACATGCAACGGAGATCGTCAACTGTCACATCTGCGCTCAAGTTTTATAAGTTTATGTAGTTCCACTTCTTCAACTTGTCCTTTTTCAAGATCATTTTGAAATTTACTAACAACTGTTGTTGAATCAGGGCCACATTTAACATTGCAGTTAATGACTTTATTAAAGAAGAGAATGGGCGAAATACGTCCATTCGCCGACGGGCAGATGACTGTGGATTTGTATTTGTAGCTGGATTGGTTAGTTCGTCTTTATAACCTTCTAAGTTCTAACAACTACGACCTTCGGTTTGTTGGAAGATGTCTGCTGGAACTCAAGCTTCAGTAACCGAAGATGCATTGGCTGTGCCGGAGCCGCCCGTCGTCACTAATAATATCATCGAAGCTGGCGTCACTGCATCGACCTCAACTGAGGATTCCGCGAGCAAAACGCCAGAGACATCCGGTGTCCACTCTTCAGCTTCCACTTCCGCATCCAACCGGATGCATCTGCGAAGGAATAAACGAAAGCGGGATCTGAGCCTGACAGTGAAGGATGAAAAAGAAGTCAAACAGGAGCTGGGCGAAAATGACTTTATCGTAGAGCGGGTTTTGGGATACAAACAAGTTAACAAAATCCGTTACGCTCGTATAAAATGGCGCGGATTTAGGTAAATAAGTTTTACAGTTCTGCAGTATAGGCTGCAGAGCATATCTGTAGTGGTGCATCTACTCGTACTTTATTAGGATCATTACATTAGAAGGTGAATGAACAATGTGCGAAGTTTGAAAGACGTTTTCTGAACTGTAGCCAAACATCTTGGGAACCCTACGATTCAATATTTTATGTGAACGCTAACGAGGTCGATCGAGGTACAGCAAAAGAGAAGGAGGAGAAAGAGCACAAACGACTGAAAGCCGAAAGTGAAAAGCGGAGATTAGAACGTAAACGGCGGGCCAATAAAATTCTGGACAAACGAGAACGGAGTGGGAAAATTGACTACAAAGTTCGTTGGAAAGGATTTCCCAGGTATTCTCGCTACTCTGCATGGTTGCACGGCTTGCACCAGTTAAAAATACGAATAGGGTCGGATCTTTTGTAACTTTGTACCGGAAACACCGGCATTAAGTGCTTGAGGTGAAGCTCGAAAATGTTACGATTGGGTTTTTTATTCCGATTTTGTTATACAGTGTATACCCTTTTAAGAGTCCTGTTCTTTGATTTTTTTTAAACGTTTAACGGCCAATCGCTCAGTCCTCGCTATTTACTCTCGGCTTATCTGCATGGAATCAGCTTAACAGCGAAATGTTTAAGGCTTCAAGTTGCCGTATCGGTGGTGCAAAGTGCACCGGAAGTTTTTGTTGCACTTGCATAATTCATGTGAAGATGCATTTGTGACGCACTAGCAAAACAGAATAAGTAATTTAATTATATTTGATTATGGTATCAGTGATATCATTAAACAAAATCCGTTTCCCGGTTGTGAAATGATGAGTTTTACTAAGTATCGTTAATGAGTGTCGATAAGTATTCTAATTTGTCTTGATAAAAGTTAGTCTACATACAACATGCCACGCCCAACTACAATACAAAAGTTCATAAATGTCGGAATGTTGTGACGCAGTAGTTATCTTTTAGGGTGGTTGACTCATGGATTACAGAAGAGAAATTAAATCGTCCGGATCTAGTGGCAAAATTTAGTGCTTCTGAGGTGGCAACCAAACCGGAGCCGGATGACGTATTGGTCGCAGCGGCCGAGGCTCCCAAGTCCGCAGCCCCTCTTCCTGCTGCACTGTGGCCGCCGGCTCTGTTAGATACCCGCACACCCAAACTGAACGACATGTTAGCTGCCAAAAGCAAAACAGCAGCGAAGAGTGTTACATTCGGTAAATTTTGACTTTGATATCGTGGTCTGCCGGTCCGTATTATCTAGCAGTCCGAGACTCAGCGTAGCCATGTAAATTAGTTGTCGCCGTCGATAGGCGTACGGCCGCGTACCCAACAAGAAATCACAATTCACCGCAGCTGGAAAATGGAAAATCAGTTCACACGACGCAACATACAATTAACTGCAATGCTATATTATAATTATTGATGGCATTGTTTGGAAAATCATTCACACGACGCAGCATACAATTAACTAAAATGCCATATAATTATTGATGGTACTGTTTGTATGTCGTATTTGCACAATTGTAGTTCCCCCTGAACCCGAACCTTTATCCGACCAAGCGTTAGCGATCCCCCCTCCCCTCCCGATTCCATCGACCTCCCGCCTGATAAAGCCGGTCTTCACCGTCCGCCGTAGGAAGCCCAAGACAGTGAAAGTGAAGAAGCCTCCAGCACCACCCAAAATCCAACCCATCTACAACCCGTTAAAAACCTCCCCCGATCAGCTGTTGGGCTGGCGCGGTCCCGCCGACTGCTGGAGTGTGGCGGATGTGTGCGAGTGTCTGCGACAGTACGGGTTCGGTGATATTGTGCACAAGTTCCAGGAGCGCCGGGTGGACGGCCCGGCCTTCCTGGCGCTGAACGAGCCGCAGACGGTACAGCAGAAGATGCAGATTCCCTTGGGGCCCAGCTTGAAGATTTCTAAATTGGTGAAGGATTTGCATGAAGTGCTCAAGAAATGAGAGAGGTGGTATTTGTTGTCCGTGGACGTTATTCTCGCGTTTGACTAACGCGTTTGCATGTTGTGTTCTAAAATTGGACAGAAATACTGTACACTGTTAGTTTCATTACGCCATTTGAATGTGCTGGCGAAGTAGACAATTGCTTGTTTTCCGGTAATCGCTCTTGTAGCATTTTCCACATAATCTGCGCGGGGAAATATTCTTATTGACCTTACTGTTCATTTGTTATTTATTTACAGTACTAGTGTGGCTTTGCGTTAATTAGTTGCTTTACGAATTTTTGTGTTGTATAAATTTTAGTGCTAATTTGAAATATGTTTTCTTGTATTTGTGGATTAAGGTGTCGTTGTTGCGCCTGCATATCGGTTGTGTAAATATTTGCTCATACCGAAAATGAAGATATGACTGTTATTGCCGAAACATTGCGCATAGCAGTTACAACACTTAAATTTGCAGCAGAAAGCACGAACATGGTACAGTAAATCAAGCTTCGGAAATTTTACCTCAAACTGAATTATGAATCTGACAGGATAGCATTTGTACAATTTCTTCTACACATTTGTTCTACTTAGAACACGAAATCCTATGATTCGTCCAAGAAGGTTTAGAGTGCAAGGAAATTGAATGCTATTTCTAGAGCGAAATACATTGCCCGAAAGAAACTGGAATCACTTCGTCGTCAGTTGGTGCGATAAAATACGTTCTAGGCCCACGTGCGTACTCTGTATATGCCGTTTAGCAGGAAATACCGGATGATGCGGCACTAGCGGCGCCGCTGCGGTCCACGGGGGAAGTGGATGCGGAGGAGGTCAGCGATGTAATGGAATCGCGGTTCTTCTTGTGACTGCGAAAACGATTCCGCCGCTGACGCAGCTCATCCAGAACGGTGGCGTTAATGGCCGTAACGAAGGGATTGAAGCGCATTTCTTCCTCAACCGTCGAAGGGACGGTGGGCACGGCATTTGTTCGGCATTTCTATAATTATAGTAACGCGTTTCTGTAACTAGCCGCATAGTAATCAGAATCCGCACACTAGATCTGTTATGGAAATTTTACGGTACTCGGCATCTCTTTTGTATTGAACTGACCTTTGCCCATTCCAGTCGATCTGCTAAATCCAGATTTCCAGGATCCTCTTTGTACGCGAACTTCAGGTTCATCACAGTTAGTTCATGACCACAGTATATTCTCTGTAGAATGGAAGAGATGTTAGACATATTTTCGCACTGCTGTTCTTGTTTTAATTTGTTTAATAATAATGAATTTAATGTCTTCTGCAACGGGGACAAGCCCCCTGCCGCATACGACAAGTTGACACAGGGACAGGAGCACGGCAGTAAATCCAAAAACAAATAGAAACGCAACGTACGCCAGCAATACCAAGATAAAAAATCGGAGCAACTCAGCTAAGGTAATAACGAGATATTACAGTTTTTCTCCAGAACTTTAATTTTGCTTCTAGTTTTACTTTAAATTTAATTTAATTGCGTAAGTAATGAATCACAATTCGCCACGCGTTCATCAAAGTTCTCTATCATATCAATCGAACTGCCGGCCACGTACTGTACAGTATTAGTGCACGACTGTTTATACGAGTAAGTAATTAAATTTTTAGTACTGTACAAGCTTTACGATAATATTAATTACTACACCTTGACAAAATACAGCAGTCCTATGGATTAAAAACAAACTTAAGAAGTATTGCTATTGTATGCATTTGACGCAAGCTTCATACATTTTATGATAAAGATGTAATTTATAATAAAAAAGACCAGATTTAGATATTTTCCGTTTATCGTAACTGGTAACGGATATTAGGATTGGGATATTAGGATTAGGAGAATTTGAATTTACCGTTGGTTTCGGTAACGTAGTAAGCGTCTGCATATTATCAAACATCTGGGCAGCGCTCCCTAAAATGAGAAAATCATTAAAATTTGTTGTTTATCCTTTGAAAGCTGTTCGTTTGAGCTCATAACGAATGGATACTACGTAGCAACCGGCTCACGAGAACTACAAAAGTTAACTTAACAGCTGTCATACCTTCAAAAAATTTTCCACATCCGGACAAAAAGATGGAATCACCAGAAAATAATGCTGGAGATTCGCCATGATTTCCGGTTACATAGTAACCTGTTCGTAAACAACTGTGAGTGCCGATACGCATATCCATATGTATAGAAGGAGTCTACAGTGCACGCATTCCAGTACTTACTCATGTGACCGGAAGTATGGCAAGGCGATGACATGCAGCACACAGTCAGGTTCCCGATCTGCAGCAACAAGTTCATTGGTACTGGTAGTGCATACATACAGTTGTTCAGGATGTGCTGCATAATTCTCCATATAATAGAAAAGTAGATTTCTGACTAAAATGCTTTAACCAACGAGGTATCAATCAGTCTGCGATTGAGAGCAAAGCAGTAACTGGTAGTAGAACTTTATTTGCGGAGCTGATGTATATTGTAATCGCTCCGAAGCCAAATGTCCAAAATACTTTGTGTATACCACATACCTTTAGAACCTGATTGTTTTTGACAAGTTTTGTATAGCCTTCTGTGCGGTCATCTCCAGCATAGATTTCGATTCCAGGGTACAAGGTTAGCAATTTGGTATTTCCGCCCGCATGATCCCTGCAGCATCAGGTGTCGGCGTAACCATACGAGTGTATTTCTTACACGGTGGTTTAGATTTTTTGAATGACCTTGAAAAACGTGATTTCATATAAACTCACCAGTGGTGATGGGTAATGAAGGCAGATTTCAGGGTGCACTGCAGTTCTTCATCGTCCAGAATATCTTTAATCTATACACAAGAAACAAAACGTGTTGTATCAGCAGATTTTGTCGACTTCCGAGGATGCTTAAATTTCATCGGTATTGACGCATTATTTATATTTACTGGTACGATGCAATCGAAACCTTTGACTACGGCCAAGTATGCAATATCTTTAACATTAAAACTGATAGCGTAAATGTTATAAATTAATTGCGGGTGTACAAAAACGGCTTGTGCCCATTTTACAGAGGTACTTTTATAAATATAGGTACATTGGTACATTATATATAGGTACATCTTGCTTAGAAAGTCGATAATATTAGAAAATCGTACAGCACATCTTAGAAAGTCGATAATAATTATAATACTTTTATACTTTATGCAACATAATAGTTTTACGATGTCTGTTCACAATACTGGAATCTGGCAAGCTAATAAAAAGCTATAATGGCACGTTTCTCTTTCGGCTTATACATGACCTTCAAAATGTATTGCATCGTTTTGAATATATTGAAGCTATTAAATTTTAACACATGGTATGTTAACGAGATCACAAATTTAGATACCGCCGCTCACTCGACAACTAGTCTGTGGAGACCATATTTTCCACAAAATGTGAACAAGGACCGTCATAAATATCTTAACAAGGTCGTTGTAGAGGCAGCCGTTTACCGGGAAGCGCTTGGCGCCTCGGCTGAAAATATCGTGTCTGGACGTGGATGTTTTGTAAGGAAAAATGAACCATCTATCGCGGTTAATCATCCTCGCTGCGGGAGGATTTTTTTACCACCCAGCGTGTCGAAGCAAATTTATCCTTGAAAGTTTCTTTTATGGTGCAGCTATATGCTAATGTTGTAGCGACGTTATGCCGAGTCAGTCAACATGCGCCGGAAATAGCTCCCAGTGTGCATTTCCGGCTGGTTTGTTTTTAACATAGACATTTTCAAAACTGAGTTGCTCATGTTACTTTGCATGAACGCGTTTAAGAATGGACAATCCAATGGTCGAGTTAAAATGCATAAGTCTTTTAGCATAAACAAAATTCAAAATCTGTGATTATAGTTTCTGCAGTTCTGCTGGTCAAAACAAAACTTTTTTTGCATCAGTAAACTTTTTAACTGTACGTCAACTATACGCGTTAATAGCAGTGTTACAAAATCCCGTTAATAATCCCGTTAATCCCGTAAATATTTCATTATTTATGTACGGTATATTACAAAATATTTAAATTAATACTCATGCTTAAATATTTAAATCACTACTCAAGTACTACGTATATACTGCTCTTGCTATCTCTGTCTTCAAAATTACGGCGCTATATTATTTATGTGAAGTTGTAAACTCACCCGTTCGGGCTCCACGGGATCTATGACTCTAAAAACGAGGGCCAAAATATTAACAATATTCTAATGTAAGCGTGGAGATTCAACAGGAAACTTACGCGGCTTCTTTTTTGTATTTATCCACGATAATGTACCTGCACAAAGCAAACGTTTCGATAGAGTACGCATATTAACTTTTTTCGAACGATTTTTTATTTTGTAAAAAATGTTTTTTAATCTGCAATTCGCAACGAACTATAGAACCGAAGCACTTACACAACTGTACGCTAATTAGATTTCATGATTTACGAAAAGAGAACAGTAATTTAAACGATAAACTATTTTCTCAAGTCCGAGCAGGAATTCTTCGCGAAAAACCTTTGTAAACTTTGAAAACAAAAATGATTTTATTTTTTTAACTGGGATCTAGAACTGTAAACTGTTTTCGTACGTGACATGGTTAGAGTATTTGCCATGGTTAGATTATTCGTTTTTGTCTTGGTATTGCAAACACTATGCTTGTTATACTAAAAAAACTTGGATAGATTTTCCAGATTGAAGATGAGGTACGAGGTATACTACGCCGAGGACCATGCATTTTTAGGAAAACGGAATGAGATGCACTGAATGCACACACTGCATAATATTATCTACTCGCACTATCAAAAAACACATTCTGCAAAATACCCGATTAAAACTAGTACAAACTTAATAAACTGTTGCATTCTTGAACTTTAAATAAAAATTCTTGTGTAGTGGAACTTACATATAGTTATCCAACAATGCTGGTACAATTTTGACCTCGAAGTATTTCGAATGGTCAACGATCTTGAGAACACTATGGCCGTGTTTATACATCATTGCACCAATAAAAACTTGCCAATCCCATTCAGTTATGAATTCCACAATAACAATAGTCGATAGCCGAAACTCTAACGAAAGCTTTTTTTGGCGGTTCAAATGTTTCACATTAATTTGAAAAAGTGGTACAGTTTTAAAACCTTCGATGTCTAAACTACAGAAAATACCGCTGGTTGTGAAAGCGATGGATTTGAGAAAGTGAACCAATGTCGACGCACAGTACCGGCGTTATAACGCAATAAAGAGCAATCTTTTCTTCATACTAGCCAGCCGGCTGCTGATTGGCTCACATCTTACCGCACTTTAAGGTTATGCGTTGCGTAACAGAAAGACAACATTATAGAAGTTGCAGTTGGAGGACATAATATTATTAGCGTGAACTTGTCATTCCATAAGCGAGCCGGGGAATCCTGTTCATTTACTGAGCACCAGACAGCGCTATGTTTACAGGCGGCTTCCGCTTTAAAGTCCAGGCGTACAGTGTTGCACATAATTATGCCAAGATGCTTCACTCAGCAAACTTTTTAAGGGCAGTTCTTTCACGCATGAGTAAAAGCATAAAGTGCTGGTGGATCGCTCGTGTGCTGTACGGTAGTAAAGCAGATGTTCGGAAGCGGGAAGTTGTATGTTTTCCCAATGGGTTTTAATTCGAATGGCCAATTACGCTGAAGGCCAAAAGTATCCTTACACGTTACATCACCGAGATGTGCTAAAGTTTTCTTTGGAAACAAAATTAAAAGCAGCCGGAAGTTACTGCAACGTGACCGATATAAACACGACTGCATATGATAAACTGCGTTTTAAAATAATGATTTTGTTTTTGAAGGCTTTATAGCTAAGCACTGCTTGCTCAACTTGTGCTGTTCACTACTGTAGGCACTGTAAAACCATTGGTAAATTCACATACGAAGTATACTTACATGCAACTAACAGATATCTTGTAATACACAATAAACTGCGCTGTATACAAAGATCGACAAACTTTTAGTGTACACCATGCGAATGTGTTTCACCACGTAAATAAACTTGTGAAAGGTAACATTCATGCCGCAGCCTACTCTTAGTTTTAGTGTTTACCATTAGGTTAGATAATAAAAAAGGTCAAAGGTTGTCAAAGGGCCCACTGTTCCGTTCCGCGCAGATTCCAAATTAGCACCAGGTCACGGACCGCCGGTCACGAACGGACAATTTGGTGTCGACAGTTGTTGCATCCTCGAAATGCGGCCAGTGACAAGGTTCAAAAATAAATGACATAATTAAGAAGACATGCATGTATTTTTCTCAACCAATGCAGTCGTCTGCCGGCATCGCGCAATCAAAACGTTAAATTAGTTGGACAAGCGAACTCGATATGTCGCGATAGGGATGAAGAATCGTTATTCCTGTCATTCCTGAAGGTTTTATATAGGTTACCTATTCTCGATACATATGTGTGGTTTCCTGTGAGCGTCAAATTTTAGTGTTGTTTCCATATATCAAACCTCATAGTTCGTTATGTTTAATGTAAGCGCTGGGAAGTGCTGTATGCCGCCTTTTTAGTTGTGAATTTAGCTTTCTGCAGATTGAACCTATACACTTGCAAATATTTTCTAGTTACTATTATGGCAAAATTTCTCTTGTTTATTGTAAGCAGTGTAAGGTCTTGTTCTCTGTAATTTTTGAACCATGCATATTTGTTAGAGTCTTCCACCGATATACCAGAAAACGTTACAGATTTGTACTTTTATTGCACATACCGGGCTACGACAATGACTTGGTGTGGTTTAGTTAAAAAACAATCGATAACTGAATAAGTAATTAATTTGACCTACCTATACGTCCTTTTCAAAGTAAATACAGCAGGTTCTTCTGGCGATTATGAAGGATGGCAATCTACACACCGAAGAGCTTTTAATTACAACGTCTTGCACTTTTTTTTGCACTGATGGCAAGACAATTATTTATTAAATTTTGCCACCCGTGAATACAACCGTGGCTTTGGACTTACTATACAGCGCATTTTAGCCTACAGCTGAGATCCCGCGAAACACATTTCACTCCAAATACTTCATTTCCCATAGAACAATTAGCGTTAGCAGATATTAGTTTTAAATAAGAACTTTTCCAACGGAACACAGCTCAAGCTCGGAAATTTCGAACTCTAAAATTCTGTTAATTCATAACACATCCAGCAGAACGTCCGCCAAAACTAAACGCGCTTCACAATCAGTATCATCACAGCACAACCGAAGTCAAACTTGGTGTGCGGCAAGCGGCAGTTATGCAGCGTCCAGTGGTTCGCTTCGGCGTCGTACACTTCAATGCTGTCCTCCAGACCGTTCGGTCCGTACCCGTCGAGAACGTACAGCTTCCCATCCACGCTGGCACATCGTATAAACGTGGTCGTACTGGTAATGGCTTGAACTGGAATCAAAACAATGTCTTAATGTTATTTTTCTTGCAGGATTTCTCAGCACCGGAGATACCACAGCCAGTGGCAATTACGGGTTGGCCGATGTTAATCTGGCTTTGCACTGGATCAAAGGGCACATCGACAAATTCGGAGGCGATCCAAACGCCTTTACTGTCTTTGGACAGAGTGCCGGGGCCTCTATTATCTCAGCTATGGAATTAGATTCGGTTGTTCAGTGTACCTGATAATGCTTTGACTGTCGTTTGATGTGCTTGCATTTGCTCTGCATCCTGTCCACTCGAATGTGACAGATTCGATTCGTGCCGCGATTGCATTTAGGGGAAACATACTAGCGAGTGCGAATTACACACAGGAACCAAAGAAAAATTCCGTTGAACTGGCCGTGGCAGTTGGATGTCCAACTGCAACCTCCAACGAGATTATTCAGTGTTTGAAAAGAATACCGATACAAACGCTTCTTTCCGTGGCGAAAGGGTTCGAAGCCGGCAACGCGGTAAAAGCTACCAATACGTCGCAATTTAGTGTATTGTACAAGGAACGTCTTGCAGGATACTACACCGTATGGCTTTGTGCTGGATCATGTGCACTTCAAAGATGTCCCTCAAAAAGCTTTGGAAGCCGTAATACAGTCAATCAGACGTGGTCCGAATTACATTACCGGCTACTTGCGAGAAGACTATTCTTTTCTTTTAGCAGGTGGTTCGTTAGACTTACAGCTTACGGAGACTGCGGAGTTAACATTTCGCTCGACATTACACACAATTTTGCAGTTGCGAGTCCGGAATTGCTCGACCCAAATGAAACGTTGCCGTTGGATAAAATTAAGGACGTAGTTGCACGACAATTTTTGCCCAATGGCAGTGACCCGCCGTGTACACAACCGAATTACGCTTTGGCACAACGGGTTATGGATTACTACAATTTGTCCTACAGCGACAATCGCGAAACTTTGCAACGCAAACTATTTCACGTACGTATGTACTTTTTTGATTCAAGAAAAATTGTAGTATGACAAATCGCAGGGCGTTGTGAAATACACAGCTAACAACGGATGTTATCTTTGGCGTGCCTGCCACCGAAAAGAATCCATCATGTACGCGCATCGTCAACCAGGAGGGGGCCAAAACGACAACCAGCTCTTTCGTATCAGTTATGACCCCGAATACAATGGCCTTGGTAAGTTGCTATGTGGTACACATATTATGTCCCGTTGCACATACTCGTGCACTTTCTTTTGAAGCAAACTGCATCCGCATCACTTTTAGGAGCGTTTCACACTTATGTCCTCCCAAATATTTTTACTCCGTCAATGCAAATCCCTGGTCTTCGACTTAATGCTCGCGTTGTCTCTAGTATCCGCCAAATGCTGCGTCAAGTTGCCCATGACGGGTAAATCAAAGAAACGTGATATAATTAAACAATTACAAGCTGGTTAATTCTGATTTCTGGACTGCGTTCGTTTAGGCGAATGAATGGACCTTCGTTCGGACCAAGAGCTCAGTATAAGGAGTTGGGCCAGTTCGGAGAATGGGAAGCTGGCACAGTAGATCACATGGCGTTGATTAGATTCTGGAAGGAAGTGTACATTACTCCGTGTTAAAAACCATGCAGTCTGCGCCAATGCTTAATTTTTATTTTACTGCAGTTTAAGTTGTGCAAGTTTTGCGCGTACTAATCACATTTATACCATTTATTGTGTTTTTAAAACTACTGTACTGCTTGCATTTACAGAATATGAATTAAGCAAGGGCGCTAGCGTGATAAATTGTTTTGGTTGGCGAACGAAAATTGAGAAATTGCAAAGAGTTTTGTTTTTCCCCGATTCTCTTGTAGGTGATCAGTCGTTAATGTTAAATATACTGATTATAAATATACTGGTTCAAAAACTACGGCCCATAGCAAATTTTAACAGGAGGCATTGAGCCATTGACTAAACACAAAGTGTGCTACATATTGCGTAAAACTGGGCGACCAAAGCCATGAGTAATATTGTTTGTCAAGGGAGGAAGGTTTTGTTCATGATCATACTTTAGCGGAAGGATGACGAAATTTCTAAAAGTAGTCCACAAACCAGCGGCAAACAAGCGAAGTCCGAAGGTATGCACACTTGTGCCACGCAGTTATCCGCCGGCAGAGCAGTCACATTACGTCAGTCTGATGCAAGCGGTAAGCGGACATGCTCATTCAGTATTATCTTTTACCTGCCTCTCATTTGCCTATTTCGCTACTCTACTTCATAATCGCAGATTGCTAATATTTCTTTGAACAATCCCAGTTTTGTTACGCTAATTTTAAGTCAGTGCAGGCATTCGAGGCGCTTTTCTTTCCAATAATTTCGTACGTATGGCGCTAACATTTTAGTTTGTTTGAATTTTAACGTGAAGCTTAGCGTTCACTGAGTGCCATCTTTGGATATTAATAAGTATTGCAGGTGGGTTTACCAACTGCCTTGCCGATTAACGTTGCACAGTTTGTTTTGAATTAAATTTTATGTAAGCGATAGACTGATAGCTATCTGTATGAGCCTATTGCGGTGCTTACCTGTATCTGCAATCTGCAGAGGACTTGCTGCAGTTAAAAGCATAGACTATTTTATTTATGTCACAGTTCTAGTATTCAAAGTAAGTACTCGTATCTACCTGCTCTGTACGTCCTTGAATGAGCCGAATGATTGTGTATTCTTATTGTGTACATGGGACCTGGGAATCTTCTTTGTATTATTTTGGAATTACAAACCAGCCTCGGCTAATTTAGATCAAATGTTCTTTGTGATTCGGCCGCATGTTTCCGCTGGTTGTCAAATTTATAATGTAACGTCTCTTTTGCATTTGTTAGATTGTTTTTTGTAAATCTTACGATACTAAAAAACGTACAAGTGTAGGCTAAAGTATAAGGTATAATAAATTTCTTAAATAAAAAAAATGAGTATAGGGTTGCTAGGCCACTAGAATCATTGTATTTTCGCTCTTTATGGAGATGTAAGGACCGTATTTATCTACTTGATTTCCACCTACGGGCCTTGCCGACATTGGCATTCTCCGTACGCCGGTACGCGATAGAAATCTCAATAATTGTACATTTTTGAAGGTGGAAATGGCCACCGACATCCTCTCTGATGATTTCAGTGTGTAAAAAAACGTTATAATGTTTAGAGTAACCGTTGTGCGTCTTACGCGTTCAGTATTATAATTATGCAATGACTTTTTAAAAAGGTCACCTTAGCGTTTTTTAGTTGATCATTTTTACCGCCAAATGGTACCGTACTCCTAGTGCCAAACGACTTTTTTATACTATAAGCGTATGACTGAAATAAGTACTTAACTACGCTACAACTATTGTTGGACAAAACGTATCTGTTATTTACGTAGAACTGCTTTTTTATCAAACCATGTTGATCAAATTTTTGGTTTCCCACAAGTGCGGCATTTGTAATTAAGCCTTTCTTCTGTGCATGTTTCAGACGGTGTGGAGTTTGTGATGAATCAGGGTGAAACTGAACGTGAAAGGATTATACTAATCTCAAAGCACCTACTACAATGTTGGACAACATGGACTGGAGTGATTGGGCGAACCCTGTGGACGCTTTGGAAGAATTTTCCTGGAATCACAACGGGTCCGAAATCAGCCAATCTGTAATACGGTGTCATATCTTAAGACAAGGCTTCGTCCCTTTTCTGTAGCGTATCTCGCGACAGAAAAGTTTAGATCTAGGTCTTTTATTACGAATTATTGTGACGATTCATCCTGTTGATACACTTTGTAGCCGAAGTCAAGTCAGGACTCAGATCAGGTGAACTTTTTTGAGAAAATGCAGCTGGGTTTTCCGCAATATTGGCTGATTGAAAGAAGAATCGATAACACCTGCGCTGAGTCATCGGGAGAAGCCACCACGGCACCAGAAGGCTTGCAAATGGACAATTTCTCATGGTCACAAGCGCCAACTGACCAACCGAAGGGAAATGCGATTTTGGCAAACTCACCTCAATCCACGCAGGTACAAAGGTCATCAACTATGTACGCTGTCGCGAAAGTAGTTCGTACTGGTTATCTTGTAAGACCCCAATGACTTGTGCGCCTCTGAAAAGCGTATGCGTAACCGGCTGTCAGCAAAAAAGTGCCGAGAGAAGAAAAAAGAGAGACTCGAGAAGCTCAAGCTGGATAATCAAAAACTGGAAGAAAAGTGCGCTTATCTGCAAATAACATTCGCAGCGCTCTCACAAAGTAGTGAGATGCATATTCAACAGCTAATGAAAGAAAATCAAACACTGAAGCATGAGAATGCCACCTTGAAAGCACAGCGAAGCCAAAGCATTAACTGGTCGTCCATGCAACAAGTGCCACTCTTCGCTGGAGGATCTAGTGATACCGATCAACGTTCCTGCCAAATGAACACATTATATTAACCTGTTGATTGTACTGAATGCTACTAAATAGTGTACCTCCAGAACATATTTACATCGTATCTCGTCCTTTCACTCATATAAAAGCGTGACTCGGTAACTGGGACGATTTTTGTTCACTATTTGACGATTTTTCCTGTCGGCATTCCTTTTCTCTAGATGCTAAGCAGATTTCCTTCTGAAAGTATTCGTATTTCGTGCTCATGACTTGTCTACAGCCAAACATTTTTACCGTCACTTTTTCTTAAGTTGTTGCTACAAAGTGTTACTTACCGGTTTCATAATCACGCAGTACTAATTTGGTGCCCTGCGGCATATTTTCAGCCCTTCTAGTTAAAATTGCGATAGCAACATAGATTTGCGTTTCTATAATTTATGAAATCTGGTTTTAACTTTACAGTTAACAGATAACTGAGATAAATATTTTTGGACAACCTGTCGTAGTCTCTACGTACACAGCAGTATTCTGCTCGTATATTTCTCAGTTCGTGCCTACTGTACATGTAGTCTGTAGTAGTCTACCATGCTCTTAGTAGTCTTTGCGAATTGTGGATCGTTGTGAATTTTGGACTGGTTGATTGCTATCTGCTGTAAGAAGTGTGCTCGTAACTCGTACAAATGAGTAGAGTGAAATAATAACATTTCGTGGTAGATTCCGAACAAAGCTTTTGCCTTTTAACACATACGTCTGCAAAAATATTTGTGGTCCGATCAGGCCCGGGGCAGATCATGCTTTGTGCGCATAATAATAACACCCGTAAAATGTCCAGTGTACAGCAGCCATGTTTTTGATAGACGTTAAATAAGTAACAATGTAAGCACTAAATACTTATACGGGTAATAAATGATATTGTTTTTGAATCAATTGTCGGCATCCAACTTCTTCCACTTCGTATTCCATTGCGCACATGGAGAAATTCAGTTATCGTTGCATTATTTCCTGGGCCAGATGCGCTCTCCTAATTACTGGTGTCAGCATCGTTTTTCCTGTTTATGGACAAGAAGGGCACGTCAGCTTAATGCCGGATGTCACCCTAAATGGGGAATATTTTGCATCGGAAAAACACCCACTTAGTGCAGGTTATGCATATTATGGAATCCGCTACGGAACGGCTAAACGATTCCAGGTAAAGCAATTTGCGAAAGACTGTAACATTGAGTGAAGTACGTTCTTATTTGTCTTACTTATTTAAAAAATTTCAAAACAGGCATCAACTTTGTATTAAAGCGGAAACGATTTTACTTGTAGGAGCCCGAAGAGAATATGGATTTCTCGTACTTGAGAAATGAATCACGTTTCAAGCAAGGCCCCATCTGCCCACAGCTCCCAATTCCGGCAGCTTTGAGAACTCTATCATCTAGAGACCATGCTCCAATGAGTGAAGACTGCCTTTACTTGGATATTTATGTTCCGCCTGTTTCCACCAACAGTACGCGACAGCACGGACAGAATGACAATTTTCCTGTTCTGGTATGGTTTCATGGAGGCGCTTTGCAAGGTACCATTGTCTCTAATTACCTTTCCAGTAGAAATGTTGTAGGGTCGTAATAGTGAATAAACTGTTTCAGCTGGTGACAAGAACAACTATAATGCTTCCTCATTGGCGGATAACATCGCTGCAATTGTGGTTACCGTCAACTACCGAGTATCAGTTTTCGGTAAGATACGAGTACAATTTGGCTAGTTTTTGCTGCTGGTTTACATTAGATTGTGTGGCGATCGTTTGCCAAGGTTTTCTGAGCACGGGGGACGACATTGCGAAAGGTAATTACGGTTTGGCCGATGCTAAGTTAGCGATGTTATGGATCAAGAAAAACATCATGAAATTTGGAGGCGATCCCGATGCCATTACGCTTTTTGGGGAAAGTGCAGGAGGTCGCCTAATTTCGGCAATGCAACTGGATCCGGTTTCACGAAGTAAGCTGACCAGTAGACTCAGGTTAAGAACAGTTACATTAAAAGCTATACAGTAGAATGTAGTTCCAGTCGATCGTCTTCAGTATTCTTTTCCTGTTAGCCACGAGAAAGGTGCAGGTATGTGTGCGCTTCTGTTTCAAGGTTCTATGCGAGCGGCAATTGCATTCAGCGGAAGTATTCTGGTGGAGTCGTATTTTTCACCAGATCCGAAAAAGGATGCTAAGGAACTTGCAGCTGCCGTAGGATGTCCAACCCAGTCGTCGGCTGAACTCATCGGATGCTTGAAAAACATGTCCGTGGATAAAATTCTTTCAGTCGCACACGGGTTCAAAAAAGGAAATCCGGTAAAGCTACAGCTAAGTAAAGTAGGTCCAGTTGATCTTAAAAAACGGTATTATATATATTGAGATATTGTAATCTCTTCGTGGGTGTAGCTTGCGGTTCGCACTACAACGTCTACGGTCCTCCTGCGTAATTGTCATCATTTCCGATCCCTTCTTTGTCTTGAAATAATCCATAAACTACTAATCTACCGAAATGCTGATATTATTGTACATGTGTTAGACACATAAATTTTGTGTGCGTTACGCTCGGGTAAGTTGTAAAGCGAATGTACATTCTCTGCAGAAACTTGCACCTTATGGCTTTGTTGTGGACCATGTGCACTTCGGAGAAGCTGCCCGTAAAGCCTTATCGACCGCGATGCGGGAAGTTGATTCCTTTCCTAATTACATAACTGGCTACCTTCGAGAAGATGCCTCGCTTTTGTTATCCGGTAAGTAATGACTAATCCATTTACAGTATATTCTCCCTAACGTTTTCTACCTTTTCTTGCTGTTTATCTCCGTCATAGTCAGCAATTCCGATATTGTGGACCCTAAACAGCCAATAAATTTGACCACGATAAGAAGCGTTGTAGCAAACCAGTTTCTTCCCAATGGGAATGTTCCCGTCTGTCCAAACGCGAATTACGAGCTGGCGCAGACAGTAATGGATTATTACAACATGACGGATGGCGATGATTATTCATCTTTACGGTTCAAGATATTCCATGTAGGTATACGGTCCGTAAAAATCTTCTAATTGTTACGCTGTTTTACTAAAACTGAAATTAGTTTGCTAGTACTGTGTACTGACACAATTGCCCAAAAACTCGTAGCTGGCGACGGATGCAGCGTTTGCGGTTCCTGCCGGCAAAGAAGCGCTGATGCGGGCTCAACGGGAAGACGCAGCCTCGAGTGCCAGTCAGTTGTTTAGAATCAGTCACAATCCCAAATTCAATGACCTCGGTAATGGTTGAAAATATGTTACACTTCTTGACCATTCTTACAATTCACTTTTCTCTATGTTGAAAGGTGCTTTTCATACCTACGACTTGCCAAACATTTTTGCCCCGCATATGCAGATCCCTGGTCTACTCCTTGATGACCGCGTTGTGTCCAGTATACGGCAGATGCTGCATCAAATAGCGCATTTTGGGTACCATTTGATTAGCCTTACCGACAGTTCACATTATTTCAATGCGCTTTGTAACAACTTTAACCGCTTATGGCTTGCGCTTTTCGCTGCAGACGAATGGACGGTCTTGCATTTGGTCGCCAGGGAGAGTATATGGAATTAAATCAATCTGGACATTGGGAAAACGGCAGCTTCGACCACCTATCTTTAATTAAGTTTTGGGATGATGTGTATAATGCTCCTTGTTCCAGATCCGGTACATAGTAATTGCCGAATACTTCATGATAAACCGCTTCAAATTGAATTAGCTTTCGAATTTTAATAGTATGTAGAAGTATGCTTCTTTATGTATAGTAATAGTAATAGTAATAGTAATAGTAATAGTAATAGTAATAGTAATAGTAATAGTAATAGTAATAGTAATAGTAATAGTAATAGTAATAGTAATAGTAATAGTAATAGTAATAGTAGTAGTAATAGTAATAGTATGTAGAAGTATGCTTCTTTCACTTTGTATAGTCATGTACATACAGTACCGTATTTATAAAAATATTTAGCATGTATTTTGCATCATGTTGTCTGGACAGTGGCTGGTAACCTTTTGGGCTTGGCTTTGAATTTATTGTGATACCAGCCTGTACGTTATTTCTGAATTCCGCTTGAATGCATTCCTTGCTGTCATGCTTTGAGGCGCAAGTAGTTTTTGAAGTACAAATATTTTGAATTTGCGAAATATACGAGTATTACTTCGGTATCACAATTTCCACTGCATAAAAGGTAGTTTAGTGCAATTTTTATTATATTTGCCATTGTACGATCAACACTTCAAAACTGAAAACATGTAGCGATTGTTCATCAGGTGCAAGTTGAGCATTGCAAACTTCTGCTGCGTGGAAGTCCTTATGTACCTGAAATGTCGGTGAAAAGCATAATCGTTTTCACCGACATTGTCTGAACCGTACTTAAAACTTACCGACTTATACATTTTGCAGTACTGGAAAATTCAAAATGTTCAACAGGTTCAGACTAAAGACACTGTAGAACAAAATATCAATGTATAAGAGCAGTAAGTTATTTGAATCAATGAAACTCTACGACCGATCGTGATGTCCGATACGATGCGTAAGCAGATTGTAATTAGGAAAACGTTAGACAGAAATGCCGAAATTGCATTTCTCGGAAAGTGTCACTCTGTCGAAGCAATATGTATAAGCGAAACCGTAACGTTGTTTGTCTCCTACCGATGTCAACTGGCGCTACAAATATATAAAGCTCTGAAAACCTTTAGATTTCCGTACTATGTATATTACTGTAATTGACTGCTTGAGGTAAGGGTTTGTAATTTCTTTACAATGGCGCGGTTGTTGTTCTTCATCGGCATATTTTTCGCGGCGACTGCACTGGCAAGTGCAGGTGACAAGGACAAAGCCAAACCATCTAAGCCATCCTCCGACGATGACAAGCCTGCACAGCAACGCGGCTTGCTCGGCAGTGCCATCGGTGGCATGGTCAGCCTGGGTGGACAGGTCATCGGAACCGCTGGGCAGGTGATCGGAGCCGGCGTCCAACACATTGGTCAGCATGTGGACAATGTCGTCGGAGGCGTGGCTGCGCTTGCTGAAGTCGCTCTCGGCAAGAAGCCACAATACGACGCCCTGCCTGACAATTTCGAGTCACTGACCGCCGCTAAGAAGCTGGACCTTGTATGGAACAATGTGCAGAAAGGTGTGTATTCGATGAACAGTCTGCCACAGATGGATCCCTCGTCGACGCTCCAGCTGCCCAAGGTGTTCGATCCGGAATATTTGAAGCACGCTTTTCTGCATCACGGTGAGGAGATGCTGCCCGGCCGTCAGAAACTTATTCACAGCTTCGGCAGCGTAGCTAAAGTGGAACTGGTCATCACTCCAGAAGCGTCTTTAAAGTACTCCGGTATATTCCAGTCGGGTGGAAATGGTATCGCTCGTCTTTCATTGGCCGCTCCGGCGAATGACCTTCCTGGATTTGACTATACTCCAGGCAGGTTTTTTGTTTTCAGATAAATATTCGGAAACGTGTACAGACAGACAGACAGTAAAGAAGAATAACTTTAGCAACAAAATATATTAAAGCATATCAAGATAATATGTATCTAGTTACATATCCATAAATACATTATTTTATGCATTTATACATATGTATATACCCGTATGTATATATGTAGGTACCGGTATTGACTAGTGTTATGAATGATTGCAATTATTTCAGGCATGGCTTTGAAATTCTACCGAGATGGCCAAGAATCAGCAAACATTATTGCCATGTTCTCGGTGGACGGCCAAGGCAAGGACTTTAACTTCTTCGCCAAGAATTTCAGCAATTTCATTCCCAACGGAAAGAGCGCCTTCCAGTTGCAACTAGGGCCCAAATTCGAAGCCGCTATTCCCCTGTTGGAAGCCGGTCCTAAAGGTTGCGCTAGACCAGAAGACGCCACGAAGCTACCGCAATACGAGCAAGCAGCTTTCGACAGCCGTGGAGGGGCACCGGCTATCAATACCGTGCGCGCACCGTATACACTGAAGTTCGTGCCGAATCCTAAAATGGCCTGGCCTGGCAGCGACCATACCGATCTGCGTAAGCAGTTGGCTAAGATTCCGGAGAACTCTACCCTGTACACGATTGTGTCGATTCCTGAGAAGGGTGGCAATGAAGAGACATTGGGATCCATTGTTACCAAGAGCAAGTTTGTGCCGTCGCATTATGCCGATACGAAGATGTATTTCCGCCACCATTCACAAAGCTGCTTTATTGCTCCCAGTTCGGCTTAGATGAGCTGATTCGTACATAGCGGTGCAGGGAAAGTTGCAGCTGGTGTTATCAGCTGCGTTTAGTGCATACTTGATACTGCATACTTAGTGCATAGAGAACCTTCATTGCTGGTTTAAGGAAATAGCCAAATAGGTATAGCTGTTTTAGTTTTCTAGGGTTGCGTATTATGGTACTAATTATCGTGGTTTCCAAGGTTAATAGCAGATAGCGGTATGCTAGAATTACTGTCGCTGTTTGCTTCTCCATCTCTTGCATTATAAAATCGCTTTCACCTGATCGCACCGGCTTTTTATTAGCACTTCTTGCAAACTAAACATATAAATCCACTTTATGCTGTAACACAACAAAATTTAATAACAATAATAATATCCACTCTCAATTTCACAATAAAGTAAACACATAATTTTAACCAAGACGCAATACGATACCATTTCACCAGAATTCTACAATCACATTTTATGAGGCTTGCAACAGTAAACAGCCAAGCATCTTTTTACGGTACGTATATCGGCAGACACGTTAAGCTTTGGAATCCTCTTTCAACCTGCAATGGCAACCGTAAGAACTGGTGAAGAGTGTGCAGAGAATTTAGCTTACTCATCCTTCAGCAAAGGCCACTTTTGACTTCTGGGATTAAAAATGGGACTTCCATCCCAGTAAACGGCTCGTGACAAAGAAGTTCCGTAACTCCGAAAAGACGAGTTATGCGAATTGACATCGGTCGGCGTAGCGTCAGTGTTTATAGTAATGGCGGTTTCTTGAACAACCGGTGATTTTGGCTTAGCAAAGCGACCGGATTTTGGTGTGGAAGGCGGGCTCGGTGGCCAATGGTTCTCGCGTCCGTAGTTGTCACTTAATATGCAACAACAATTGTTAAGCAGAGAAGCACAAATTTACAGAACAAGAAATCGTACATGTAGAAAGGCGGCACCATATCACCCGGTTTAAGAGCTTCGTTGTTTTTGTTCAGTGGCGGCAGTTGCACGTAGGTTCCGCCCCAGTATTTGTCCTTGACAATCGGTGGAGGCTGATCAAACCTGGATAGCAAGTAATAGAATAAACGGTGCCTAACCAATAGGAAACGACGCAGATGCTTACATTTGATCGGTTACGGTGAAGTGCACTTGCATGTGGCGCTCAATGAACCAGTTAATCTGTAACGGAATATCGCGAACTTATGGCGTTTCGATACTAGAGTTATATGTTACGGCGATTTGAGCACAATACGCAGTGTTAGTGTTTATTTACATCAAAATCGTCATCATCTTCACCCCAGGGATTAAAAATGGTTTCAGCAACTTTCAACCATCCGACATAAAAGAGAAACTGGAAGAAACGACAATAAGTAAACTGTTTGGGCAAACCGAATTAGCTTATTCCGTGGACGCAGCACTCACTTGCAGGCTAGTAAAGATAGGGAAGTAGGTGTCAATGCCGTGACCTTTATAGTTTTTGCTCACATCCAGTGGCTGGCGAGCAAATAAACACGCACCAAAGAACGTGTATACGGCTAAAGTAACCACCTAAAATGAAATTTTGTTAAAGCGAACTAAAAGCTGCTGATTTAGTTTTATGGAATTTTTGGTTGACGTTGGAAAACATCATACGTACCTGAGTGTAAGCAAGAGGAATAGGCACCCAATTAAACATCCAGTTTCTTCCCAATTGAGCACGGAAAACTAAGAGCTCATCCATAATTTGTTTAGCACCAATGCCCATCGGATCATCCATCAAACCTTCTTTTCTCGCTTGATCCAACACTTTAGAAAACCATACGCACGGCACCCAAAACTTGCCGTGCTCTTTAATCTGTGAAAGATTTCAAGCTTGTATTGGTTGACTATAATATTATCAGTAATAAATATTCCAATGACAAACCTCCGTGATACTCTCAAACAGGGCCCTCTCCTCTGCAAGCACCGTTAGTGAGTAAGACTCGCATGCAATATGAACCATAGTGGTTCTATAGGATAATCGTCACTGACCTTTTGACAAAATTCCTGCATCGACCATGTGCTGCAGTGTAGGAAAGCGTTTTCGTGTAAGGACACTGTATGGACGGTTAACGAAGATGGTCGCTGCGGTTATATATCGCACCAGTTGGCGTCTGCAAGTACGTTTATATGTAAAATTTTCAGATTATAGTCGTACTTACAGGTCAACACAACGCGGAAGCAAAAAGAAACATATCGACTGACAATTTTCCGATAGGATCGTCGGACCATGTGCGGACGTTGTCTTACCGTATCATGTATGACCTTTCATCTTGTCCGTTTATCCAATAAATTATAAGGTATGACATTCTAAAACCAACTAGAAATAGTTATCGGGTTCTGACGAACACTGTTTTATCGTAATAAAGTTAACATACAAAACAAAAATTTAGAATTATTTGGAAGCCGTTTCAGCTCAAATTACCTGTCCGGCCATGGGTACGCGATCAGCTGTTCCCACCATCTGGATAGTACAAAGGAGACGTAAAATCCGAGAACAAAGGTCAAGGGCACAAGGTTAACAGTTTCCTCCAAATGCAGACACAGCTTCTCGAATACTCTACAAGAAGGTAACAATAACTATACAGTTACATGCCGCAGAATAGGGCAGCAATCGGTTTTGAAGTACTCAGTACTAACTTTCTCTGATCTTCGTTGAGAACCAGTCGGTATATCATGCTGATTATGGCAAATAATATTGCAAACACCAAAAATTCCCGATACATAAGCTTGTACACACTGCCGCGCCATCGTAGCAGCAGTTGACCCAGTTTTCCAAAGGTCACAGATTCAAGCTTTAGCTGGTAACGTACCGTCATTTTATAAAATATAGGTTCAAGTGATTATGAAAATTAAAGCTAACAAGTAAATGCTGATCCAAAGCCAATTATGAAAACGCATAGGGGAAATAATTAAAAAATACAGTAAAATTAATCATATTAATCATATGAGGAAATGATACAAACAATGCCCAAAAGGTGCAAATAAAATGTAGTTCTAAATAAAAAAATGTACTAATTATTAACGCAATTCATAATCGCCTTTTAAACAAAAATTAATCAAGAAAACTGCAATGGATGCATATAGAACCACGAGTTATGCGCCGGAGACTACGGCGCTCCTCATAAACAAGTACCGAAATCGTTTCGAAAAATTTTCGCTTGCACGACTTGCAAGAAAACGAGCAAAATGTTAAAAGGACCAGATTTTCCTCTTGGGCTGCTTAAGTATTCAACTCTGCCACGCTACAAGGTCAAGGCAAAATCCAGCCATTAATGCGTTCGTATCTAATGTTTGCGTTGCTATTAAATTTGCAGCATGCCCAGTGTTGCCTTGTTTGACCATCCACCACAATAGTGCTCTGCCCATCTCAGATGATGCAATTGTCAATTTTTATTTTCAGAAGTTTACTTTATGCGCTGCAAAGCACCGAATTGAGTGTTTTTCTTACATCCCATAGTCGGAATTTTTGCAATAGTTTGGATTTATTACCCAGACGGCACCATGAAAGTAAACTCATGTGCACGTAAAAAGAATAATTAAATTCTTAAAGCAGCTCTGGCGTGCTATGTCGGCCTAGTGTTCCATATCTACATTCTACATTGTTAAATAGGGGCATCAAGTGAAATTTCCGGCTAAGACAAATGGAAGCCGGGAATTTTACTTACATGATGGGGTAAAATGATGCACCTCGTTTTTATAGGAATATGGATGAAAACGATGGGTATTGTAATGATACTTACTAGTCAAATTTATTTGGACCTTTGTCTTCTCACTGCGTAGCACATAAGAGACCTGTAATACAGCATCTGTCTGTTTGTACGTACTGTATAAGCCAGATCTGTGTCGCTATACCGTATAATAGCGTATATTTCTACGCAAAATAATTGGCTAGATTTAAATTTAAACCTTAAATTTATCCGAGACTGATTTATACCCATAATCGACTGCGCTGTCTGTAACGTTGCGAAAGGAATGGAGATTTTGTCGGTGTAATTTTTTGTACATTACGGTATTTGAGTGTTACTGTATTCCAGGTTTTCTCGTATTAACTGAGCCATGAAATAAATCAAATGATTAACTATGAAGTAAATATAATTAATCGGCGCAATTATGCAGGTAGAAATAACTGGACTGACGTTTACTTTTTTTGCATCCGGCATCCCGGTGTTTTTATTATCATGGAGTGATGGAAAAGTAGCGATTCAGAAAACTATTTTGGTTTACACGGTATTTGCTTATTATTATTATTAGTTCAGTCAGTATCGCTGGAGCTGTGTAGGGCAAATTTTTGATCAATTGTGTAGGGCAAATTTTTGATCAATTACGCCAGCTGTTTCGTTTTTATCCATTGAATTCCTGAAACCATGGGTTCATCGTATCATCATTAATCAACACTTCTGAAGAACGTAATACTGATTGCCATGAACTATAGATATGTTTAATGCACTTGATTCGATAGCAGTGCCCTTCGGGCTACGTAGCAGGTGACAAGCCAGTATTCGATGAAGTGCTACTGGTTAAGCAAGATTATTTGAGTACAAAATCCTGTATTTTTACTTTCGTGTGAGTTTGTTGCTTGTGTGCTTCAATTATAAGTTCTGTTGATGCTTATATCAAGCCGACACCGAAAACATGTAACCGGAAAATTCAGATGCACTTCGTAGTATGTATCACTGCTGGCAGAGCACAGATGTAGAAACTTGCATAAATGGCACTCGTTAATTGTAGTCCAACATAAAGTCGTATTTTATTCTGTGTTGATAGTATTGCAGTTTTCTGTCAAGAATCAAAATGAACACGTTAAGTTTCGCATTCCATCGTGGTGTAAGCATCAGTTCAACGGTAAACCGGCAATCGGACGGCAAGCGCAGTCCGACTTTATCCGACGACAGAGAAAAATGTTCTCCTCCGAAAAGAACTCACACCGTGTCGGAATCCGTAGCAGTTAACATAACGGAGAAACGCACGAATGCTGCTGTCGAAAGAATGCAAGGACACTCACTGCCGATTTCGATACGACGATCGGATCCTAAAATGTCGCACGCAGCTAACAGAACAGAAAGTACTTCAGATACACTGGCAAAATCCGTGGAAACCGGAAACCGAAAAGGAATTTTGAAGCATATATCTGCAGTGGACAGCCAGTCAACAAACCAACAAAGACGGCGACCGGACGATTCGCTGTACAAGAAAACGCTAAGTAAATCGTTTTCGGAACGGTAATTAAACAATAATATTCGATGTTGTACTTGTAATAAACTGGAAATTTATCGTACGAAAGTACCTGATATTGATGCATAAACATGTAAGTTTTCCCGTATACTGTATGATAATTGAAATTCCTTACTTTCCTCTAGCAGTACTTGGCATATTTTATATTCTTGGTGTTACTACTATGGAAGTAGTCTGTACGTACATAATTTGTTCGCTTTTGCATAATTATTTGTTGTAAATAAGCGCTTTGCATGTATTAAAGCGAAACGTGTGCTGATATTTTGCTGCAAATCGTGTGACTCATTAATTTTGACATCGATGGATTCCTGAATTATTGCTCAACGTGCCAAAAAAACTACAGCGCACGCGTACGCTTCGTGTCGACGTTATTTTTCTGTTTACTTTTTTCTTATTCTCGAGTATCAAAAGGTGTAGCATAGCCTAACGGCCCTGATAATGATATTGTATACGCTACTACGTGATACTGTATGTATTGTACAATATAATACTTGCAATACATCGATAATTAATACAGAGTAGTTATCGATAATACAGAGTAGTGTGGTATCCGCAGCATCAGCCAACAACATGAGACTAGGAGCGGATAATGTGTTAATTTTGTTTAATATTATTACATAACGCTATAGGGCGCTCGGCGGAGCGGCGCTCGTTATACCGCAAAAATTATTATATAAGGCTTGAAATTATGAATGCATAGTTTTGCAATCAGCTCCACAGTAACTTCAAGTTTACAACTTAAAACTGATAAAGCATTAAAACCTTGCTTCGAACTAGTGAATATATTCAAGTTTTTAGCTGTACTATCTGTTTACTATCTGTTTTTAGCTGTACTATATAGATATTATATAGATATTCAGATTCTGCAATATCTGTATGTCATTCTATATATTTATATATGTAACCGTTCAACAGTCACAGAAGAAGTTTTAAGAGTCTTATAATTAAGGATGTTAGAGGTTATTGAGACTTGGACCACTTGGTACCTGCATCTGCATATAGCTGTACAATAACCGAGTAAATTGTTCTGTGGATGATACCACTAAGGAACACTCTTCACACAACGGATGTCTCCGACAACGCTTTGATCCAAATGTGTTGAACTTCCACCAACAGGTAAACCCATCCCAAATACTATAATTATGTAAACATTTCACCCCTCGGCAGTGACTTAAGAATTAGGGTTAATTAAGTACATGACCTGTTTATAGCTAGCAACGTAAAGAAATGAAATAACCTTTCTTTTGGAAACAGAAAGGCAATCACCCTTGTTTTTGTGCGGCAATAGGGTACTGTATTGTACAATCCCGAGTAAAACAACTTGCAAAAAAAACGTTAGTTAAAAAACGTTACGAATGTTAGTTAACGGCCAAAATTGAGACACCTCTGTTCACCTAACGGTAGTTACACGTTAAACTAACGTTTTTCCTACAAGCTGCAGAGTATTTACTCGGGAATAGAGTACGTACTACGATGCAGCTATGATCTATTCTGTAAATTAATGGCACTACAATTATTGTACCCATCTGTATGTCGGGAGATTCGGAGTCGCAAAATTCAAATACACTGTATGCTAGCAGTATTTGAGACTTTTTGAGTAAGGCAACGTTTGTTTGTAATGTTACGTCGATCGTCGAAAATATCAGAAAAATATTTATTAAAACATACCAATACGATAGAATCATAGCATAGAAGTATAGAATGCCTGTGCAAAGTAAAATTTCGGTTATACAAAAATAATACAATTTCTTGGTTATGCCTGTAATGATGTGATCTGCAGTTTCTGCATAAAATCAGGTATTCAAGCAGTATTCTAATACAATACTGTAGCGATAGAAATTAGATGTACCGCCAGTAGGAGTGTTAATTACCTTTCTCTACTGTTTATTGGTTGTTGTGTTATGAAGATCAGAATCCTAGTTTTCCTACTTTTACCGACCGCATCTCACGGTCAGAAACATCTTGAAATTAGTCTTGCTGCAGCTTGCTCCGAATCTTGCCCTGTGCTTATGCACTTCTTGCTAATGCGCTTCCCGTGCTTCTTGCTCCCGTGCTTATGCACTTCTTGCTCCTCAGCTTGCGTTGCTCACTGATTCTTGCTACGTTGTACTTGCTAATAAACACCTGCGATGACCTTGTGTTGTGTTGCGTAATCGCTATGGGATGATCGTGCATCTCCCATCATTGTCACCCTGTAAACGGTAGTCAGCTTCCGGTCAGCATCGCTGCCGACCGTGCCAGCCTTTCCCACACTAACAGCCGACAGATCGTGGTAAGGTGGATTAACCAACCCACTAGAACAGCAGTCAAACCGGCTGCTGTTACAATACTATGCTATACACTACAGTCTGCCGACTCTGCAGAGTCCAGTAAGTATGGGACCATGGGTGATGTGTGTATGTTTTTGTAGAAGTACTCGTATGTTTTCTGCGTTTACAGCATTAAACTCAAACGGTTGCTAGTACATGCTATTCAGGGTAAGCTGCACAATTTTTCACTTTTTTTTCAAACAGCACAAAATTCACGCTGAGGGCATCTAATCCAAGCAAACGCATTACACAAAAGCACAAAAGGGATTTTCTCACGTACGAGTACCAAAACACTGTACGGTTAAAGAGGAAAAACAGCCCTGAAAATTTGGTATAAATGAGAGAAAATAACGTAAAAAAACGGCAATACAGCCTCCTACACAGCCAGTGACGATCCTTTAAAAAGGAACGTAGGCCAGTGTAAGCAGTTTAATGAAGATTGACAGGGTGTCGTATCCCTGATCGATGACCAGACATCCCAACTTCTGGTCCACCCAGACAATGTGCTGCCACTGCATCAACAGGTTGAGCATCTCCAATCCGACGGTCATCACGATGGCACTCTATTGCAATAGTAATGCAGAAAATTAAAGATACTGGTCCATTCGGAAAGATGTTACGAAATACGAACACCCACCTCCAAAGAATTCGGATGGAAAAACAGGCTGGCGCATGAGAAAAAAACGGTTTTGGCATCGAAACATCACGGATAACCGTAAATCATTACAACGCATCAATACGTTAAAAATGTTGCTAACAATTAACAGCAAGTTGAAAGTGCTGCCACCAAAGCTAACAAACCGTTTCATTAAACGATCTGACAGAACGACAAATATTGCCACTCACCTGAGGAACAGAGCGAACACCATATCCCCGATGGCGGATGCCACCATCTTGGCCTTGAAATTGACGGGGCCCGCTGAAATCTTCTTTTTGATCTCGGGATGATAATCCAGCCAAATATTACCGAAGAGCAACGGTGAATACCACAACTGTCAACCGAGACACAGATCAGGAATAAATGTGCGCAAATGACGGGATGCCAGCAATTTTACATTATCACATATCTTGAATATATTATCTTCCGAGAAATCGGCCAGTTCTTAAGGTTTCAGCTTTTACTGATTGAGTTTACTCTTACCATGCCCAGAATCTGAGTGATAACAACGCCCGTCAGCAATGCGCCGTACTTCCAAGTGGCTGGAGCCAAGGCCACCGCTGCTGCGCTCAGGGTGATATCGGCTGTCATTTCTGTTGAATACTACGAGTTCTAAAACAGAAAATGCCAAAAGGATTGAACCGTACTAATCACAAATCAAAAACCGCCGATACGACGGACCTGTCCACGAGATAGACTAGTTCCAGGCCGTGCAAACAAAAGATAGCTAGCGAGTAGCGACGTTACAAGACCATCGCAAACCAGCAACAGTTATCTCTCGCTCGGAAAGTTATGTTGCTTGGTGGCTCTAAACTTCACACCTACCGTTAACGAGTGATGTTACCAGATTAATACGAAGGCCCAGTGTGGTTAAAAATTATATGATCGTTGTGCAGAACTTCCAAATTTCCCAGCGAGATATTTAAAAAAGTTTTCAGAGCCAAAAACGAAAAGGCAACCGCAAAAACGACCGCTAGAAAATTCGCGTTCATGCAACTGCAGGAAGTTCGGTGATATCATCTTTCAGATACTGTGAAGCCGATGAGTACAAGCGGTTTATTTGTGTGACGCTGTCAAGTACAACTCATGTCGAAACTTATGCATTATCCGGCTACCGTTTATCTTACCAATTAATTATTAAAGTTTAAATTTAAAGTTGAATTTTTGTTTTGTAATTTTTCTCTTATCGTATATATAATGAAATTTCGCGCTTATTTCGACGGGACCAATCTAGTTTTTGACTTTAGATCTTTAGCAGAAGTCATCTTTAAGACTTTAACCGATAAAGCCAAAGGTATATTTTAGGATAATTATCAAACAGACCACTGGTTTTGTTCGTGAACGTACGTGAAGCAAAACGTTAAGAAATTTAATTACAGTGAACAAATTCAATAACGTGAATAAACTTTATAAGAACAGTAAGTATTGTAAATTTGTAGCTCTGAGCTTTCCGTGGTCTTGAATAAAATTGCTCGATTTCCACTGTGTAGTTGTGCCAAGTTTTCAATAAATTAAGTATTGCAATTTGTTTTGTTTCCGATGCCGAGCAGAATATATATAGATATAATTATCTCCCGCGATCGCGACTGTACGTATCTGTATCTACGATAGAGCAAGAAATTTCACACGTATACTTCTAAACAATAAATATTTAATTATACCGTAGTCCTAAAGACGTAGATTTCGCACTATCACTACTCGTACGGTTCGAACTAAAACTGTGAGTAACTGTCTAACTGTTTTGGATTACTTCTTCAAAGTAAATTTTTAGCAAGGTGGTCGGACTACCGGTACGAGAACGGAGAACCCATACCAAAACTGTAAAATTTTCATCTCCCACTGAAGACATGAAGGTCGCTTGCGAGCCGGTACGGGTATCTGATACAGTGTGTACTTGTACAGGCTAAACTTTTAGCCTGTTCTTTAACCACGAATAGACTATACGAAGTGCCTTGCGTAATTAAATTTGTAAAACGAATTCACTATGAAATACGGCAAAGAAATAAACAGTAGAGCAGCAGAAAGAAGATGCGTGATGAGCGTCAGTGCGCAGCAAGCTAAACACCAAAGGTCAGCGAAACACAATGTGCCGGCTCACGCGTTGTAGCGTGCATTGCGTTCCACCGCGAACAAGACAGTGTGGTTTGCAACGCATTTTTAAATTAGCTGCATGCTGTAGAAATCCTAAAGGGAAAATCTTCAGAGATTTGAATCCAAGTTCGGATTTCCTATTAGGAAAACATACTTTAGCAATTACAGCCTTTGTCCCATATTTTCATACCGCGCGATTGTTGATTATGACGGCATACCCGATCTGAGACTAGAGACCTTATCGCGCTTGCGTGCTACGACTGACTACAATACACCACAACGTCCTGCGTAAGCAAACATGTACGATTATTAACAACTATTGATTCCGTCTATTGCTTTCAACCGGATGTTTCCCGCCTTATCATCCCGCACCCGGGATTTGATCGTCACTGCCGACACGCTTCGCAGTCAACAGTCAACGACAGTAAAATCACACCCAAACCGTAAACTTTACTGACGGAGTTTAGTGACTGCACGTTAAAACGCGGAAGATATCTGTCCAGCACCGGCGGTCGAGTATACGTTAGACGTTTTTTGCCCCGCGTGCCCCCTCGACTTATCGCGCCTTGCAGCAGTGTTGAAAAGGTGACATATTACGTGAGCACACTCACTGCCTGGCAGTTTTTGCACTTGCGCGCGTTCGTGACATACTTTGATTGTGAATGTTTAGTGTGTTGATGGCGTCAGGCAGTACTCGCCGGTAAAGTGCAGCGCTATACCTCCCGAATCGAATTGTGGTCAAGCTAGACGGATCGGCCCATCCAGGTAAGACAATGACGAATCTGTCGTAATGTCTCATCATTATGGGATTAGCGTCATCTGGATGATTCTGGCCATATACCAACCCGGCATCAACCGACGCTGTTGCCGACCCTCTCCATACCGGCACTAAATCAACAATGCCGGGAAGTTAAGGGCCATGAATAACAAGTGTAGCCTCGTTTTCAATATAATCCCGCATCAGCTAGGGCTGTAAATGTTGCTATCAATCCATGTCCAGTCGGAATTGTGTGTCGCGTTCGTTCGTTTCCCGTAGATTAGACGTTAACTTTTACTCGCTTTGTAGTCTCACGCGGTACTGTATCGGTTCCAGGATCCCTTGTCGGTCAGCGGTCTCTGTTACTACTGGAAAATGTTCCTCAGACTTTTCTTTGCTTTCATCCTCTTCGAAGCCTGCCTCGGCCAGTTCTTCACTAACGGTCGCTATGGGAAGCGATCCCAAGGAGTCATCGTCGATGATCAAGGTAGGTAACGCTAATGAGTCAAATATCATCTTATCTTGCTATACATTTCTTGAACTTGCACTTAGCTAACTTGCTGTTAGCCGTAATGTTTTGTACTACACTCATAGTTTCACAACCAAACAATTTTCGATGTTTGTGGCATTGAAATCCTTTCATTATTGAAAAAAAATATAAAATTCGCTAACATTAGGGAATTTTATATTTAATTCGCTAATACAGCGAATTTTGTCTACGCGGTATCAGGGTGACCTTTAGTGCACCAACATTTAAACCGGCAAGCGAGTAACACGCATTCGTTACCTGATGTTGTAAATATTTCATGTTTACATCTACATACTTATAGCTTAAAGCGTGCCCTTTCGTTTTCTTACTGTTAAAAGAGCAACATCCCGCGAAATGAAGAATACCAATCCTTTGGTTTACATCTCGTAACTCGAATTATTTGACACGCGAAATTTTGCGCCGGTGTACACAACAGTGCGAAAATGCGTGGCAGGCCAGTCAGCAGCTCATACACAAACGTATCAGGCTTTGTTTTATTGGAAAATTCTTATCCTTTCAAATATCAACTCGATTGCAAGTAGCCAAAAACAGATTAAACGCATAAAAAATCTCGCAAATGCAATTTTACAAATATTAATATAAATCTGTGATTATATTTACTACTTCTTTCTTTCCTGTTCTACAAAAAACCGCTATAGTATGGTTGTACCCCCGCATTTCTTGTGGTTGCAATCGTCTACCCAGTATAGCAAGCGTTCAATATGTATCAACAAATACTTAAAGTATCACCATCTATTTCGGTTATTATTATTCTTGCGTCACAGCTGGATAATATTGCTTTAAAGTTAGATTTGGAAGTAAAACCAAAACATCCATTAACGTCTTTAGCACTGTTAAGCACTTCTGCATGTATGCTTGACGTATAATTTTACAAATATTTTGCTTCCTGATCAGAAATAGTCTTTTTAACTTTTTACAAATCTTACAATTATTTTGCATTTGGTGCAGATACAGATACAAGTAAAATATTGTTTCGAATCTTTAGTTAGTTGGTTCAAATTCAGATGGCAACTACTGCGCAAAAGTATATTGTAATTAAACTTTGTATTGTGAAATTAAATTGAAAGTTTTCGCATACGTTTTTTTTTAAAACATGTGGCTTATTTATCGAAAATAACGAAAATAAGTTTTCGAGGGAAGTCACTCATGCTAGTAGAAATTTCGGATTGAAATGCCGCTAACATGCACGTGGGAATTAATCTTTCAGATTACAATTTAATTTAATTAAATTTTAATTGTTAACACACTATCGTGGCGACAGAGTCTCGTGTCGGTCTCAGCATTATTGGTTCTAGTCTGCAGCAGTATCTGATTGAAGTCTGATTCTGAAATAACCGCTCCTTTAATCTTTTAAATCCGCCACGCGAGAAACACGTGTTGGCTAAAATTAGGTCCCACACCCGACCTCGCAAGGATGCAGGAATTTAACAGCGGTAAACTGATTAACACACAATTAACTGGAAGAAACGAATCAATTTCCACCCATCGAAATTAAAAAACGGGCATTCTGTGGATTAGTTTTTGCAGTCTCTACCACATTCCTCATTATTAGAACCACCCAGCAGCTATCAAGCAGCAGTTATAAGTTTAGTCAAAAAGGGCACGGTTTTTATTAATACTTCTGTTGCGAAACGAAAACCTGTCTGAGAACTGCCTCAAACTGTAAATGCGCAAAATTACAGCAATTTGACTTTTAGATACATTCATACTATTTGATAGTGGGGCCTACAGACTGCAGTCTGTCTTGAGTACTACGTATTATACAAATTTATATTATGTAGATTTATTCCGGTAAAGAATTATAAGTTATAACTGCAAGCTGTTTGTAATAAATTATAATTGCAAATTTTTTTTGCCGAAGAATATTTAATTAAGATTATTATATACAGGCGCCAGTCTGGAGCTGGGATCCCTTTCAGCTGCGGATGGGACTAATCCGCACTTGGCGTGCATCTACACCGGATACCAGGATCTATTTCGGTGTCAAAGGTCAGCAGGAATTTCGAATATAAGATGAGAAAACCTGCGTCATATCCAGATAGCTTTAGCCTGTACATGGTCAACGGCTAGAGCCATCGAAAAATAAAGCATGAGAGTTATCTGAAAAACTATTGAAGCCGGTAAATAAAAAATGTTTTACGGTATAATTACGTAGATAACTAATCTATCTTAACTTACGCAACAACAGCGCTGGTTCACAAGTTCACAACTGATCTACATGTTGGTAACTTTAATTTGTTCGATGCAGGCTACCAGCGGATTCATCGGGACGGATAACCAGTTCCATCACAGCCAAGTAGCAAGCCGCCAAATTATATAAGGCTGTCTTGGATCAACGTATTGTCGCCGCGTACACCCGGCTGGTCTAAAAAATTGCCGTCAGTACCAGAGAACGTCAGCTCCCTGTACATACGCTGCAATTCTTGCTTTTTGTTCTCATTCTGTTTTACACATAACAAAATAAATACCTGCTACTGCATTACATAAATAATGTATTGATTGTTCGGCTCCTTGAAATGTCTTGTTTTGCGTCATTGATTATAATGTTATATGTCAATCTGGACAACACCGGCTTTTACTGCGCTACTGCGCCGTATAACATTTTTTATGTCCATTTATCTGTTACGAAGTTTGCCCTGCGACGCACCATGTTTTAAATATTTGATCATCGTGACTTTTATGACGATATCGCTGTAATAGCCCAACTCCCTCTCTATTCCTTTCATGTGACACTGCGCAGATCTGATTTTTACAATATACATGGATCGTGATGAAGCAGTAAAAGTGGCGTTTTTTCTCCATGCCAAGGAGACCCTGGTTCGGGGCGGTGCTGTTGCGGATTTATTGCCCATATAAACCCTCCATTACGTGCAAAAGTGCGACATGACACTGCCTTTAATATTTCCATGCTCCTGTCTACATAGACAGCGGCGTCGATGGATTAGAAAAGCCTGGATAGCTTTTGACATGGCACGTTTTTTCTTCTTAAGTACCAGCGACCTGGTAATCCAGTTCGATGGCATTGTCGCACCACGGAAGTACATATACAGTCCATGAAATAAATGCAAATAAAATCGCTTTTGGGACCATTATAAAAGAAACCAGCAAAATGATAAACAGTTGTATACTGACAATGAGCGACTAACAACTTAAATGAACTTTTCCAGTTCAACGGTTAATTTGAATCAAGCAGATGTAAACTTTGCAAAAATAGCTGATAATTATTTACTGTTTTCAATTTCCACTGCGAGTGATTGGCGAGAAATTACTTGCGCACAAAAAGTCGTCACTAAGTCATTTTCAACAACTGCAAACTGGTCATCGATAACACTTGCGTCATTTCATCTTTAAACTCCCGCTGAGATCTGGAGATCCCAGACAGTTCAAATGGCGGTTCCATGTCATTATTGTTTACATTCAGCTACATCAAAGCCTATGAGATTTTATAAGTAAAGCTTAGACAATCTCAGATTACGAATAACACGCGTTTGATATAATGGTTTCCCGTTTTTCTTTGCACGTGCACAAGTACGAGTACAGTAAGTATTTTCAGCGGCTGTACTCAGGTTTCTCTTATGCCAGCAATTAAATTTGCAAATTCCATAATAAACTAAATCCATCCCGCACTCTGAACCTCGACACACTGGTAAAGGGACTAAAGAGTAATGAGTAATGACCAGCGTGACGTAAAATTATACTGGCTATTAGCAATAATACTTCTATATGTTGAAAAGTAGTTGAGGACGTGAAATGGCTGCAATAAGGATCACTGCCACAAATAAATATTGCTAAACTATCGCCTCAAATCTAAATCTGGCAAAATGTTTCGCTTCGAAACAATAGCATCATTGCTTCAGCTACACGAATTGCACTTTACCATGTATTGTACAATACAGTTTTTTTGTTGTTGTGCGGCGCCTATCGTTAAATGCACCGCATGCACTGCTTTGTACCGGCATGGTATGTGAACACTGTACAACATCGCTCGGAGGCATTTTCCAGTTAGTGGTGAAGGTCGGTGATACGGAAAATCCATATTTTTACTGGTATTTTCCAATCCTGCTCATCATGGTATCTAGAATCCATTGCAGTCTGCGGCAATAAATTCTAAACTGCAATAAATTCTATCTGGTAACTTGTAGCTAGTTCTTTACCGTCTACCACTAGATGTTATATGCACAGTAACATACTGTTACGAATAATTTTGCGCTTTTTGAACATTTTCCCCTGTTGTTATTTTATCTGTTCTGTTTCCACTAGATTCACCGATCAGAAAAAGAACCTAACCACGTAAATCATAAACCATGGCAATGAATGCGGCAGTAAATTTAGCGGATGCCGTTCTCGGCCGTAAGCCCGTCAGTAGCGGTCCGAGCGAGCCGATCGAGGATCCAACGACCCGCATGAGCGCCGTCGTCTGGCACAAAGCTCTGGATATGCGATATGAGCTGGTGCCGCGTCCGGTCATTTGTGCGCCGACCGACGCTATCATCCGGGTGACGGCCACCAGTATCTGCGGCAGTGATCTGCATGTCTATGCCGGGGAAGTGCCGGGGATGAACGAGGGCGACATCGTCGGACATGAGTTCATGGGGATTGTGGAGGCCAAGGGAGTGGAAGTGGAGCTGCCGATTGGAGCGCGGGTGGTTGTGGCTTTTGCTATCATATGCGGAAAGTGTGAATTCTGTCAGCGGGGAGAGTTTTCCAGCTGCAGCACGACCAATTCCAGTCGTGTGCAGGAGCAGGCGGTGGGGCATAATTCTTGTGGCATATTTGGATTTGGAGCTTTAGCAGGTACAATAAATAACGCAATGTACCGTGGTACATAAGAATGCAGATATATTACTCCGGGAAACGCAGCGCACTTTTAGGCGCTTTGTCGGTCAAAAATAAACTGAACCAAGCTGAAGAGTTAAGTTGTATTTGGAATTCATAACTGTAATAAGAAAGCAGCCGGTGTACATGAAGAAAAGCCAATAAAATAAAGCAAAATAAAGCACTACTTGTATTACATACGGATTCCTGTGTTAGTGTTACCTAAATAGTATTCCTTCTACTGGTCCGTACAATCGTGACACAAATGAATCGTTGAATGTGGCAGCAATCACTTTGTTTAAATATAAATAAAGTTATTTGATTACTGAATAAACTTCTTAATTACATTGTTTTAATTTGAACATATACAGTTTTTATTATTGGTAATGTTGCGTAAGTTCAGTCGGTGGACTCTGTGCTAAATGTCCTATTTGATAAAATGGGCGTGACCTTTAAATTCAGCTCTTTCATAGGTGACTACAAGGGGGGTCAAGCCGAGTACGTCCGTGTCCCTTTCGCCGACTTGAACTGCTTGCCCATCCCGATCGATCTTTTAGACGAAAAGGCCTTATATCTCTCCGATATCATCCCCACCTCCTATCACGCTGCACGCGATGTCCGCGAAGGCGACACCGTGGCCATCTGGGGTATGGGCCCCATCGGACTGCTGGCCGCTCGCTGGTGCCAGATCCTCGGAGCACGCCGCATCGTCGGCATTTCCGGTACAGCCTACCGACTGGATGTGGCCCACAAGAAGCTGGGTATCGAGGTCATCAACTATAACGAACAGGACGTTAACCGGACACTGGCCGATATGGAACCGCGCGGCTGGGATGTGGCTATCGATGCCGCCGGGTACCGGTTCGCCAAGGGCGTCTTGCATAAAGTCCAACGGACGCTGATGCTGGAGACCGACACCTCGGAGACCATTACGGAGTGCTGTAAAGCCCTGCGGCCGTTCGGGAAATTGACGATTATTGCCACGTATGTGGGTCTGGCCAATCAGTTTCCCATGGGGATGTTTATGTTTAAGAATCTGACGATGCGTTGCGGGGGGACACCGATCCAGAAACTGTGGCGGTACTGCTTGGAGAAGGTGTTGGATGGGACGCTGGATCCGCGGTTTGTGGTGACGCATTATATGCGCTTGAGTGAAGGACCGGAAGCGTACAAGTTGATGTATGAGCATGAGGATAACTTTATCAAAGCACTACTGCGACCGGATTTGCCACCGGAATTGAAACCGGCTGGAGCCGGAATTTAGCTGTAGCTAAACGGGTTTATAACGCTTCTCAGCTCAGTTTTGCCCGTATATGTATCAGTTTTGCACGCCTGTATTTATCTTAATTAACTGGGAACGCTGTAGCGTTTCCTGGCTTATTTCGTCAATGTGATTATTTTATTGAAAAGTGCAAAAATGTGAAACTTTACTAACAACAGTGTTTGTTAAAAGACGAAAGATGCAGTGCAATTAAAAACGCCCGAACTGGCAGTATATGGCATAATAACTGGCATAATATCTGTACTTCTATACAATAAGACCTACTGCTAGAAGCTTTTGTAGAAAACATCAACCAGGTTGACTACCAGTAACAATCAGCAAGGTTAACAAATCACGAAAACGATCTCGAAAACGCAAAAAAATACGTTATGGCAGTGGAATTTCACGCAGAAAATTTCGTGAAAATAAATTAATACAAAAATCGCATGGCTCACAATATATTCTTATACCGCTCAGGTTTTATTCCCGGCAATCAATGTTTGAAACCTCCCCTTTTCATCCTCAAACGTAAACGTCACCTTACGATATCCTTAAAGTCAGCTGCTTCATCAGGGGTAATTTTTTGGGATCAAGCGCCAGCATCTCATTCATTGTAAGCGGCCCCCATATTCTGTCCTGGAACGAGTTGAACCGGACGTTTCTCCGGACTGGCACGTTTACTCTCCATTGAAGCCAGAACGTTCGCAGCCACGAGACTTTCATTCCGTCCTACTTAAAAAAATAGTACAAATAAACCAGCTAGAGATTTGTTAAGTAAAAACATCAAACATATAAACGATGAAAGAAGTCAATTCGCCTGATGTTCCCTTTGTCATCAGTTGATGTTCCGTTTCCACTGCTGAACACTTGCGCCGAGGAAATGGTTTCGCGATGCTCAATCAAACATCCCCCGGAAACATTACCTGGGGCCATTACAGATAACTGAGCATTTCCAATCGCATCTGCTTTGGATCCAATCCGATCGCCTTCACACCTGGCTAGTTGATAACTGGCACGAAAGAAATATCCCCACACTCTGACTGCCGCAAATTCCAGCGTAGCTGAACCGGAAGCTGCATCGGCCAAACGTAGACTGAGTTCGGAGTGTGGAGATATTTTTTTCGTGCCAGTTATCAGCTAGCCAGGTGTGAGAGGGTAGGTACAAAGTGGTCCAAATCTAATTTCACAACTACAAATATTAAAACTAATGAAACCTTTACCGGTTTTAAGGACTTGGACCACTTTGTACCTACAGTGAAGAAAGAGGGAATTGGGTTCATGCTCCAATTCACCATGCGCATACTTAATACTCGTACATACGCATACATGCGGTTAATCTAATAATCGAATAGCTCAACACTGCAAACTTTAAAGTAACCAAACTACAGGTGTGGATATACATATAGACTACAGAGTACAGGCGCTTCTACAAGAAAGCTCATATCGTTAAACGGCAGAAAAATGGGATAAAAAAGAGTTTCTTTGAAAAACCCGATGGCTCTACAAATCGAAAAATACGTAGCAGTGCAGGAAAATACCTTTATTCCCCGAGCGATCAGATCTGAAATGAAATCCGAGTCCGGAATGGCGCTTTTCTACAAAATAGCCATCATCTAAATAGAAATTTCAAGTAGAACTGCAAAACCAAAGAAATTTTCAGCGCGGCACACTCGTCTTTATGAAACAATCTTGAATCGAAATAACACTGTCCGCACTCCGCAGTAATCTCGAAAAACCGCAACGTTACGTACACGAACTTAGTAGAATACCTGCACCAATCAAGAAGATTAAAACAAATTTCGCTCCTCCACCTCGACCCGCTCTTCCTTCATTTTCAGTCCTTCCAGCACAAATTCCTTACAATCTTCAAAACTAATATCACAGGGATGATGGGATCCACCGCCCACATTATAGCCTTTGGTGTAAAATAGCCACCTGTAAAAGGAACAGTCTGAAGCAAATTTCACTAAAAACCGCGCAATTGTTGGCGACATAACGGAATGGCGATAACTGCTTACTAGTACGAATATACGATAAACACTTTAACAAAGTAAAATTGCAACATACCGTTTTCCGGTTTTCCACCAATTCGTGGCCGAATTCGCCCTGTCCGGCTACAGAACTGCAATACAAAGTAAACCGTTTAAAAAAAATCTAAACGATTTTAAATCACAGATTTGTTTTATTTAACGTTAAGGTTTTCTTCAACTCAAACGTAACGGTATAAGCAGATACAACTTCTTCGTACGCTTGGGCCGACTCGCCGTCTGGGACGAGCGAAAGTTTAGAAGTTTCAATTTTGTTACATATTCATAATTATCATAATGCACACTAGGTTTGGCATCAGAATTAATTTTAAGTGCAGTCTTTACAGATGTGCTGTACATACGGTCAACTTGACCAGCGTTACTTGTTGCCAACACATTAAATTTTATCTTTTTCGCGCGCTTCCGTCAATCGCAAATCGCAATCCCACCAACAGAATTGCGACGATTCGCATTTTCCAGTGACAATTTCCACAGCGAAAAGGAAACTATAATTACACATTTGGAGATATAGCGGAGATTCGAAAACTGAAAATATAGAGCAGTTTACAAATCTTCGGCAACACGCATGCACTGTCTATGTAGATAACATTGTCCGAATGAGAAGATCTCAACTCGCTTTCCCTGGGACGCATGCCTTCTAATTAGCAGGTGTTGACGCATACATGTAATTCAAAAGTAGAGACGCGGTCAACAACTTCGGCAACAGCCGGTCGTTGAGGGTTGATACCACCCGAGGGTAGCAGTAACTCCCTATGGTTTTGATTGCCGATGCATAAACATTTTTTTTCGTGCACCGTCCTTCATAATGATACCCTATTTGGCCCATTATCTTTCCGCATACGAGCGGTAAACCGCATACCATCCTGCCCGGCCGGCTACGCTATCCAGAGCCCACACGGGCTCAAAGGACATCAGCTACGCATAAAAGGCATACTTCGTCGAAAGCGGGCGTCAAATTACTTATGCAGGGTTGACTCCGGACACGTCGACCTACATGCCGGTCGGAAGGTCTGGCAAGGGGAGGGGTGCGTTCCAGCTGTGATAGCAGATACCTGACACTCCTACAGTACTACTCTAGTCCTACTACTATAGCCAGCACGCCCTTTCTTACTATGACGATACTTAGAAACTGATTTTGCAGTTATATGCATTACATCATTGTAGATTATATTTAACTGTGTGAACAGTGCGGATCTAGTCCGATCTACATCTAAATCCGGCCGAAATTATTGTTAGAGCTACTGGTATACATATTAAAAGGAGAGTCTTTGTTAAGTTTGAGCACAATGCAGAAAGCAGTTCGAAATACCAAATCAACCGTGTAGAGATTTGTTTCGTAAATTAACGGGATGTGGTAACGATTTGATTAGTGCATGGGCTCTGTTGTTACCAACCTGTTTTTGCTGAATAAAAATACTTTCTGTAATTAAGTTTTTTCTTTGCCTGAACTAAAATAGAGTACCCTGGTCGGGACCAGTTAAAGGTGGGCTGAAATATTTGGCACACGCAGTGTAACTTGCTGGAAAGATTCACTTGTATGTGTGTAGCTTTACTGTTCATCACGGCTTTTATTTTATTAAAATATCCTTGTCTACGCGTACTTTTTCTGTAGATTTCTGCAGGAGATACAAATCAATTCATGTACAGATCTTTCTGTTTCCAACTGCCATATATTTTTTTTATTACGCCGCAATATTGTACCACAGTAACAAAATTAATAATAATTATATATAGTGATTACTATATATAGGTTTACAGTTACTGTAAGTTTGTAACGGCCGCGCAACTTTAACCACGGAGTTTTTGTCCGTGAAAAAGCACGGACAAGGTGTCATGGTCATTCCCATACAAGTACAGTTAATAGTAGAGCCTGTAGAGTTATAATTACTTTATTTATCATTTACCGGAATGCGCAATTACTGTAACACTGAAAAAAACTGCCTTTGGGGTAACCTGCGGTATGGTACAAGGTCACCGATTCACGAGATTTTGTACGTTCAGGGCTAATTATATGGTTATGCAGAACGGGGGAAAGTTATTAAAATCATTACTTTAAACGTCACATTCCTGCTATGACCTCGTTAAATTCCTAGGCGAAATTTGAGCGGGCACTGTTTATCCGAAGTGGCTCTTGAATGTTTTCCAATATTTTTGCCGTAGGGCCGTAGAAGCAACGTCATACAAGGAATTAAGTCAGGATGCTGATTTCATACTGCTGTTGTTGCATGCAGCGCTTGCGAGACCCCTAACCACTCCAGCGAAGCAAAAATCACGCCCACACTCGTAACAATTAATGAGCTGACATTTTTTTCCGCATGCACTCTTTAACACGAAAGAATTGGTCAGACCTAATTTCTTTCCCGATACCATGCTGATGCATACTTACCAGCTAACACTGACATCAACACTGGTATCAAAACAGGAATGGCAGCTAGATGAAAACAAGGATGGCCAGCACGATCAGTTTACCAGCCGGGCATCATGGATAATTGCTAATCCCTCTCCTACCCAATAAGCCCGCATACATCACGTTACAGTTTTTAATGACAGCCAACTTGGCCGAGCAAACATTCGCCGCTGCTTCTTACGTTCGTCTACACCGGATACAATTTTTTCCTGTCTTATATTTCAGTTGATTATTGTATCACGTCACTAACCATGTTTCCCAGCCGCTCCGACATGCGTTGCCGTTTAGATGCGGGTTTTATATAAACAGCCTCCATAGCTTGACCTGGTATAGTTCGACTCGGAAAAGACGTGTAACCATCTTACTGAGTTGTCTTTAATCAGAAATGGCCAAGGTCGAGATATTTTTGTTGGTTGGTGCGGTGTTGTTGGTAGTGTCAGTGCATACCTGCAGTGGGTTCTCCCTGCGTGTCTATCCCGGATACGTTCCCTTTGTCAATCCTGACCGTGGTCAGCAGGGTTCTAGTGCAGATAATGCCATACAAGGTAATCATTTGAAGCGGCAGTTGTACTTGTCTAAACTTACTGGCGCTGGCATGCTTCCTGTCCGATCGTCTGTTGTACCGTATTTTCCTGTGCAGTCCACTGGCTGTAAGTCGTGTAACGTGTAAAGGTCATTCGCTGTCTTTCTGTAATGTAACGTCTTTCTGTACTTTGATCGTCAGTGCTTATGTGTATAATGAAATACGGCTAATTAGTTACTGCGAAGCGAGTATTAGCTGATTTTCATTTTTATTGCTGAATTTGTTGCTATCTTATTGCTCTATCCTGAACCAGATTTTTGAGTTTTTATTAGTAACTTGGTAAGCCATTTTCTGTTTCATGATTTTGTAACTTCGGCAAAGCTAGACAGCTATCTTACTACCTTTTTACATAAATCTAAGCTACCTTGTTACATATATCAAAATCTTGGTAGTAACTAGTAATATTAAATGTTACTTTAAATTTCCTGCAGTGAGGGGGTATGTAGTAAATTTCCTCAAAGCTTAAAACGTACTTATTAGGTGTTTTTGTGTTTCCGTTTTTGCCATAATAAGCAATGAAACTGGTATCGTATATTCATTTTGTTATTCTCAGGCACTATGTTGTATAAGTTTATGTTTAAGTGATAAATGCTAAAGGTCATATCCAATCTAGTTAAAAACGATGCATTTTCGTAAACCTAACCCATATGTTAGACATATACTCGAACAGTCAGATATGAATAGTCAGAGGGCTCTGGTACGGAAAGCAGACCGAAAACAGTTAGGCCTCGTCCCGAATTCAAAGCGAATCTCGTTGCGATACAGCAACTCCACCTCGCGAGGTGGCTTCGCGTACCGTATCTGTAGGCGTGGCCACTGCATACAGCCACCTCGTGCGGTTGAGCAACCGTACCATAGCGAGATTCGCTTTGAATTCGGGACAAGGCCTTAGTTGATCGTACTGTATTTCCATCGTATTACGTATACCCTGTTATCTGTGTCTGTAGACTTGACTGTTTGGTTGATGCCTTATAATAATAATCATAACCCAAACGGTTCCAAATCGTATTGTAATATACTCGCAATTATAATGCATTTCCGGTACGTATCCACTGTCAAGCGCTTGCTTGCTAGCGCTCATGCTGTACGTAAAGCATTCGCAACAAACTCTGTACTACCTTAATAAGCTAATGCACGTTTCCTGATTTAGTTATCTTAGCTAGTTATAGAAGGCCGGATGTTATTTTTTCCGAACCTGGTTGATTGAATATATTGAGTAAACGGAATTATTTTGAGCCGATTTGATTAGTCTTGCTGCTCGGGTTCCACAGGTAATTCTATAGAGCGTAGCCAAATTTCTGACGTATGAAGACTAAAATTACTATTTAGCTTAATTTAATATATTACGTAGTATTTCTAGTAATTAGTAAGGCATTCTGTCGTAATGGAGCGCATGATTATGACTTACCGCAAGGAATGGTTGTCCGGCACCAGTTAATCTCTTAGTATGCTTTGCTTTAAGAACAAAGCTGCATCGAAACTACAAAATTAAACTACAGAGCGATAAAACAAAATCAAATTTATATTTGAAAATATCAGAAGTGTCGTCTTTTAAACTTTTAAATTCATTTCTCCCAATTTCGCTGTATGTCAAACCTTTCCCGACGCAGTTTGTTGACAGTTTGCTATTATATAATTACAGACGGTGCGGGTGATAGTGTGGCCTTCAGACAAGCGACCACCGGATTCAAGCCCACAGGATACCGGCGTGGTGGACCGTTGGATGATTGTGGAACATACGCTGAATGCCGCCAAAGACTAATATCGCATTTCGACAAAATAATGAAATTGACTAACAAGGGCTAGCTTAATCTGAAACGGCTTGCTGTATTCTGGATGAATCACGTACAAACTGGTTTTTACTTTTTAGTTTGATAGGAACAATAATACATATATATCATACAATAATATCTCGTCTATTAATTATTCACAAAAATATTGCAGCGGATTAGGCATTGCATTGTTTTTATATTAAACTGGGCTGGCTGTTGACGTGAACCATTGCAAACTGATCACACATGTCCCTTGACTCCCTTCTTCATATCAGAAAACCGCTCTGCCAACGAATTAATTATTTATACGCAGAATATACGGTATAAGTTGTATGATAGCGATATTATTGTAAAAAGTAGGATAAATATAAAAAGTGCAACCAGACTGGAAAAGCACAAAAGGTACCATCGTGTCCGACTCCGACGATTATTTAGAGTTACAGTAATATTTTATTTCTGTGACTGAACAGACTACCGAGCAGTGCAAACATGGTGGCCTACTAATGGTAAGCTTGTCGAATAACGTACGTAGTCGTAGACTTTAAAGGACCATGTGACATGTGTTTTCTTTAAAGAAGATTTGCGTGTCTTTAAGACTGGTATGTACCGGTATGTTTGGACACATCGGACGGTCACATGTAATGCACATTGCAGGTACTGTTAAGATAGTTGACCTTTCTCAGCTTGGACGATTTAGACCTGGAAGGATTCCCTAAAATCAGCGTTTATAAATTTTTAAATCATATTTTCCCGTGACCTTTGGCTAAGTCCAAGGTATCAATAAAAACATTCAAACACTATGTATCTTTTGAAATTTGGAGAGAGTTATTCAGTCTTATAACTGGCAAAGGAAGTAGCTACTGTTTACATTTACGAACGAATATGGTGTGAAATTTATGTACATTCACGAAAGTATTAAATAAAATCTACATTTAAAATTACGAGCATCAAACTAAGAACAGATCCAAAGTACAATGTAGACACCGTGCAGCCGCAGCGGTTAGGCGTACGAACACATTTCAAGCAGCTACTGTATGACAAGCATATCCTCCATTTAAAGGTTAATATGAACTGACTGCATGAATTGCATGTGGCTTTGTTGGTCCGATGACTCAGATCGAACACAAAGCGCAAGATATCGGAACATAATGAAGTAAGTAATAAAAAAATCAGCTGTAGCAATTACCTAAATCTCGTTTAATTTATCCGCTTCGCCAACGGTCCTGAGTACAGATGTCGCGCTCACTCTTTGGGTTTCCAGCGACAATCGTTGTCGCAGACATTCGTGAGAGTTAGACTCCCCCGGTATGCACCTAGCTGCAATCTCTTGCCTAATTCTTCGAAGACAGCGATAGGCTATCGCCGATAGCAGAGGGTCTCCATCACCATGGTCCCATCGTTTCAAAGGCAATTGGTGCGAAAATGTAACGGCCGACCAGGTAGAAAAACAGTCTGCGATTTCTTCTCTTCTCCTCGTGCCGCTTCCGCTCCCGGAGTTAATTGTGGAGGTGGCGTTGAGATGAGAAGCCACCACCGTGGCTACACATGTCATCTCCAAGCGAGACACATGCCGCGCTTCCAGGCGAAAGTTGTGCAGCCGTCGGGACGACGATCCGTCGTGTGGAATGTTCCTTGCGGTCTCAGTTTGGCAGGCACACCAGCTTGCATTGGGCAACAGTGTAAATGTGCTACTGTTGTTGTTGCTAAGGAAGTTTTAAAATTAATTTGTTAACGCAGTTAACGGCAATAATAACTGTCCGATAACAATAAATTACTGACCCTTGAATAAAGTACATATGCACTCGCACCGGAACACGGGTCACCGGCCCTGTTATTCTTTTTAAAAAAATGCGCGGCCCGCCGCCCTCCGCAGAAAACTGAGGGTCGGCCGTGGGCGCGAGCGAAGAACGGAACTGCTATTAATCGACTATCTACCACACGGCATCAATACGGTACATATTACACACACCGCATGTCCGCCATGTTACATCCGCAATCGAAGATATGCATTTGCTAGATATTGCTAAGTACATATCACAGCCTAAAACTTAGGAACTCTAAACCTGCCCGATTTGGTAACGTGAGCACGCAAGCGATCCTTAAAAATGGACAGTAGTCGTAGGAATTTAACGGGTAACTGCTGTGCTATGCCACCCAACCAGCAAATTCTACTATGCACTTCGAAATTTATTTCTAAATTTCGAAATTTTACCTAACAACATTTGTTTGGGCAGTATATCGAGCATATCATCTAAACAGATACGCGGTAGCGTTCGGTGCCGTCGAAAACCGTCACCAAAGTTATTATTGATAAAATTGGATATAGTCGATATGCATTCCATTCCTTGTACCAATCGCTATAAGCAACTGCAGTTTTTACATTGCATACAAAGAAAACTTTTGGTACCTGACGCCCATGCTAAGATTTTTAGGCCTGTGACACTGCCGAATGAGCTGTGCATGAGGTTGAAAGCCAACCGAAAATCAGCAGTATTGAAAAAAGGTTCAACATTTAATTTGTGAATGAAACTATTGTGAAATTACCAAGCTCAGCCCTATTAATCTTTGAAATTGTTAAGCAACACTTACTCAAAACCATGTAAAGCTGGTCTGAGAATACGCAAAAAACTCGGTCAAATTATTGTACTTGTGCACCAACCGGCTTGGCAACAGTCGCAGTTTGGTGGCAGGGCGTTAAATGTTGTTGATTGCTGTGCAAAATATAATGATGACCAGCCCTGTTATTTGCAGATCTAGTCAAGGTTGGGCACATAATACGGCTCGTTATGTTATACTATTTCTCTCTGATATTAACCCACAGCTATCAAAAACGTGTACACAGTAGAATGTGGAAAATATACACATATCATAATTATGTAATGTTATATGTGGACAAAATTAGCACCCGTACACCAGTACAAGACTCAGAGTTAATTAATTAATAATATTATCCATTCGAGTGTGCCCTTATTAAGCCTGTGTTCTATTGTTAGCCAGACTTCCTGTAAAAGGAGCAGGATTTTTTATTCTCTTATTTCTGTATTTCTGGAAACGAGCAGAATACAAACCGTTTTAGTGCAGTAACTAAATTTCAACACGACAAAGAGTTGCAACTGGAGCATTCCCACGAGTTGACGACGAAGCCGGCTGACCGTGACCCTTTCCCCTTGTCATAACGATCACGCGCTTAATAACTGAACTGTCATAAATCGGCGCAGCTGAATGCTCAACGCGACCCTTATCATCCCGTTACAACGTCCGTTTCCTGTCAAAAGCCGGGTCGTCTTGGTTTACATCATTACGCTAACAACCTGTTTACCCAGCAACACCATCCCTGCTAACGTCCATCATCCTGTAAATTAATGCACAAAAACTATCCGTTCCTCCCTGCGAACAACGGACACCAGAGCCGATTCAGCTGGCACTGTTTGTCGAGCAGTGCATTGTATTTCGAGCGTGAAGTTAGCCTATTTGCGACAGTGTATTTGCGTCAGACAACATTTCCTGACGTGTTAATGCGAGCTATATTAACTGGAAAGAAAACATACTAGTGCCCCTTTTGTGCAGCATCGTCGTCCTAAGTGTTGAGCAAATTAATTAAGGTGAAGGGGAGAGTTTTATCGCCAAAGCCGTTAAGCGACAGCGCGTGCCAGCTGAAGCGCGGGCGGATATACACTGTACCGGCGGAAGGGATTATCCCATTCTTTGCTGGTGGTAGGGTCCGTTTGCTTAATAGTGTTACACTTGAAAGGATACTTCCTGAAAAGTCCATTCAAGTGTAGCTTGCTTTAGACGTTTAAGTAGAACAAATTAAAAAACTCTTCCCCGGTTGGTGCGCGCGCACCCGGCACCATCCACATTATACAAATTTGATTCCTCATATACGTCAGACCGTTCAGCGCCCCGGCGACGACATTTAAAAACCGTCCCCGTTGCGCGGCTGGTGCGGATCATTTAGTTTTAAGTTTGAGAGAGCCCCGGCAATCCCACTTGATCATTTATCCATCTATATATTTGCCTACTTAAGTGAGCCCGCTGGGAGATTGATTTATATTCCCTATATCCGCTATTGCATTTTATTGGTCTTTTGGAGATTTCTCCTTTTTGACTTTCATATCGTTCAAGTACCGTATATACCGCCATAATGTCACTTATGTCCACGGTTTCGGTGGTGGTCTGCGCCGTGCTTCTCATCTGCTCGCTGGTCTGTGTGCAGGGTCAGTTTTTCACCAAAACCGACAAGGCAGTGCCACGCATCGGACGCCGGATGGATCCACAGCTGGTCAACAACGGACAACTCCTGGCGGATATACCGATTAGTCAAGATTTACACGATCAGCCCTTCCTTTACGCTAAATTAGCCAGTATTAACGACGCCCGTCGGTGGGATCCGGTGAGCTTATACGATGGTAAGATAATGGCGTGCGCATATAGCAGCGCTTATCAATGGTGACCTTTTTAGTATCCCTAGAGTCCATAGCATTGGGAAAACGTTTAAAGTGTTTCTATATGAAGTGTTGTATGTAAGCGAAATCATTCTTAGACTCGTTTACAAGGTTTAAATTGTAGTCGAAATTAAATGCATACCGTACTGATAAGAAAAACCAATTATTTATCGACAACGAAGGTGTACAGCGAAACCAACCAAAAAACGCAATAATTTTCTTTCAAAATCCAGGCTGTAAAACTAATGAAAACGTATGTCTATAAAAATAGCCGAAACTCGTCTATATATGACCTTTAATACTTCGGTTCTTTCCGAAACTTTTAAGCCAACGTGACCTTTCCTAACGTAGTTAATAGCTGCTACAAAAGCCCATCGACAGAATTGAATTACGTACCATACGCGGTAGAGCATTTTTATAAATAACGGACAAACAGCATTTCGTAAAATTAATGAATTCAAAAAGCCATGCATGTCCATTTTTTATGATTTGAAGCAATCATCGGGTTTTTACAACCCCTCGTCGAAATAATACAACGAGGGATCAATTTATGTTGACTGTATCTAGTTATTGTGCGTACGCACCGGTCTCAGGAGTTTACTATTTTGCGAAAAGACAGTAATTTGTAATTTAAAAAGTTTCGCTTTTGCAACCGCAGTGTGCTGTTAAATAACATTTAAAGTTAAGTAGTCGCTTAATAAGTGATTTCTTCTAAGTTACTGTACAAATTTTGGTGAGGAAAAATAATAAAACAAAGCTGGAGTAGTCACTTACCTGGAAAATCAACTTGTGCATAAGCGAGTAAATTACCGTAAAAATCAATATTTCAATCGATAAATAAAAGATTCTGTGATCAAGATTGATCCGAAAATCCGATTTAAATGCTTATGACTTTACCGGCACGTGCATGCACTTGACGACTTTCATTGTAAATGGAAGTTGTGCGTGTGAAAAAGGAAGAACTGCAAAGCCACTTAAGATTATGCCGTTGATGTAACACTCAAAATTTTTAGGATTTCCCGCGCGAATGAGCAGAGTGGGACGCCGGTGAAGTGCCGCTAATACTGTCTGTACAGCCTACAGCACATTATTCTCATACAGTCACGACGTTTTATTCCAGGAATATTATGACAGTGCCTGCTGGAATGGCCTACACCTATACCAATTATAACTTGAGAGAAATTATTATTGTTTTCGATCTAGAATAAATGGATATCCAAGGGTGCTTTTTTATTTCATATACCTAGAATTATACCATTTGGCTGCGGAATGGCTCGGTAATTCGCAAAATAATGTTTCTATTTTACATTTAATTTATCGCATGAATGCATGCTTATCAAGTTATCATCATGATGATGTCAGTAAGATAGTGAAACTGCGTTTTCATCATTCCCTGATCCCTTGAGACCGTTTTATACTGATGCCTGTTCATTTACAAGAGTTATACACTATTCAAAGTTGCTGCTGTTAAAGTTAGTCTGTTACTAATTTTAGATTAATCTGCGGAAATTCTGATTGTTTTTAAATACGATCCCGGGTCTGGGCAATAACTGTGTACTCGTATTATGGCTCGTGGAAATTCTGTGCTGCACATGATGGTAAACCGATAAAGCTGCTGCTGCTGGGCTCACGTATCCATTATTAGTACCGTTACAGTAATAATCATTCACTCTTAAAATCATATTAACTCACTACTACGTATGAAGACTGTAGCACGAAAGGACATGCGTCACCTTCCATAGCATTTGCATTTGATAAAAGACTACGAAACAACGGCCAATTTGCACGCAGTCAAAAATACACATATAGATTATCCACGGTAAATCGGCAATATTCAAAGTTTATTGCAAAATAATTAACTGCCAGATTTTTGGAGACTTCCTGGGATAATCCTCACGCACAAGGTTCTGTAGAAAACAGACTGTTCAACGGCGTATGAGCTGTGTATGAGCTGGTCTATGAGTATAGTGGTATAGGTCAATTGCATTTGGGTAACCGATGCGCGTCGGGTAACCGGTAACGGAGAAACGGGTAAAAATCCGTCCATGACTCAGCGAAAAAAATATCATCCAATCGTAAGGCGAGTACGCTTCCGTGCCAAGAAAGAAATTGAACAACGGAAAAACTGAAGTGGAGCTGAAAAATCTGTTTTTGATGCTTTAATGCGGTAAAACGTCAAAAAAGTTGATTCTGAGTTTAGAAGTGTGAATCTGGGTCGCTGGATGCGCTTTTGGTTCAAAAAAACAAAAATTTTGTTGATCTGGGCAGGAGGAGAGTTACGAGTTACTCGTAGTCTGGGTAACGGTTGCGCTTCGACGTCGAAGCGCAACGGTTACGCGGACAGGTAAGCTGAAAACCCATCCCAGAATTCTGGTTTACCAATCAAATCGTTTACCTGCTTACGCGCCCTGACGTCATGTTTTTTTACCCGACTGCCGCTTGCGCGTCGCGTAATGCTTAGGGGGGATCCATAAATTACGTACGCAGCGAACCAGGGAGGGAGGGGTCCAAAAAGCGTGACAAGCTGTGACGGCCTCGACGAACCCAGGGGGGAGGGGGTGGTCAGCTCCATATATTACGATTGAACGAACCAGGGGGGAGGGGTCAAGCAAATGTGACGGACCGCTACGAAGGGGGAGGGAGGGGTGAAAAAATCGTGGTTTTCTGCGTACGTAATTTATGGATGCCCCCTTACCACAGAGCAATTGACCTATGCCAGTATGAGTATAGTATTTCGGTCTACCAGTGATTGACTTAAACTTTGGCATTGGTTAATGTTATCGACTACCCTATGTTTTGGACGAACTTAATTAAGGTGAAAATACGGTAATTATGGAGCATGTTGGTTATGACGCATTTATTCTTTGGCACATCAGTCTATTACGGTATTTTTCTGATTCCAAAGAGCAGAATGATTTTGCTACCCAATGGTGTGCCATGACCAGCACAATACCGATTGACTCGCAGTAAACACCGGTCAGTAAACAAAAAGGTTTTCGTTTAGCTAAACCACATCTACAAAATGTAACAATCTGTCAAAGAGTACATTAATAAACCTACTCTACTGAGTTTAAACCGTGGTAGTACAGCATTATTAATATTATACTTTTAGAAAATAACTTATAGCCGAAAAAAATTGCGGACCACGACGAAGGTTGCTGGTACCACTCTTTAAAATGCCTACTTTAAAGAAAAGATGCTTTCATGGTGGTGCCACGATGGCGAGTTTGCCCAGCAGGTTGTAATTAATGTTAGTGACCAGGTTCCCAGGTGTCGTCTGCTGGGGGCAATACATATTACATATATTGTACAGATGTTCACATTTTTCGATGCTAACATTTGGCATGCTCTTGAGATTCATAAAGCGTGTTACAGTTTTGCAAATTTATTACATATGGCGATATGTAATTGTTATCGGCATTAATTGCAGAAAGTACGGTTTGTAAACGCAATAACGCGGTGAACCTTGAACGCAGTATTATAGATAATTCCTCTTGAATGTAAATATAGAAGTCAGCGCATGTAAAACTAAACTGGGGATTGTTTAGTATGCAGACATGAATTTGTGATAGTGTCACTTACATATCGGTATAAGATGTTTAATGGCTCATGTAGTCTTTAACCCATGGTACGGTAGAAAAGGTCTTTAATTAACCCAGTACAGCCTACAGGTACAATGGATTACGCAAAAAATGCAAGTATTTATATCAAAATATGCCGACATATGGAACTACATAAACAACCATAATCGCTTGCAAGTTCGTATTTATTTTTTCTACTACAGAATAATAAAAAGGATGTTTAAGACATTATTATTTGTAACGTTAGGAATTATGCTCAGCATATGTTTAAGGCACACACTCATGCAGAAAACTTAGGATGCCTGCAAACATGTACAGTCGCCTTAAAATCAGTTATATCAAACAGGAACATTTCACTAGTGCGATGCGTTGTTTCGGTTCATTTTTAGCGCACACCTTGGAAAATAATTATTCATTCTGATTTTATCAAGATGTTTGGATCTTATGTATCTGTAAGTGTTCCCGATATCCTTGTACAAGCACATGTTGCCAGTGATATAATATGTAGCTTTCGATTTCAAGCGGATATTGTGGTCACATTAAAAGGCCGGGACTTGCGGTGGGGGTCTTGCTGCCTCTACTTTCGGGTCAGAAAACGACACTTGCACAAGATCTGCAGTCTTCGTCTTTGATGCTGAAAACAGAGAGTTACGAGTATCAGATAAGTAAAGTTTAACAAAGGTATCTGATATAACATGCGTCAAGTAAAATTAGAAACTGCCTTCTGCGCAGATAAAACAGCCGAAAACAAAAAAAAAGATTCTTTGCAAAGTTTTTACATGTGCACGCCTGTCTGTATCATGTCTGGTAAAAGTACAGCGTTCGCATTATCATACTGTTAAAAATCAAATAAGCGTAATTTCGTAAAGGCAGCGAAAACATTGGACCAGACTGAGACTGATATCCATCCTGCACTCCTGCTAGGTATTGTCGTAATTTTAGTGCTAATACGGTATATAATTATAGTACTGCAAAAAGGTATTTGGCCCGGTACATAGAACCAAATTCGGGTACATACACGGCAACTTTCGCTGTCGCGCATTCCCAAACACTTTTTTGCATTGCTTTATGATATTTTGTAGCCAAAAGATTTGTATACATAGGCGGAAAAACCGTTTGCGCGCGCGACAGCGAATTTTCCCGTGTATGTACCCCAATTTGGTACTATGTGCCGGGCCAAATCCCTTAATAGTAATTTCCTTTACTTAAGTGGTACTGAGACTTTCTGTCGGCATGCTTGTTACACAGTATGAACTTACAGTCGTAGCAGCTGTAAACGATCTCCAACGGGCGGTTCTGACAGTCGGGATCGGTAGAAGGGTCATTGGCTGTGACCTTACACTGTCCGGCCTTGGTGGGCCATGTTGGCGGACACAGGGTTGCCGGTGCGTCAACGTCCATATGCATGCACTGGGGCGTTTCCACATTCCTGGGATTATACCATGCGCCGTGTATGGCAACCCACTTCCGGATTAAGTTACACTTGATGGTCAGCTGTTGCCCGTTAGGAATGATCGCCAGGTGAGCTGGACCATCAATTGCAGGATCTTTGTAAATGGCAGTGGTTATGTTGGGCGAACTGAGCTCTTCGTCCGGCTCAGCCACCACGAGAGAAAGGGTAATCTGCAATAAAAGAATACCCCCAATATTAAATGTACGAGTAGTAAAGATAAAGATTGTACTAAAGCTAGGTATGTAGTAAAGACAAAGTTATTTTATTATTATTATTAATTGTAAGTACACAGGTTAATAGACTAACCTTTAGAAAGAAACGCAATAAATGGCATAATCTTAAAGCTGAGTACGATAAATAAACACATGAAGAGTACGAGTACGATGTCTCATCAGCGGAAATAAATGTGGTACAATTATAAAAGCAAGTAAAATCGCAGAACAGCTTCGGTTATACCTTACCGCCAGGCAGAACTTGAGAGTTTTTGGTAGCATGATGTTGCGCACAAAAAAGCCAGGGGTATTTCCAGCTGGAAATGTCGTAGTCAGAAATGCATAACAGAAGGTAAGGATACATTTTTATATACCTCTATCAGACGGCTTTGGCACCTGGAGATGCCACGCAATGTCGAGAGTTCAGACAACAGACTTTAGCAATTGCCAGCGGCCAGCGGGAGGTATACATACTGTACATGTACTTGTCGTCCATCGGTAGGATAATGTAAAATTATGTGTTTATCACCTGTTTTTGATACATTTGACATACGACCCCACGTCACTCATTATGGAGGCTAACAACTGACACTTTTACCGAATTCAACGGATGTAGAAACCTCTTCCAGTCAGCAATAAGGAGTAGAAGTAGTGCTGATTATGAACTGTAACAAAAGCTGCTAATCGCGCACAATAGCATCGCCGCTATAACTTATTTGACACCTTCTGGGTACGCTGATCTTCTTCCCCTTAATTTCAAAATGTAAATGCCAGCTTTTAGACTGTTACGAAATTCTATCCCAATTCCCATGGGCAGGATTCGTATTTATGCATTGTCCACTACATGTACGGTAACAGTAATTGCTTTAATAACAACTAACCATGCCCAGCATGCATTGTGAATGAAATCTATATGAAATGTGTATGCTTTGTAGCACCTTACCGGGTTTATTACCGCATGCAGGCTGCTGTATACCAGAACGTTTGATCCCGACGATATTTTAACGACACCATCTGTGTGATCTTCAGCGCGTGCGTTATTCGAAGACGAGTAATTTAAGACAGCAGAACGGCAAGATCATCAGTTTTAGATTTTACAGCATTTCCGGTAAGGTAAGACAGTGCACTGTTTCCGTCTGAGCTGCATATGTACAAGGTGAACAACATACGCAAAGCTGATGCAGTAGACAAAGCAACAGAAATAATAAGAATGATTTGGAAAATCTTCCATGGCTCCATGATTTCCATCCAAGCACTACGAAGATTTCAAGTTGTCTCACATCGCTGGTCAGTTGTACAGACTGTACACTGGTAACTGGTTTCCTGATCCAGTTCGGGTGTGCAGCGTCGTCATTAAAGCCCCTTGTGCCACTCCACTGATATTTTGGAGGCGTCAGCCTGGTCACGTAACAAATCTGTAATTTACAAAATATCATATTAATTTTTTAATCTGCTTAATTAACACAGATTGTAAAACCTTATGTAAACAGCGTCGTACAAAAGGGAAGGTTTTTTGCCCTGCATGGGCAATTAAAATTTAAATGAACACTTAAATTTAATATTTTCCTTGTATGCAGGGATATGAAACGTTATCAGTTCACCCTCGTTTCACTTTTGAACTTAAATAATATATATAATATTCGCCACAACAACTAAGTAATACTAGCATCACTGATCATTACAACTCATATGCTCTAACAATATTCGTACAAGCTGTAATATTGTACTCGAGCTCGTAAAACTAATACTGGCATCATTGATAGCTTTTACCAGTAAAATTCAGTAAAATTCACGAATAATTTGACTAAGGTCTCTTTTGACTAAAGTATCATAACGCTTTGTGCCATGTATCTATTGATCCACTATTTTAGTATATTAGTGTGGTTAACGTACGATTATAGCAGCTGTAAACGATTTGCACCCCGCGCTTCTGGCACACAGGATTAGTAGACGGATCCCGAGAGTCTAATCTACAGAATCCCGGCTTATTTGGTTGGGACAGTGGACACAGTTTGTCCTTTTTGGGGATGTCCGAGTGCTTGCATTTGTCGGTTTCCACGGCTCCAAAGATGTTCATCATGACGTACCATGCACCGTGCACAGCCACCGATAGGTTCGGTTTGCACTTAACGGTCAAAAACTCCCCGTAGGGAATCAGCGCTACGCGGGCCACGCCAACTAAGGGGTGGCCGGTTTGACGATTGCTGAGAATGACAGCCGATGAACTGGGCTCCTCGTTTGGAAGCTCAGCTATCACCAGAATTACCTAAAAATATGGCAGCAATATATTTGTTATACAGCGTGTATGCCAGCCGTTTTGCGTAACCAGCATTACCGAAGTAACGGTATTTAGCACTATAAAATCTGAACTTATAAAAATTGGTACCATATGTAATGAATTATGTGATTTTTTGATTAACGGAACATTGGCAAAATAAAGTGAAATTAGAGCATACATTTGCATTTAGCGTTTTGAATTTCTTACCGCTAACAGTGATCAGTATAACTTCGCACATACGAATGCTGCTAATGTTAGCAACTATAAAAAAGATATTCTATTATTACAAAATGCCCAGGTTAATAAAGTAGCGGTAACAAAGAAGCGCAATTGAATGGCATAGCCCAAAAAGTCATTCGGTGATTTTCGAAGTTACTGTAACTATAAGTAAATCGTCGTCGAAATAATATTGTGGTAAAGCTCAAACAGCCAGTAGAATTCGAGAATAATATTAATTTTGTCTTACCGCTAGGGAAAAATTAAGAGTTTTTGCTAGCATGGTTTTGTGGAAAAAAAATTAAGGGAAGTTCCAGCTAGAGATTTCAGTTAAAAAGGTAAACCGGAAGGTAATGATCATGTTTATATACCAACATCAAAGGGCGTTTGAACCTTGGGAAACATCGCAATGTCAAAAGTTCAGGCAACGAAATTGTTTTGGTTGCATAATGCCAGCGGTATGTACACGTGCCGTTCAATAATCGCATAATTCAAAATTATGCATTTATCACCGGTTTTTGATGCACTAAGCAGATGAACTCAAATCACTCATTTTGCGTACGAGCTTAACAGTTGGCTATTACGCCGAATCATTACGGATGTAGGAAATCTCAACCGACAGTGATTGTAGTGCTAGTTGTTAGCTAGAACAGGAATTAATGTCTATCGCGAACTTTTTGTTTGCCCGTTGCCGCTATAACGGTTTACTTGATATTTGTACTGCTTATTGCTTCGTTTTTTCCTGTGCCCTTAACTTTAAACTAGAAATCTGGAAAAAAAAAGATTGCCTTCATGTTAAATTAATATGTTCCGGTATACCAGAACATTTGATCCCGAAGAGCTTTTAAAACTCCATTCGTAATATTTTCAACGCGTGCGTTGGTTCGAAAGCGTTAATTTAAGATGGCAGCACGGTAAGCATTATTTACCGCACTTTTTTAAAAACGTGAACTGTTTTCTTTCGGGGTTTGTAGTTAGCACGAGTATGTACCTTCAGTTTAATACAGTAAATTCAGGTATCAAAATGTACGCAGTAGCAAAAAAAACATTTTCAGAAATCACCATGTTTAGGAATTACAGATACTCAGCTGCATGACTTCATGCAAGCCTTACGAAGATTTCAAACTAATGGCCTTACATTGGTCAGTTACTTGGTTAATAGTCATAATTATCATATACTTCTGAAGTATGTGAAATATTACGGGTACGTCTTGTAGTGGTTTCTCTTCAAATTCGGGCGCACAGCGTAGTTACTCGTACTAAAGGAGCTTGGTCTGCGTCACCAGCAGGTGCCATATCTGGAATTATTGACAAATCAAATGTTTTTTAGTTTTTCATGCAGCTAACATAAACGATAACATTTATTTGATGTTTCAACTTTTAAACTGAAAAATACGACTATTGCTGTTGAGCATCATTGATTAATTTTAACAGTAACATTTAAGAATGATTTGGCTATGACTGTCTCGTTTGATGATTGGTTAACTTGGCCATGCCTTGTAATAATTATTATATACTATGTATCTGTACTCGTATTTTAGCAAATCAGTACAAGTACGGTCATATAGCCATGGCATAAAATCTCAGATTTATTTTGCCATGGTAGCGTATTGTTTCGGTATCAGCTTCACGTACACAGTTACAAGACGAATGACACGCAGAAATGCAATAAATGCAAAGTTTTTGCAGTAGAAAAGAAACAGGAATAAACCGATTTCACTTCAAAAGATATTCACAATGTTGTTACTTTGTCCTCTTCAAGTTCAGTGTACGGGCGTTCAGTGTCATCCCTCTTGGGACTTGTGCTACTCTAGCTAGGTTCCACCATGAAAACGCGAGCGTACCATCATATAGATATTATTATGATTCTATCAGTTCACAGCTGTAGACAATCTGCAGCCCGCGTTTCTGGCATGCCGGATCAGTCGAAGGATCCCGAGCTTGGAGTTTACAGAATCCCGGCTGATTTGGTTTGGTCTTTAAACACAGTCCGATCTTGTTGTCGACGTCCGAGTGCTTGCAGTTATCGGTTTCTGTGGCTCCATCTTCATTCAACAGCACGTACCATGCGCCATGCACAGCTACCGATTTGCCCTTTTGGCACTTAACGGTCACAAACTCTCCGTCCGGAATCAGCGCCACGCGGGCCCCGGTAATTGTGGAATCGCCGGCATCGCTGGTGTCGTGATCGTTGATCGTCACTTTCGGCGAGCTGGGCGTCTCGTCGGGACGTTCAGCCACCACCAAAGCAATCTAAAATGGCAGAAACGTATTTTTTATAATATTATACTGTTTATGCGCAAGCAGAACTACCACAGTAACTACTAACTTCGATCATCGCGTGACACGGTATAAAACACAGTTACTACAAATAGTTATATGTAACGTATTTTATACATTGTGCAACGAACGGAATACTGCTAAACTGAAATGATTAGCGTTTCTGATTTCTTACCGTGACGGTCAGCATAAGCACCTTTCGCAGCATTTTTTAACAAAGTGAACCCAACAAAGGCTAAGGGAAATCTGTTATGATCCGTTAAAAATCGAATTCAGTTTTAATGGTAGATATTTTTTGGGCAGGCTTTTTATACAACCATAGACGATTGAACCCAGTACTTCTACAGTATGCCAATTTGCCATGGGGCACGTTACGCCGGGATTTTTGAAACTACCGGCAAACAGGACACAGAATTTCTGCAGTAGGTCTATTCGTTCGATACCTATGGCATCCGTTGCGGAAGTGAGTTGCTCTGCGGTTTGTTACAAAGTAAAGCGTACACCACAGTGTAAATTGTAAATTATTTGTTTGCGGGCAGTTTTGACCGGTATTGTTCTGAGTCTGTGCGACGTGAAAACCTTAATCGCGTCGGCTAATTACGTATAAGATACCCGGTACCCGCAATCTTTTACACTGGCTGGAAAGGAGCTTTGGAAATAATGACAACGCATTTTAAACGCATGGTACTCTGCGTGCCATTCTTCTACTCGAGTAGTTTTATCCAAGAGCTCTGTGAGTTTCGCGACAAAACTAACCGTAAGGTAGACGGTAGAGCGCGCCGTATGAATTGCTTTTCGCGCCAGTATATCTGTATAAACTTATGAAACTGTAATAACTGTAATCCTGTGATCAATTTCGGAGATACATATCTATTTTATAAGTAGAAACATTTTCGAGATTTATATCTATAATATTATTACGAGTATTTATCGATGAAGTGCAATCGGTACCGTCAACAGCCAGTAACCACACAGCAATGTATGCTGTGTCGGGTTGACCAATAGAAGTATTCATATCGAGTCCACCGAATACAGAATTCGATAATGATTTCTTTTACAGTTTCTTGTACGGTATATCTGTTACGGCTATAACAACGACATATTCTGTTATCCGGAAAGGTGAAACGCGATTAATTTATCTTGATGCTAAAATAGCTTTGACTTGCGATCGGTAAAAGCGCTACATATGCTCCTGCAGTTTAACTTACAGGTACAATGCAGAAACGTTTCAACTGGTGCGATGCGTTTTTTCAGTTCTGCTACAAGGAGGTGCAGAAACAACAAAGGAAACATGGGATCCTTCATTCACCCCTATCTTCCTGTGGCTCCCTGTAGTGCAGTTGTTACACAGTTTGTCATAGGACGTGAGTTGTTACCCTGCCGGTGACCGATGCCGATCCGACGGCCGGACGCCACAGTTTAAATGCGGCTCGAGTATATACGGCTAATGAACATCTGTGCATCTGGTAGTGTCGGTGATCGACGGACACCACATTTTTCATAATGGTATGACCTTTATCCCCGTGCGCGACGGTAAAGCGATTGCATGGGATGCGACATGTTGGGAAACTATGGCTCGGTCTCACGTGCACGCTAGCTCGATAATGGCAAGAACTGCAGCGCAATGGGCTGAAGAAAGCTACAGCCAGAAGTACCTTTCGTTGTGGATTTGAGTTATGTTATCAAAATATTCTCTGGCAGTCGAAACACCTGGGACATTTGGAACGGCCTTCGTGGAACTAATCCCTTTCGTCGACGGGAAGAGTCGTAAAGTAACCGGAGAACTTCGATCTAATGCCTATTGCCTTTTTGTAAATGAGTCTAGAGGAGGTCAAAGGAAATGCAGCAGCAACGATTTCGGATGTTTTTTCAATGTTTACGAGTTTTTTCCAATGTTTTCTCGTAATTCGATCATTTTAATCAGTGTAAACCGTGTAAATCTGCGGTGGCTTATTGGCTATGGATATGTGTACTGACTGAAGTTGAAATAGAAAAGAATCTAATCTTCCATAATTGTCGAACATACAGGACCTCCGTTACGCTTCGATGAGTTCGGTCGAAAGTTGAAGGAGAGTGCAATGAAGAACTAGTTATGCGTAGCAGAGGGGAAGGATACATGTTCTTTCTATTATGGGCGACTTTTGCACCTAAACGTACAGCGATTGGACAACAGATTTTGACAAATGCCAGCGAGCTGCGGGGAATATTGGTCTCGTACATACTGCATACACGAGCATCCATCGCTCATATATGGCAGAATTATGTATTTACATATCACCTGTTTCCGATACATTTGACATATGAACCCAAATCACTTACTTTGCATGTTAACAGTTGCCACTTTTGTCGAATGCATTACGGATGTAGGAGACCCTTTCCAGACAAAAATTTTCAAAATTTTCATTCGACATACGCTTTTCCGGGTGCCTTTAACTTTAAAATGTAAATTTTTGTTTTTAAGCGAGAAGAAATTCCATCCCATCTGCAGCGTGCATATGCATGATGCGTGGTACTAGTATGCATTGTCCACTACGGTAGAAGCAGAATGATGTTTCCTGCATTCAGTATGAGTGAGCTTCTCAGCAAATTCATCGTCTTTCTGGTGTCAGCTTTTTATATAATAAAGTAGCGTGGCTTTGCCGGGTTAATAATTCATATTTTCCACTATGGCATACATGAACATTTTACCCTTAATAAGGACTGAGATGTTAACGACATTATCTGTGCAACCTTCGGCGCGTGCACTTATTTCAAGTTGGTTAATTTAAGACTACAGAACGGCGAAAATATCAAAACTGCAGGTTTTTCAGTATTTCAGGTGTCTGGTATGTAGTACATGGTAGCGTACTGTTTCGGTCTCAGCTTCATGTACATAATTACAAGACAAATGACACGCAGAAATGCAGTAAATGCAAAGTTCATGCAGTAGAAAGAAACAGGAATAAACCGATTTCACTTCAAAAGATATTCCCCATGTTGTTACTTTGTCCTCTTCAAGTTCAGTGTACGGGCGTTCAGTATAATTATCATCCCTCTTGGGACTTGTGCCACTCTAGGTTGAATGATGCAGGACGTAACCTCGCTGGAATTGAACAATCATAATTTTCAATGTTTATGTGGCTAACGAAAATATTTACGAACAATGACTTAGGATGTGCAAAAGAGGATGCAGTACAGTGTTGCCGTACCGTCATAGCAGCTGTAGACAATCTGCGCTCCGCGCCTCTTGCACAAAGGATGAGTAGAAGGATCCCGAGAGTACAGTCTACAGAGTCCCGGCTCATTTTCTTGGGACTCCGGGCACATTTTATCCTTGTCGGGGATGTCCGAGTGCTTGCAGGAAGCGGTTTCGATGGATCCAAAGGCGTCGAGCATCACGTACCATGCACCGTGTACACCCACCGATAAGCCCATTTTGCACTTAAGGGTCACAAACTCTCCATACGGAATCAACGCTACGCGGGCCACGCCAACTAGGGGATGGCCAGTTTGATAATTGCGGAAGGTAACAGCCGATGAACTGGGCTCCTCATTTGGAGGCTCAGCCACCACCAGTACAACCTAACATGGAGATAATGCTTTTGTTATACACTGATGCTATGCGTAACCAGCTCTACCGCAATAACCATAATATTATGTAAGACCAAAAACAAACATCGAAATTAATAAAAAAAGGTGCCGTATGTTACGAATAAACGGATCTTATGCATTATGCAATTAACTGTATGATAATAAAATAAATTGAAATGCGATCACATTTAGCGTTTCGACTTCCTATTAATTCCATACCGTTGACAGTGACCACTACAACTCTGCTGCTACTGCTGCTAATACTGAAAACGATAAAGGTTATTTATTGTACACGTATTATTGCTGTATTAATTAGTATTGTACCCAAGTTAATAAAGTAGCAATGCAGAGAGAGTCATGGCTGAATGGCGTAGCCCTACAGCCCTATTTTGACGATTTTCGAAAATAAGTACATAAGAATATATGTGATTGTATCATCGTAGAAATTACGTGGCAGAGTGTAACTTCTAACAGTAAACACAATATAATTCAAGGCGGATATTAATATTAATTTTTTCTTACCGTTAGACAAAACGTGAGAATTTTCGCCATCATGATGCAGTATACAAAAAAAAACGAGAGGCTGTTTCAAGAGGCTGGAGGAGGTTTCTTGGTCACAAATACAAAACAGAAGTTAAGGATGCATGTTTATACGCTACCATCAGAAGACGATAGCACCTACAGATACAGCGCAATGTCAGTTACCTAATGCTAGCGGTGAGAACACGTGGGTCATATAATGCAAAATTATGCATTAATTACCACCTGTTTTTGATACATTTAGTCGATGAACTCACGTCATTCATTTCGTCTGCGAACTTAACAGTTTACCCTTTTGCCGACTTCAATACGGATGCAAAAAAACCCTTACGGACGGTCATTGATAGGGCTGATCATAAGATTTACTAATAATTATTGTCACTCGCGAATAGCAGGTTTGCCCATTGCCGCAACATTCACGGTTTACTTAATATTTATGCACCGTCGGTTTTCCTCCTGCGTTTTTCTTTGGGCCCTTAACTCAAAAAATTAATGTAAATTTTAGATATTTGGCTTCAGCCATTGGTTTTCCGTTTAACAATATCTTTGCAACATGTTGATTAATTACTCGTATAAGCATTAGGCATTATGTTTAGCGATTCGTTGACACAAGTTCACCCACCTAACATTAACCTGCGAAATGGTTATTAAAGAAACAGTTATCAAAGTGGCATGTATCCATTACGGCTACAAATTACTTCTTTTATCCAGAAGGTAGAACGTGATAACTTTTTTGTACGTCAAATGTCTTTGACCTGCGATCAGTAAAAGGTTACATGTATACACTCGCAGTTTCGCGTACTGGGACTGCAACGATTGAGTGCGACCTTGGGATTCTTCGCATAGTATTTCCTTGTTGCAGTAAATACAATTGCAATTTCAAACAAACCTGCAGAAAGTTTGACCTGTAAATGGCAAAATGCATTTGTGTGTCAAATCGCTTTGCAAAGCGTAACCGTGCGGTCTGATTTGAAACTGTGGCACAAATTTATCCACAAGCGTTTACATGAAGCAGAAGAAACGATAGTTATTGCTCTTACTAGAAAATACCGGAAATACAAAATGTAAGAACAATAAAACAGAAATACTAGTATACATACATAATTCTGAATAAGTTTTTATAAATATTTGTATTTACATAAAGCGAATTTTGTGTACTGTATAATAATTACTGGATTACTCGACGTGGACAAGTCGTACTGGAGTGCTCCACGTAGTTTGATGACGACCAGTCGTGAGTCCGTGACACTACTTTTCACCTTTAATGGAAATATTATGGCAATACATTGCAGTCTGAATATCTATATTATAGGACCTGGTGGCGGTGGGCGGAAAGCTTTGGTCTGTTCTTTCTGTTTGTATTCTAGGCAATGGTCAGCATGCAGCAGCCGTTCGCAGTGTATGCGCTCATACTTGGCACTGTGTCCGGCAATGATCGGGATTTAAAATGATTTTTATCCTTTAGAGGTTGTTCTCGCTTGTACGCGGGTGTTTTTGTCAGTAAACAATAAAGCACCTCCCATTTCCATATTGCATTGTTGAGTGCACAGTAACAGAACCGAGGGAACAATAATGCGCCGGCACACCACGTGCGATCACTGTTATTTGCAAACAAAGTGCCCATCCTCGAGTGCCGCATGCTTCACATGTACAGCTGTAACTGACATCAAGTTGCGGAATTTATTGCCGCCTTTGCTAATGCCACGAGTTTGAACCCGAGTTATTGTTATGCGCACACGCGCTGATAAAGACCCAAATTGCAACAGTGTAACGCAACAGTAATAATTAATACGACACTCATAATAATTTATATTCGTAGCAGTCTGGACAAGACCTTGACGCTTAAAGGTCAACGGCACTCTACGCGGCAAGCAAAACGATGCATTATGCAATTGATTTCTACTTTCAAGTCTGCAACACAATAAATGCGTTTATATCCGTATATAGCATAAAATTTTGCCATTTCCATGCGTCCTGCAGAAAAAGTACATAATTCAACAAATAAATACGATTGCGGTAGAATTTTTATATGAAATCAAACAACGATATTTTTTATGCACCGTTTGAATCTGGCTGTTGTTCGAGACGAAGCGCAGGGGCGTTGGGAAGAAAACGCATGTACTCGTACGGTTAGAAATGTTCCACGATATAGCACTAAATTTTTTAACAATTGATAACAAAATTACGGTGGCAGTTTACATACGTTTGTAAAGTTACATTATACAGCAGTTTTAACTGGTTCTGGAAAAACTACACAGCAAGTCGCTTTCTCAACGGAGAATACAGGAATCCAGAGAATAAACCCTGCAGAAATTTCTTGTCCTGTTTCCCGGCAGTTGCCGGGTTATCTTTTCCGTCCTGTGGTAGTCGAAAAACTTGGGATGCGCGGAACGTAACGGTCTTCGCGGAATTGATTTGTTTCGTCGGCCGGAAGATTCGTGAAGAACCCGGAGAACTTCGCTCTATTGACGTATGGGAGTAGGATCATACGCCGGATGTACGAACTGGATGCTGACTGTCCGCCTTCCACCTGCAACACAACGGATAATCTAGTCAATCTCTTCTGTGATTTGCTGTTCTCTTTTACTAGCGATGTATATGATGTCATAACGCGAAGTCTATATAAGTTCTTGTGATGCCTAATATCGGTATCAGTAGTCTGAGATTTACTTCTGAGACTGCTTTCTAATTACAATTTCCTAGCGTTGTGAACTGTGATGTGTATTGGATAAAGAGACAGCAATACTTGTTCCTACGGAAGTGCATAGTCGTTCCCGGATTATCGCTTAGTATACAGGTTTGCTCGTGACACAATCGTCCTAGCTCTTGCCGATCCTCACAGGACTTACGACCGGAAGTTGTGGTTAGCGTGTTCCTGAGGGATTCCTGAGTTCCCGTGTTCCTGATTCATTCGTCTTATTTCCACCATAGTTCTTCTGTTACAGTTTGAGAGTACGAGTGCCTACCGACTGACATTACAGGCGTGGAAGAGTAAAGATTGTTCATGGAGCCTTAACCGGCGTGAACGCTTATACACGACATGGCGCCCACCGGTGTCTTTTAATTTTCCCGATGTAACAGAAAATTATTGGTGGAAAGTTTGATGGTAATTTTCGGTAAAAAGTGGTCCGTTTTTGAAAGGCGTCGAACCGCAAAGGTACGCCGAAGGAGGTCAGCGTTCCCGATCTGGCCTAGTTAATTTATTTTAGCGAGCTTCCTCGCAATTGTGAGCTTCCTCACTGGTGAGCTTCCTCGCCAATTAAATTAATTTAATTTAAATTGGACCGTAGGAATTTAACAGTCGAAACCTCAAAGGTCGGCTGTGTAATTTATTGGTATCTGTGTGGGTAATTTCCGGGTTGTCTGCGCAAAGCAGTAACCGCGGCGAATAAAGCGTAATCTGCAGTGTCAGTGTACCTGGCCTGCAGATAGATCAGATAGTAAGCACCGAACCATTGTCAGTGGCCAGGTGAGATAACGATCTCCAGCAAACTGATAGATCGTTATCGTTATCTAAGGCAAGCCGCAAGCGGTAGCCAAAATCAGCAGCTAGAGAGAGTTGACCGTGAAAAAGGTAAACACCGGCAAACGGTGATTGACCTGTGAATTTTAAAATTACTGTAGCACGCAGAGTGCAGCAGCGTAATTTTAGGAAGTTGTTACAGTCGAAACCGCAAAGGTCGACTGCCTTTAAACCATCACTGAACAATTCAAACCTCAAAGGAGGATTGGGAAGTGATTGTTATTGCACAATAGCAATAACGGTATTGGTCGGAAACGGTAGCACAATCGCTGCTGTATGTAATATTTTAATTAGCCGCAAAGGTTAATTTTAAAATAAAAGCAAAATGTCGGGCGGTTCGATTCCTAGAAATTGCCCACCACCGCGTAAAATTCCAGACAACAAAGTGATTATTGGGGCGTACGATGGGTCGAGAGCTCAGACAAGGTTCAAATTCAACGCAAAAGAAATTCCGTTGAATTTGATGTACCTTGCTCTTAACGTTGAACCACCAGAAGCACAAGATGCATTCTGTGGAAAGTCATGGATTGATTACCAGGAAATCAGGCGGTACTTAAACTCCAAAACGAGATTACCAGCACATTTTAAACCCTGGATTGAGTACGAGGGATGTATCCCTGAAGCTTACCTGGACATCACGGATGAGCAGTTTAAAGCGGCTGTGCAAGATGCAAACAGGTGGCTGCCAGAATATACGGAAGATTTGAATAGACGCAGAGAGGCGGCCCAAGCTGCACTAACAGCGTCAAAAGCAACCGGAAAAACTCCCAAAAAACAGGCAGCAAATGAGCGCGTCACGCGCGGTGCCAAGGAGAGAATTCCAGCTCAGGCATCCGGTGTGATACTGGATGAACCCATATCGGAAACTCCAAGCGTGGCTGAGAGTCACACAGAACCCCAGTCGTCCCAGTCGGACAATAATTTGATAGCGTTGTCAGCTGCGGATAAAGCGGATATATCCGAGGGATCAGAAACAAGAGCAAATAAAAGCATTCGTGGTGGAACAATGACATTCCATCCGGCACAATTAAAATTACATAGTTTTGTGTCAGAAAAAGATTTTGAGCAACCAGATGAAGACTTTCTTACTCAAGCTAGGGAAGTCGATGAGCAGTTAGCTGCGGCAGAAACTGACCAGGACGTGGGCTTGATAGTTCGGCAAACTATGCCCGTATTGATACAAAGTCTCCGCACGCTCATCGCATCTACAAAAACAAAAGGAGATGAAATGGGTAATACAATGTCTTTAGACGCTCGTGTAGATGCGGAACGAAACGAAAAATTGAAATTCCAAAACGATTTCAATGAGATGCGTGTTAAATTCGAAAATGAACAAATAGAAAATGATAGATTGGCTAACGAAATACGTATTGCGAATGATAATTTACACAGTCTAAGACAAGCCAACAGAAATGCGGAGGCCGCATTTAATGCAATGCAAGATGAGCGCGATACTTTAAAAGACACGAATCGTAATTTTGAAAAACAGTTGGAAGATGCTCAGAGAGATCTTTCAAACGCGAAAGCTACGATTGATGGCCTCAGTGCTCATCCAACACCGGATACGGCAAAACAAATTGCTGATTTAGACCAAATATTGAATAAAGCACTGAGGGAATTGTCTGCCGAAAAAGATGCGCACAATGTCACAACTAAAAAACTAACTGATGAGCAGAATTTGTCCACGAAACTTACTAAAGACTTGGAAGCCGAAAAGAAGCGGGCTAAAGACGCGGAAGACTCTCTACAGCGTGAACTCACACAAGCGAGAGTGCAGCTGAATAACAAGTCTTCGGTCGGCCCGATGCATATTCCCAAGGAAAAGGATGATGCGTCCCAAAAAGAAATTGAAAGATTGCAAGGGCTGTTGACCACAGAGCGAGAGAATGTTCAAAAGGCCCAAAAGGAATTAAAAGATTCGAAAAAAGACAAAAGATGCGATAATTGTGAGAACGCGATTCAAGCGAAAAATACAGCACAGGCTGACGCTTACGAAAAGTCTGAAAGGTGTAATCGGCTGTATGAAGAAAATGCGCAATGCCGAAAGGAATGGCATGAAAAACAAGACCAACTTACTAAGATGGAAATGGACCTAAAGCAAGCGTATGACGAACTTCGTCGGCTTCGAAATTCAGATGCTGCTCTTGGCGGCGGTGAAGGATACTTTCAAAGGGAAGCGCCGGTAGCAACAGGAGACGTATTACGTCCTCCTGCTTTTACACCATTTAATCCCCAAAATTTCTCGTCATATGTGGATCAGCCTATAGTTACTGGCAGTAATCCGGCTGGCATCTTGCGGAGACCTAGACAGGAATCGCGAGTCGAATTCTCGGAAGCTCATTCCATGCCGCGTTCATCGTCAGAAAGTCAAATTCCAAGGGAAACGGCACCTGCCAAACAGAGGAAAAATGGCTCAACAGATTTACGCCAACAAATTCTGAAACGAACAGCTGACGAATCTAGTCGCCAGATGCGAGGAACAGAAAATAGAGACAGCTCTGATACAGAAAATGAACTGATGGATGATGCCCTGATGGAGGATGAACACCGTCGCCCCAGTAGCACGGCCAGCAATGAGTCTATGTCCAGAAATCCTCAACTGGAGGAATGGCTGAATAAACAGACCCAAATTTCGGATAGAACGACGCTTACACAAGAAAGCGTTGTTGAACTTTTAGCGAAATTTGTGGAAAAGGACAGCGATAAAACGGTAGGTGGCATGAAGCTCCTTGCCTTTGACGATGCTCATCCAGAAAAAATTCAAAGATGGCTCATGAATGTTGAACAATGTAGAGCCACAAATAATTGGAATGATGAAACAACATGTCGCAGAGTAATTGGTGCATTCACCGGTCCGTCTTTTCAATGGTTTGAAAAATTCTGGAAGGACAATAAGGGCAAGTCGTGGTCAGATTTCTTTAAGCCGACTATTGTAGAGCACTTTAACGGCTCTCTTTCTAAAGCCGATATTCGCCGAAAAATGAATAACCGCAAATTGGAGTTCTATGAACCAGTTCGTGCTTATCTGGATAGTTTCCTCCCATGGTTTGAGGAACTAAAAACATCTGACGAAGAGCAGGTGGAAGCACTTCTTGATGGCGTGCAGGAGCATCGACCGGCGTGGTTCCGAGACATTTATAATGCGGCACCTAAAAATTATGCGGAATTTGAAAAGAAGTTACAGGAATGCGAAAAACTGTGGAAGCGCATGAATAAAGATAAGAAGACACCTGAATCAACTCAGAGAAATGCTCCTGCGGAGCCCAGAAGTGCCGGCAATAATAATAATAATAATTCGAATTATGAAAATCGAGGCGGCCGCGGTGGCTCGTCTCAGAGAGGAAATTATTATTCGAACCGGGGAGGCCGCGGAAATTATGGCAACAATCGTGGTGGATATTCACGTTCGTACACGGAAACGGTGATTCCGCAACCGCAGAATTCGGGGACTCCAATCCAACCTGTCCTGAATGTTCCCCAGCCGCAATTTGTTCCAGTTCCGGTGTATTCACAGCCACCATTCGTTGAACAACACCCGGTACAATTTGCGCAGACCTTCCCACAGCCAATTCCTATGCAGGCTCCTATGCCTGTCCCAGTTCAAATGATGAATCCAATGATGCCGGTTATGCAGCCGCAATTTCAACAACCGGTACAGAATTTTGATCTACAGTACCAACAGAATGGTCCTGCGAATAACAATAGCTATGATGGCGGTAATAATCGTGGAAATTACCGAAATAATAACAATAATTATCGCGGACGCGGAGGGTATAGAATAATAATAATCGTCAGCAAAATAACCAGAATTACAGACAAAATCAGCAGGCCGGGAGTCAGCCTCCCTTTGATGAACGAAATATCCTGAAAGATAAATGGCGAACAAATCGCGGAGTCGAGATTTGTTTCCGCTGTCATGGTCTGCATCCGGCTGCAGGCTGTACGAATCAGTTTGTCCTGCCTCGACAGTATGAACCGTCTGCAGAATTGTTGGCAAGGTACAACAACCCGCAGCAACAAATTAATATGATGGAGTTGGACCTACCTGCTGGTTTGTCTTCTCCGACGCCGCAGTGTAACAAAATGGAAGTCCAGGACTTTTCGCAGTATCCTCTAGCGGATCATGTGTGTCTGTTGCCGACGCTTGATGCCCAGGCTTGGTATTCTGTAATCGACATTAACTATCAGAAAGTGAAGACTATGCTGGATACGGGTTCTAGCATTTCCGTTATGTCTTTAAAAATGGCAAAAGATTTAAAATTAAATATTCATCGTTGCCCGGATCACATTAAAGGCAGAGTCGTCCACACAGCGTATCAAGGAAGACAGTTGATCGAGCCGTTGTCAGTAGTGGTTACAATCCACGAATTTGGGATGGCTTTTGAGCACGCAATGCTTGTGAGTTCCACTTTCGATAGGGACCACGTTGTTTTAGGTTTGGACTTTTTAGCTACAAAGCCTTTTATTTTAGATATGAACACTATGACTTGGCGTCTCTCCCGTAGACAGTCTAACGCTCCGGCATTCTTTCGCCGCGAAACTCACCTGATGTCGGACGTCATTAGGTCACACGATTTTGATCCGTTAATTCCTGTGGGAGTTAAGCCATCCCCTGCAATCCCTGCGTTGATGTTGACAGAGCGCATTGGCGTCGCTAAAGAAGCAAAATTTGTACCATATGAGTCAGCTCATTTAATTCTAGCAAAGGCTGATCCAGAAATTTGTATTCTTCACTTACAAAAGGCTAAGCAGGAGTGGCCGCGTCCAGTCGCGCCACCACCAGTGACTAAAGTGGCTGATGCCCCGGTGAAAACGGAAGTTAAGGAAACTACACCAGTCCAGTTAGCCCCGATTAAAAAGGGATCCGATCAGCGTGATGAAGAATTTGTGCGTAGTGTAGTACAGGAGATGATTCGTCAATATCTCCCGAGAGCAGCTTCCGTCGCGGATGAACCTGTTCGTCCTGCAATTAAGCAAGAGATTAAAGTAGAGAAAAACCCAGAACCAAGTCAAGTTCGTGGGGGAGGCGGTGAAACAATTGTAAACAGTATGCAGTCAAGTTCGCGGGGGAGAGAACAGGCGTCTTCCCAGCCGCCATTTAAAAAGGAAAAAGTTTTACAGCCATTACCGGCAAGCAACCCGATTACCTCGTCTTCGTCATCGGTCAGTACAGTGTCTAATTCCGGCTCTAGTCAAGTTCGTGGGGGTGACGATTCCCTGCAACTTCCGATTCAGATTTCTTCTGTGGACGCAGTATTGAAACAGCATCCTGCAGCAAAATATCTATACATGGGAGTTTTGGAGAAATCAGCGAAGGTGGTCGAATGTCTTAGCATGGATAACAAATTGCTTAATGTTATACCTGTTGAGCGCGACCGCAGAGAAGTCGATGAGGTCCACGATTATCCGTCTTACATGGCACGGAATCCAGAGTTGAAGAAGTGGATGACGCCGATGGATAGGCCACAGGATAAACAATTGTTTCCATCGGAACAACGTTTCAGAGATCCACAGTTTTGGCGCGAAACTCAGCAGCAGTGTGTTGATAGCCGGATGTGGTACAAAATGTACAAAAAGCCGTCGCATGCTAATACGAATTTCACAAAGTACGAGATTAATCGGTTTATTATCTGCGAAGGTATATTGTGCAGAGTACCCGATCATAGTGGTGCTTGCCCGAGAATTTACGTGCCGCATCAATGGCGACAAAAGTTGATAGCCTGCTTTCACGAAATTCTAATCCATAAGCAAGCGTACGGCCGGCATGAAAAGTTATATCCGTACTTAGTGAAGTTATTTTACTGGCCAGACTGTATAATTGAAATTGAACGGTACGAAAAGAACTGCGACGTATGTCGAAACTCGATTAATGACCGTCGGCATTTTGAAACGATTAAAAGAAATGAACAGTTGACCGCACAGAAAGCTACAGGAAAACGTAAGGTTACCTTTTCCGTGGATAACCCGGCACCAGCAGGTGAATTTGAAAATGGTAGCTTTATCCCCGCGGAAAGCATGAAGCCCATTAATATCGGCCCGTGTCCGGTCTCCTATGAAGATAAACAGGCGGAGAAGCAAAGGGAAATAAATTCTCAAATGATTAGTAACTCACCGCCGCCGAAGCCGTCGGAGTTCGTTTCAGAGGATGTCAGAGCGACCTATGATGTCTCGACAAATGTTAATATGAATGAACAGTGGGAAATCTGGAATGAGATCCAGAAACAAAAAGCGTTGAGTGAATCTGCAGCTGTCAGTCTAGTCCAACCCACCGTGGGAAATTATGAACCGTCACCGGAAGGTTCGGGAAGGAGTTCTCCTCGGCGTAAAAAGTCCAGTTACAGCCGTAGAATCAGACGGGAATATGCGGAAAGAGAGGCGGCAAGCCAGATGTCAGCTGAGACAGTGCAGCCAGCACTGGCAGTACAACAGCCGGTGGCTAAAAATTTGCCCAAACGGTCTCAGGACGTCCGGGAATCCACGGATATCCCGGCATGCGTGTATTCGAAGGATGTCATCGAGCTGGCGTACAGGGACGCCCATCTGAACCAGGCACAAGCGCAGGTCGAAGTTAGTTCGGTAGAACACGATATTTACCGCTTCGAGCCAGAACCCGGTCCGATTGATTGCTTTAAAATGGAGTTATTTCCGGCTTCCCCCGGTGATAATCCAACCCCATTCACAGGGAATTATCCGCGCTACGACGTCGATGTCCGATGAGCAATTCATGGAATTCCAGGATGAGTATTTATATACTCAGCCCTTTCTCTACGAAGGAAAAATTCCAGAAACAAATAAAAATGCGGTATTGCTGGACGGCGTCTTAACGCTTAACGAATACGGAAATTGTCGAGTCTGCGTCGTTAACGTATCTGATAAACCGCTGGTTTTAAACGAAGAAACCAACCTTGGCGAAGTCGCGCTGGTAGATGCAGTGTACCAGATGGACTCTCCAGAGTTTCAGGAGAGTTGTCAAGAAGCGATTAGTGGTGTTCCCAGCGATGACAAGGGCATTCCAGTGCCGGGAAAAATTACCGAATGTGTGGCGATGCAGTCGCAGTTGTCCGCTCCTGTCTCTGTTGACCCTGAAACAGAGGAAACCTTCGCCAAAATTAAAGTTGGAGACATTTGCCCCAGCAAGGAAGAATTAAAAGCTATATTTTATCAGGCAAAATCAGTCTTACCGACTAAAGCGCGTCCTGTGGGATGCTGTACCATTTATGAGCACTCCGTGGACACAGGTCCGAGTTTGCCGGTCAGAACTCCTCCGTATCGCACGTCGTTCGAGGATCGAAAATGGCTCCAAGCTAAAACACAGGAAATGATTAAAGACGGTATCATTGAGCCAACAAATTCGGCGTGGGGCAGTCCCATATGCATCGTAAAGAAGAAGGATAAATCCCGGCGTTTAACCGTGGATTTCCGTAAGCTTAACGAACGGTTAATGGGCAGCAGTTACCCGCTTCCCAGAGTTGACGATATTCTAAATGCCCTTGATAAAGCAACGGTCTTTAGCAAGATTGACTTAAAGAGTGGATTTTGGCAAATAAAAATCAAACCGGAAGACCGATGCAAAACAACAATGGTTGGCGAGGAATTCACATTCCAATACAAAGTCTTACCTTTTGGGATGAAGGACGCGCCTTCGGCTTTCCAGCGCGCCATGGATTTAACGCTTGCAAATATGAAGTGGAGGAACGTGTTAGTTTTTATTGATGACATTATTGTCTTCAGTAAAAACCTGGCAGATCACATGCGGGATCTACAGGAGCTCTTCTTGCGGCTCCAGGAATGCGGCTGGACCATTAACCCTGAAAAAACAGAACTGTTTGTTAACTCGATTACCTTTTTGGGTCATACGGTCGATCAGTTCGGTATAAGTACAGATCCAGAGAAGATCCAGGCGGTTAAGGAATTTGGCCCTATAAAAGACAAGAAAGACATATTACGGTTCCTGGGCATGGTGGGATATTATCGCCAATTTATTAAAAATTTTCAAGAGATTGCGGAGCCGCTTCAGAAGTTGATTCCTAAAAAAGTTACCTTTGAATGGGGAACGGATCAGTGCAGGTCTGTGGAACAATTGAAGGAGGCCTTGGTGACGGCGCCGGTCTTGGCCCGTTATGACCCAGAGGCTTTGTCGCGAGTTATCGTCGATGCCAGTACTATTGCTGTGGGTGCAGTTCTTATGCAATGTCCCAAGGATAAACCGACGGACGTGCCAACAAACTGGCGTCCTATTGCATATTTAAGCCGCAAGTTGACTGAAACACAGAAAAGGCTCTACTTCCCTACTGAGCTTGAGGCCTATGCTGTTATTTGCGCTCTCAAAAAATGGAAACACTATCTTTCCGATTATCAGTTCGAAGTACAAACTGATCACCAAGCTTTGGTCTTCCTAAATAATATGCGTGATGCCGCTGGCCGCCTCGGGCGCTGGGCGTTGTATATCCAACAATTTAACACTAAACCGGTACATATTCCCGGTAAAGAGAACGTTATTGCTGACGCGTTAAGCAGAAATCCAGGAGAGCAACCGGAACCCGACTCCGACGACTCGGATATCGAGTTTGACTATCGGCAAACTTACCCTTTCGCCGGTGATGCCGCGATGATCGAGTGTTGTTTCGCTATCCTGGAACGAGACTACGTGGATATCCGTTTCGAGATGATGTCGGCCGAAGTTAAAGCCATTTCTGAAGAAGATATGAAGGCTTTTGATGCAGACAAAGTGCAGAAGCTCATTACTGACGATAAGGCTTCATACTGGGCTGAAGAGCAGTCTCGAGACGCGAGGATTGTCCGATGGCGACTGCTCCTAGAGAATAAAAAGGAAAAAAATGTCAGACCACGAGAAATTACATCTAAACAAATTTGCCGTGAAACAGGGCGTTGTTTATTATAAGTTCGAGTTAAACCGGAAGATCTATTACTGCATGTATGTACCTGTTCACTGGCGGCTTAGCTCCTTCAGGATAACCATGATTCCCCGTTAGCAGCACACTTGGGCGTCCTGGCCACCTATAAGAGGATGTATAAATATTTTTATTGGCCCCGTATGTTCGAGTCTGTTAAAAGTTATTGCGCTTCTTGCCCGGCGTGCCTTGCACAAAATCCTCTTACGGCACCGGCCGGCGCTCTCCAGTCAAACCCGACCGTTCCTCCTCGGTTAGTTTGGGCAATTGATGTTGCTCCGGCCCTCCCAACGACGGAATCTGGAAACAAAAACATAATTATTGCAGTAGATTACGGGAGCAAATACATTGTGGCTGAGGCGGTCGAGAGAAATGATGCCGCCACTCTGGCGTTGTTCTTTTATCGTCGTATTCTCACGGTCTTTGGCATGCCGGTACACATTACCTCAGACCGCGGCAGTAATTTCATGTCTGAGATGTTTCGGGAGCTTCTCGCTCTCGCTGGTGTTGCTCACGCACCGACGGCGTCAGGCCACCAGCAGGGTAACGGTCTGGTTGAAAAACGCGAAGGGGAAATCAAAAAGGCGCTAGCCAAGTATGTGAATGAGCAGCAAAGTGACTGGGACATATTCCTCCCAGCACTTTGTGCGGCATTTAACAGTAAGGTTGTGGAGCGAACGGGCCGTTCACCGTTCTTCATGATGCATGGCACTGAGATGCGCTTACCGATAAATAACTTCCTGCCGTTGGAAGAGGATTTTGTGATTCCCGCCCATGTACATGTACAGCAGATGCAACGCGGCCTTGGTGAGGCCTTGGATTTAGTGAATGCAGAAGAGTTTCGCCATAAGCTTAAAGATAAAATTAGATATGATGCCAATATATCCCATACCTCGTATAAAGCCGGTGATCAGGTTTTGGTGTACGTACTTCATCGGAAAGTGGGGAAAAATCCATCCCTTATGCCCCGTTGGACTGCTGGATGGGAAATTGTGCGTCAGTCAGGGCCGGTACATTATGTAGTAAAAGGTAACCGGCGCGGAAATGTCAAAACTGACACTGTACATGTCAGCCGTTTAAAGCCGTATAATTTCCGCGACGTTGATACTATTTTACAGGATGAGCACTTACCGAAGTTGCTTGACTGTGTGGAGAAGGAGTGCCCCGATGAATTAGTTGAGGCGCCCGCGCCGCCACCGGTGGTTCCATCCGTGGACTCAGCATCGTCGCGCCTTGATGCTGAGTACGCTGAATATCTCGATAACCAGATGGAAGCGGTTCCACTGCTTAAAACCCGCTCCGGGCGTGTGGTGAAACCTGTGGAGAGATTTATTAATCAGATGAACGACAAAAAGCGTAAGAGAGACCCGTCGGCTGATGCTAAAAAGCGCATGGCCACAAATGATAGAGAACCGGCTATTCTGAATGTATCCCAGCCGGGAGGGGGCCAGTCTGAACTAGTTGCCCCGGTGGCCAGTGATACTCCGCTAATTACTTGTAACGCAATGGAGATTGGGCCGTCACAGCTATCGAAAACTGCCTTGCCTATTGTAGAAGACAGAATTCTTCCAGTTCCGGCTTGGGCACGTCCAATTGAGCAG